CACCACCACCACCACCCCACCACCACCACCAACACCACCACCACCTCCGCCAACCCCGCCACCAACACCAACACCACCACCACCAACACCACCACCACCACCACCACCACCACCACCACCACCACCACCACCACCACCACCACCACCACCACCACCACCACCACCACCACCACCACCACCACCACTTGACAATTATTCCCCCACTCTGTGTCATGTACCGTAACGCATCTGTTCAATTGTCGGTAAGAGCAGCAAATCTCTGAGATATGTTCAGTGGGAGGTTTACCTTGGCCATGGTGCCTGGGAAGCCGCCAACACCAGCTTCCAGGCCATTGTTCTTCTGATGTTCGGGCTGAGTCTGAGGGTTCCGTGCTTCCACGAGTGATACCAGGAGCGGACCTGGGATCACTACTTTGACTGGATTAGAAATGCGCTGCGAGCACAGCCCCTCAATCTCAAGCTGCTTTGGATGTACATTTAGAAAGTAGTAGTTCTGTTTGGCGGGTATGGGATTTAGCCTGCAAAGCCCGCTTGGAAGCGAGTTGCCATGGGGCAGTTTTCACGAACCATGACCATATCATGCGACCACCCAAGTTCTGACCTGTTATGCTATAATCCATAGTCGAGTCATAACTGCTGCTTTGGCACATGACGTGGCGCTTCAATAAGTGTTTGCCATGAGCTCCCGCCTCGGTGCCTCAGCCAAGCTGACGGAGCTGAGTTCCCGAGAGTTGCAATGGACTTCTTTTCAGTAGACCTCCCGTCCTAGATCTGCAGATGACAAGCTCTGTTGCTGCGGCGGCCTGCGAGAGACCTCGGATGACTTAGGGAGAAACAAGCCCGTTCATGGCATCATCTGATAGGTTTGCAGGGGTTGCACTCTTCATTCGTTTGTTAGCCAGGTTAGAAGAAGGTGAGCGTCTTCCTTCTGAGCCCGTGGGGCGCCGGCACATCCCAGCCAAAGAAAAGGCGTTGAAAAAGGCTACACCTCATGGAAGGTGAATCCTTGCGAATCCTTTCCAGCTGAATGACTTTATTCCTGCCGACGTTGACTTGGCTCATGCTGTGCTCTGCGATTAACTCGCTGCTTCTGATAACGGAGCTCGAGGACTGGTGCTCTGTCTTTGTCGCTTCTAGTCACTTCTCTCTGTTGCTTGTTATCCTTGTCTGTGGCATGCGCTAGCTGACGCCGAAGCTGACATGCCGCAGGCAAGACCATGATGATGGGTTGCAAGTTGCATGAACATGCGGCCCGGGATACATGAAGAAACGAACAATCAATCCAGGGCCGGGACGTCACATGGGTTTTCGTGGTTGTGTAACATCTTGTTGCAGTTGCAGCTCATGGAGGAGGCGGAGGCCGCAGAAGGACAGGGTATGTTTCTCCCATCTTGGGCTACGTTGCAGTTAGCAGCCCAACGCGCTGTCGAAAGCATTGTGATGCACTGGACTCCAGACGGCTCAATATCAGATCAGGTGCATCCGTCTTGTGGTAACCATTGCGCAGCCAACCGACAGATGCCCAACATCACAGCGGAACTCGCAATCTCTCCTAGACCAGTTGCAACTAAAGACTATTAAGAAGGCAAGACACTCGAAGCAGAAAGGATCTGTTTCACCCCAGCCCGCGAGATGATGCAGCTGTGATCAGAGCAGAGAATGGTGGGCTCCAAGAGTGACATCTTGTCAATGCGCCGCCAGCCAAAAATCAGCAACCTCAGTAACTTCCTTCAAGTCCGATGCAGGGCCGTCGATTCATTTTCTTCCGTGAGGTGCTTCGGTTTCGTTCTCTAGAGGGCTCCAGCTTCGCTGCGCTGCGCTTCGCTGCGCTTCGAGGCTCGGGCTCCTATGCCCTGCTGCCCACCGGAGACCAAGACTCACCAACACAGAAGGCAGCAAGCCTTGGGGGGGCAGAGTCAAGAATACGGGCTATCAGCGTGATGGACTCGCAGCGGCAGGACAGATGCCGAACTCTGTGTCAGTGCCCTCACATGTGGAGCGCCGGGAGCATCCAAGGCTACATGACACGCTGTCGAGAATGTTTTAACCACAAAGCCCGAATTAGTGGCTAGTATTTCTGCATGAGCCCGCACCGTGGCACCCATACACTTTTGTAGTACATGATTTCAGTATATTTCGGTACTGCCAGCTTGTCTGATGACGCATTATGTTCGCTGGAGCCGTTCCAGGACCGTCCTCTCCGCATGACCTCAATCGCTAGTGGCTTGGAAGAGGAAGAGAAGCCATGGGGCTGGGACATGCTCAACGAGGACGAGCTCGTGCAAGCACCAGCTCCGAAGATGAGTCTGCATCGTGCTAGTACAGTTGGTGGTCGGCCATGGTCCTGGTAGTTAGTAGTCGTCGTCGTAGTCGCAGGCGTAGTCGCAGTCGCAGTCACTTTCGTGAAGAAGTCATTAGTAGAAGCAGCAGCAGCAGTAGGTGGTAGGTAGTAGGTAGTAGTCGGTAGTACGTAGTCGATAGCCGGTGGTCGGTAGTCGGTGGAGCAGTGGGATAATTAGGAGTGAGAGTTGGAAATAGGAGTCGGAAGCAGTTGGTGTAGTAGTAGTAGTAGTAGTAGCAGTAGTAGTAGTAGTAGTAGTGGTAGTAGTAGTAGTAGTGGTAGTAGTTGTGGTAGTAGTAGTAGTAGTAGTAGTAGTAGTAGTAGTAGTAGTAGTAGTAGAACTGGAGGATGAGTGGCAGTGGCATCAAGAACGGCGGTAGTCGCTGTGCAAGTTGCAGTGGTAATCGTTGTAGTGGTGGGGCTAAGTGGGAGCCAAAAAGTGGTGGGGCTTACCTGGTTATTCCTGGCAGTCGTCGTGGTTGTGGTAGTGGCTGGTGGTGACTGTGAGATGGCATGTCTTCATACATGCCTGAGCTAGCCTTGCAGGACTTCTTGGAGACACCTGCGATGCAGGGAGCTACCATTTGACTCTTAGAAGAATGTCAGTTGTTTCTGAAGGCTTCCCATCAGCTTCGGGGTATACAAACGCCATAGCCGGACCTTCTGTAGAGTGGGACACTTGCACAGTCACAGAGTCACACCCTCCAGCCTTGAGCTCCATCATGGTCTTAAACCGGCACCACCAGAGCCTTCAACTTGTGACTGGTGCGGCATAGGCTTAAAGTTTCCGGCAACCTTCAAGTTGAAGTCGCAGGGTTGTCCGTTGTCGACACACGAGGCCTCATCATGATGAATGCTGTCATCATCGGCCTAGAGACCGATTTCCCGGAGAAGTTCCCATGGGACATCGTAGAAAACATTTTCCTGGTGTTCTTCACAATGGAACTGGCGACTTGGATACCGTTTAGAAGTCAGATAGACAGATGCCTCCATCGTTGAGCAAGGCATGCCGCAGGCCCATGAACGTTGTTAGATTGTTTCGCATATCAGGGGATTCGAATATATTGCCTGGGACTCAGAGCAAGCGGATCGAGTCTTCAACCGTATGTTCTCAGCTTTAGGAGTGCTTCTTCTCACCTGAGGTCTGGGTGTGTTCAAGTTCTTCAACTTCCGCAACAATCCCGACATTGCCTGGAATCTGTTCGACTTCATGCTGGTGTCGATGGGAGCCTCCCGGCTAATGAATTTCACCGCACAGCCTCGGCCAGCGAAGGTGCTGGTGACAGAATGAGATCTCTCAACCGAAGCGGATGCTTCCCACGTGGGAGTTGTTACAAAACTAGGGCCAAAGTGGGTTTCAGTTAGGGTAATTACCTGTTTGAAGAGTTGCTCGTTGCTGTATAAGACAACCCCAGAAGGGGCCGTAGTTTCCCGCTTGAGGTCCTGAGCCTTGGCTTACACTTCGTCGCAGGGTCCGAGGATGTTCTGGCCAGGCTCGCAAGTCTGCGTACGCTGCGTGTCCGCGAATCTATGCACGACGCCTGCTTGCCTGGAGGAACGCTACCCTGTTCCGCATCATCCGCTTATTGAGAATACTGCGCGTGCTGCGCATTATCCGCAGCTTGCCGAAACTTTAAAGCATCGATGTTCACGGAAGCAAGCCCGGTCTGTGTTGGCAGCGTGACGACTCCGCCGGTCTGACTTTCGCAGGCATTGTGCGGTTCCTGAAGCAGCTCTATCTGCTCGCATACGGCTTCATCGAAGGAACCATGGCCGTCCTTTGGGCTGCTTGCCCTTGCTAGCATTCGACTGCCCCTGTACTCTTTGGAAGGGAGGAGCATCCCTGCATGCTTGTATGCATCAAGACCCAAGTAAGCGAATACGTATGACTGTATATATGTGCGCGTGACTTGTGTCCTTGCATGTATCTATGTTATGTATGCATGTATATTATGGGTAGGCAGGTAGGTTTGCTTGTATGTAGTGAGGTCCATGTTTGCCTGCATATGTATATATATATATATATTTATTTACATATGTCAAATACCTTTCTGGGTCTATATGTATATTATATGTAGGTAGGTATGTATGTATGTATGTACATATGTATGCAGGTATGTGTAGGTATGCAGGAAGAATCAGGAAGATGCATACATACGTGCACATAGGCAACGTATGCAGCGTATGCATATACGTATGTGAATAGGTGCACACTAGCGCGACACACACACCCGCACAAGCACTCGCGAATAATTGGGTGCATATGTCGTGTGCAGTTACATAGTTTGCAGTATGGCAACAACTCAGAGCCAACCCCGCCTGCTCCTATGTTTAGTCTCAATTTTCCGAGATGCGGTCACTTGGCGCTTCCTGCACTGAAAATCTCAGCTTATTTTACGGTTCCAAGAGAGTTAGACCTCGCCAGAAGTCTTTCTTCGGATATTGCAGGACGTCAATCTCGGCAAAGTCCGTTTACGGTAGGGTGCCTCATGTCGCCAGAAGGTGTGCCTAGGAGGCATGCCCCTTACACGTGGACAAGCTGTCGTGTATTGAATGCTTCCGCATACGGTGTACACATATATGCATTTGTGTATGGTGTGTCGGCGTCAGTCACAGTGTCATGTTCCCGCATCTGGTCGGACACCTGGGCACGAACCGCCCGCATCGAGACAAGGACGTGCGGAATCGGACATGCAGCTTCCGGACCGGGAATGGACCCGGACGCGACCGCGACCGCCCAGGCTCTAACCCGAAACCCGAACCCGGCAACAAACACGATATCCCTTTGCAGTCGATGTTTCGCTGCAGGGTAGCATTCGCGACCATGCTGAAATTGACAGAATGACAGATAGATACATGTACATGCATGCATGCGTACATGCATCGTTGCATACACTGCCATGCATCTTGTTGTCATGTTTCGTTACAGCATGGCTGCCTGCCTGCCTGCGTACGGTCCTGCATACGTACATACATGCACACGTGCATACATATGCACATACGTCCTCAGACCCGTCCATGCATGCATGCATGCTCAATGTAGGCACGATGTGCGTTGTGGCTTTGGTCGCTGAGGTTACGATCCTGGCCTCGTTCATGTTATACATTTGCGCGGTCATCCTCGTCCGGGCATACGGACGCAGCACCCCTGAAGACGACCCCTACCATGATTTCTTCATTTCCCACTTCGGACACTCAGCTAAAGACGCCTCTGCGTCGGATGCCACAAATTTTGAGGGCCACAGTCCCGACATGCCTGAGGCAGCATACCAATGACCATGTTCGCTTTATTCGAGCTCATTACAGCCCCTGACTTGGCACCCTACCGTGTTCCTCGTCTGCGAACTCATGACGGATGGCAGCGCGGGAGTCGTAAGTGATCTTATCGGACAGACGACAGACATCGGAGAAAGGGCGAGCAGGGGCGACATGTTAGTGCTGACAGTTTCCAAGCTTGCGCAACTTTGGTCCTGCCTGCAGGTGCCAGCGATAACAGACTGCACAAGGTTTGCAGAAGCATCTTGCTGAACCCAGGAAGCGATGTTCGCCAATCCTCCTCTCGTCGTTTTTCTGGTTGTGTTCATCATCTTGGGCAGCTTCGGTATCAACGGTCTTCTCGTGGCCCTCATCAACGAGAGCATTCTGGACCCATGGCTTGATATGCGAGAACAAGACAAAGAGTCCATCTGGGTGTGTCTTTCCTCTCTCTCTCTCTCTCTTTGTCTCTCTCTCTCTCTCTCTCTCTCTCTCTCTCGCTCTCTCTCTCAGAGCAACACCGCCAGCATCGGCCCCTCTGTCGTGTCGTGATGCGGCCCCGAGGAGAAGAACCAAGCACGCATCGAAGCGGACCGAATGGACCGCGAAACAAAGCGCAAGACCATGCAACAGCGCTGTGGAGAGCTCTTCGACGAGATGGACGTGTGCCTCGGGCTTCTCTTGCGAAACTCTGTAACCCCAGAATCCTAATCCTCAAATTCCCTTGCTGAGGAACAGAAACCGCGTACTGCCTCGCGACGAGATCAAACAGTGCACGGAGCAGATTGCAGAGCTTCTCGAAAGCTATGGTGTGAACTTTCAGCGAGCAGATCTGGACCAGATGTTCTATGTCATGGACTACAGTGACACAGGCAGGGTTCATGTCCTCACAGTCAAAGTCCCCTCTATCCCGGAGGGATGCTGATACTCGTCTTGACTTCATGGAGCAGGCATCATCGAGCGGTCCGAGTTCATCCAGGGTGTGGTGGGGCTCTGCGATCAAATCCGGCCAATGTCCATCATGGAGCTCCACTATCAGGCCTGGGCCTAGACTTCGCAGACAGACGGACAGAGCGAACGACCGACCGACCGACTGTATATGCCCCTACGTCCACACACGCTAAGAACAATTTGTTGCCATGCGAGAGGGGAAAAACACGAAGGCATACGCTCACTGTCACTTTTTGCGCAATTACGTCTGTAGGCGCTGTTTTTCAAGCCATTGTACTGCTGTGCCACTCTTGTGAGTTCTGGTGTCCGTGTTACGACATCTACCTTCGACTTACTGCTGCAACGTTTCCTGAATTGGGGATGGGGATGCTGCCGAAGACACTGATGATGGTGATGGTATGTGATGGTGATGATGATGATGATGGTGATGCCCCGACCTTGCTGCTGCTGCTGATGATGCTGCTGGCGGCTGGCGACCGCTGGCCGTGGTCATGGTTCATGTTATGGTCCACTTGGCAGTGTTGCTTTCATATCGCTCTGCAGTGTCCTGCATCACGATCAGGATCGCTGGTTGGCGTGGTAATGATAATGATGCTGGTGCGAGCTTCGCGGTGTTGATTGCTATTGTTCAGTATGTGCTTTACTGTGTCTTCTGAGGTTGTCGTACTACTGTCGCAAAAGTCTGCCTGTGTTGCTGCGATGTCGTCCTTCCTGTCGGCCGTTTGCATTCCCTGCGTGTTCCACATTTGTTGAAAGAAAGGGGAAGTTAAAAGAATGCCAAAGAAGAACCGGCGCCGAGCAAAACTGCATGTACGCAGCATACTTGCGAAAGATACTCAACTACAACGCTGCGCAAGAGTGAACGAAGCGAGTATCACTCAGGCGTGGCACTACAACGCGTGTGGAAGTAGCAGAAACAAAGATATACCTGCGCGCAGAAACAAAGATATAGCTGTGTGCTCGGGTGCCGCCAGCTGCTCTCGCCGCAGCAAAAGAGCAATGGGAGAACACACATTGCGTCCCAGCGTGATAACTGCCCAAGCAAAGCCTCTCTTTTTTGAATATAGGATATAGGATTTTATAGTTTGCAGACCCTGTTCGTGATATGCATTTTTGCTATCCAGTAGTTCTGGTCTGCTGATTTGTCCAGTTGTTTGAGTGGTTGTCAGTGGTTGGCATCCTTCGTCTGAGAATTGTCACTCTAGTCCAGCTGGACACTTCCGGTGTTTGATGTGGCAGTTGCAGTAGCAGCAGTGGTAGAAGCAGCAGTAGTAGTCGTAGTAGCAGCAGTAGCAGCATTGTCGTCGTTGTCGTTGTCGTTGTCGTTGTCGTTGTTGTTGTCGTTGTTGTTTTTGTTGTTGTGGTAGTTTCTCTCGGTTTTGCTACTTACTGAACTGGATGTTCCGGCGCAGGTTTCAAAGACCTGCGGCAAAGTCGACCTGACGGAGTTAAAGGTCGATGGACTGGCCAAGACGGTCGAAGGCTATGAAGTCAAGATAGCCCCTAGGCAAAGATTGCAGATGACCGTATGCATCAGCTGGCCAAACAGCATAACATGCGAATACTTTGTTTGTAGAGGGGGGACAAGAGGTCCTTAAACAAGATCGGCCTGAGTGTGTGAGTCGAAACAAGATCGACGAAGCAGTGATCTGTAGAGGTCATTGTTGAGCTTTTGCCTATGTTGTGATGTTGCTGGCAACTTGATTCCAACCTGGGCCCGTAGCACCAGTTCTTAGACTAGACCGGGGTATTCTACCAGAGGTACAGCTCCATGTAGGCCAGCCTCACCCCAAGGACAGCGTGGAGTCATCCCTGAAGCGGCTCACGGACCACATGCCCAAGTCCACTTCGGCTGCGAGCCAGGGCTCCAACTCGAGGTGCTCCGCCTTTCTTCTGGCCTCTTGCTGGGGAACTTGTGTCGGGTTGCTGCCGTAGGTCTTTCATCACATATAGTTCCAGGGCCCCAGGACCAGTATGTACTTTATATAACTTAAGGTAGCTAGTAACTCCAAAGGAAGTTCCATAACAACAACCTGGGCTCGGCCCGAGTTTGCGGCTTGGGTTTAGGGCTTCAGATTTGGGGTTGATGGCTGCCAATACGGAACAAAACTTGAGTAGATGGGTGCAGAAAGAGAGAAGGACACGATGTGGAACATGTACATCTACATACTGTATATCTTTATATGCACGGATCCCTGCACGTCCAAAACCGGATTTGCATGTAAATCTCCCAGATTTTCCATACAGATACACATATATGTATGCATGTATGCATGTATGCATGCATACAGTATGTAGGGCAACACAGCATGACCAAGAAGCTCCGACGGAAGCTTGATAGGCTGGTAGGCTGCAGTCCCAGACTTAGATCGCGAAGGTCCCACGCCTCTGCAGCCAATAGACACACACCAAAGACGAAACCTCGCCTGGCAGAATGAGTGCTGAAATCCTATCTTGACGCCAACGGCATCCCAGCGCTTCGTGCAAGAACTATCGTTTTGGGCTGTGGTGCCGTGGTTTCGCAGGCGAACTTCCCGTGACTTGGACACGATCCAGTCGGTGACCTTCCATCAGGTGGGCCGACATGGCTTGCGATTCATTCTGCAGTGGTATGTCGCATTTGGGGAAGAGGCTTCGTGGTCGGGATCTGCAGGCCGAGAGATTAGACAGGCTGAGGCGGGCATGTGTCCATGTGCACTACCCCTCCTCAAGAAAGAGATTGGAAAGCACGCTGCTCATCAAGTAGCAGATGCCGTCGCCGTCGACATACACCCTGAAACAAAATGTCGACATGGATGCGTTACTGGATATGTCATGTTCTGGACCTGTGACTGCCTGAAACAGGACGTGATCCCAGAATGGGAGGGCGAGGGTGATGCCGACGACATCTGGAGGGGTGCTGATGTGTGCTTTCCTTGAGCACTCCTTGAACTGACCTCGGGATGTGTGTTCGAGTGTCCTGCCTTTCTCTCCCTACGCCGACGAAAGCCCTTAGATATCCTGAGATTATTCGTGGTGCTGCAGGAGCACTCGAGAGCGTGCAGACACTGCAGAGATTGCAAGCCAATCCGAGCGGTCCAGAGAGACCAAAGCAAGGAGGCATGGCAGCGACTTACGAATAACTTCTTCGACAAACAAATTTCCTGTGTAACGAGTGACGACTCGGTGACGAAGAAGTCTCCAATGCTCGCGTTGGTTTAAGTCAGGTCTGCCCACCCAGCAAACTTTGAGGCGCCTGTTTGGTAACTTCCACACACTCCCTCATGGAACATAACACTCATGTGCGGCCCCTTTTACAGCTGCAGGAGCGGGACCTCAAAGGGAGCATAGGCTCTGCTTGCTTGTTGCATTGCGGAGAACTCTCTTCATCCTTCCTTTCAAGAATCGCATCGATGTCAGTACTCAACATCGTGAAAGAAATGCTCGGAGCAATCTGCCCTTCTGGCCCTGAGCCCCGCGAACCCGGAAGCCCGAAACCCGCAGCCAAGGAGTCCCAGCAGCGACTGCGCCGGTTGCAATGTCGCCCAGGATGATGTGGCAGCGAACCTCGCCGAAGTGCACAAAGACGAAGGTCGAGCAAGACTTCCATGAGCATGACTTGAGGGGCCTGCCCACCCCCAGGTGTCTGTCTGTGTGTGTGTGTGTGTGTGTTGCGCATAGAGCTTTCGCACTCCGAGCCGGCGTGTCACAAACCCCCACTCTTCAACGGGCAGTAGCCAGAGTCGAGACTTGCCTGGGCTGGGCTTGGCTTCCTCGGCAGGCCAGGAGCTCCATGCCATGCTGGCCAAGCACGGCAAGCTGCTTACCGAGACCCTCGAGGCTGTCCAGGCGAGGCCCCCAAGCGGCGGTGTTTTCAGGATCCAGCAACCGCTTGTGGCAGAACGGTGCGTTGGGCTTGACATGTAGAAGTAGACTCCACTCTCATCTAGTGCGGCGAGGCATTTACGCAGTCGGCCGCAACGAAGTTGCCCGGCAAGGCCGGGTACCCAGTGCAGCTTCCGAGCAGTTTGGGGCGCTTAATGTACGGTTTTCAACCTTGAGGGCCCTGGTCGGTCACCACAGATTTCTTGACGTGACTCCCTGAGAGGCCTCGAGGCTGACCAATGTGATGCTGCAGCTGCAGCGTGCTAACATCGATGTGCTGAGTGCTCTTTTGGAAGAAAATTCGCAGTTAACGCCTGAGCCTGAGCCGGCTTTGAAGAAGCCGGTGGACGGTGCAGTTCTTGATGCGCAATAGCAACTTTCAACCAACTCTAGACATCCTTCTCGCAAGTTGTAAATAGGAGGTCAGCTCCATCGTTTCACTTCAGCGAGAAGGATTGTATACAGTGGCCACGAGCTTTCCGGAGAAGTCCTTCCGGCTTCCACAAAAGCTTCACCGCGCTTGCCGCCAAGAATACACCCTTGCCTTCTCCATGCTCAGGTCAAGAAGCTAGCTACATGGCTACAGGTATGCAACATCTCATAATTACGTAGTTTCCAACATCTTATCGACACCTGATGTCTACTATCCACTCGAATATCTATATGTATACCTGTATGAACGTCTGGCTTGTATCTGCATCTATGTCTACATCCGCACATCTTCCAAGCGGGGCCCTCGAGACACGCCACACGGGAGCCAATAACAAATATCAGGTTTACATGTGTATTGGAATGGATTGTACACATATATACATATTATGATATGTAAGTAAGTAAGTAATTATGAATGTATGTCGTTTGTGTTGCATTCTGCTGCATTCTGCTCTGTTAGGCCAGGTCCTGCTTATGGTGTGTGATGTCATGCTTTGTCATGTTGTGTTGCGTTCTGTTGCATTATGCCAATTATGCCATGGTTTGCTCATTGCGTTCGTAGGAGTTTAGGCAAGAGGTGGCCCACGAGCCCCCGGCAGCCGAAGCTCCCGGTCGCAAGGCCGCAAGGGACTGCCCAAAGGCATTCCTTTCGCTGGTACTGACCGGTCCCAGAGAAAGCCGGAAGCTACGGAAAATCGGACGCAGAAAATTGGAGGACCTAGCAGGCCTTAGCGCCACCTATGCTCTCGTTTTTGCTGCCGTCTTTGCTTTGTATGCCTCAGGACCTCGAAGCAAACGGCGAAGAGCAGCACACGTCGAACAGCGGGCAAAACTGGATTTGCCTGCAAATGAGTCCATGTTGTTCTCCCAGCCGTAGAGTAGGAGGAGAAGTTTGGAATGACCAGTATCTCTGTGGTGTTTTGCTCCGCCGCTAGTGCTGCGTTCAGTTGATGGGAGTTGGTCCCAGGCATGCATACGTCCGTCAGCAGTTCCTATAGTTCCTACAAAAGCTATGCCTGTAGATTCTTTAGACATATACCGGTCAGACTACCAATACCTCTAAGGACTAAGTAGGGTAGCTGCACGGAGTAAATGTGACAGCTCATCAACGCGAACCGGCGATGCCGCCGAAAGGGAAGGGGAGGGCCTGGAAGCCGGCGTGGAGCCCGCACGGCGATCCATGGTACGCTGAGGAAGCTTCTGCTTGCCGTCTGAAGCGGCCGAAGCCCAAGCGAGCTTGGCATGATGCGAGCCAAATCGAAGGCGAGGTCAGCCTTCAGCTCACTCGCAACTACAACCAGCACTGGTCAAGGAAACAAGCAGTAGATGAATTTGTGCAAAACTGGGTCGACCAGATAGAAAAAACTGGCAAAGACAATTGCTCGCCATGGCGATCCTCTGAAGAGCACGTGTGGTGGTTTCATTGCCGGCATGGAAGAAGAGAGTGCTGGATAGCGGCTTTGCTCAATGTGTCCCACGGTGACCCAGGAGGCGAAACAGGAACCATATTGGGCACACTTCTGTTTGACGAGGAAGCGGGAATTCTTGAATTGGCAAATTACGAAGCCATTCTGCCGGTGCGCTGCTTCTTGCTTGGCTATTCAGGCGCAGACAAAGCCTGTGCAGAAAGCGACACGCGGGGTAAGTTCGGTGATGGGCTGCCGTCCTCGACGATTCGGTTGGTGGCTGATGGCGTCAACATCTGCATTTGGACAGGAAGTCAGAAGTATAGCAACTTCGGCTTCAAAATGGACCCACACTTTTCGCACGAGTGTTTGCACATGTGGGTTAGCCCGTCCAACACGGTTTCTGGGACCGCGCACTTGGCAGCTCACTGTCGATCTGCCACTTTTTATGCGTATCAGAGACTTTCTGCGCAGAAGCGATATCTCCAGTATAACTGGCCCGTCGTGGCAGGCTTGAGAGACACGGTGGTGCAATTGGCCGGTGTCACTGAGCAAGATTTCGACGTCTGCCGGTACATCTTTTTGCATCCCGTCCTCATTCAAGCCTCATGCGTGCAGAGCTTCATCTCTGATGAGTTCGCAGACGTGTTTTTGCACTCTGATTTTGAGGGCAAAATCTATGTGAAGGATATGCTGGCACAACAAGTCTTTAGCTCACAGAGACCACGATATGGCTACAATTTGAAGCAGTTCAGTGTAAAATCACGGGACCGGCAAGAGACTCTTTGCGAATACGAGTTGCTGACGCAGATTGCCATGGCCTGGTCGAATGTCTTGCGGCCCACAGCCCCTGTGGATCCGAGTTTCTTGCGAGCAAAGCTTTACGATGCTCTGAGCAATCATCCGGATAGTTCCGAAGCGGTTTCGATGTGCGAAGCTCATCGTGCTGCGATGGATCATGTCTGGGCACATCTGCAGGAGGAGTTTCAGGCCCGGCACGGCAAGGCCGGTTTCCCCGTGGTACATGAGGACACTGAGGCATGCAAGATCATAACAGACAAGCTCAAGAAGACGCCAGTGCTCATCAGCAGCAGACTTTTTGGCTGCCTGGCTGCCGCAGATGCGAAGTGGGCCTGCTCAGCCGAGCAAGCTTGGCATGCAAAGCGATTGAAAGCTGTTCGGCATTGCGCACCAGAGTGCCTTGATGTCGAGCCATATCCGACCATAGTTCGAGTTCTGGAAGAATCCGTGGGCAAAGTTCATCCACTACCGAAACTTAGGCTGGTCAGTACGAGGGTGCTTGACGAGGTCTCTGTGCTTGACTATGCCGGCGTCGCAGCTTTCGAACTGATGGGATTTGAAGCTGCGCAGCGAGAAGATTTGAGTGGTATTTACGAGGAATGCAGAAACTGTCTCGGGCATGGCAAGCCAATATTCAAGAAACGAGGTGAATCAAGCAGAGATCTCTACATCTTTTGGACCAATGGATGGCTGCTGTGCGACGGGCCGTTGGAGTATTTGCACCGCTGCACCAATCCAAACAGATGCGCATCGTGTCCTCACCAGAACTGGTGGGCCGAGAGCTGCTGCGACTGGCTTGTTTGGGATGGATTTGTATGGCATGCCTGTACTATCACCATCAAGCCAGTTGGAAGCGGCAGAAATGGACGAATGAAACAGTCGAAGCTCATCTTAAATGCACTCGCTATCAAGGACCTTTTGCAACCAAGCAGCAGCGAAAATAGAAAGTACTCGGTTATCCGATCGTTCAACACGCTCTTCGATGCCGTGCTCCACGATTTCAAGCATGTGGCAAAGCTGCAACTCTCACCTGCGATAGAGCGAGAAGCACAGGAGTCGCTTATGAGACAATTGCTGGACCTGGATCTACACACTTTTCAAAAACATGTTGACAAGCTGCTTGGATTTGATAGAGCCTCTACTATCAGAAGGCGCCTCACGGCATGGCTGGAAGGAGAGAGCGATGACGAGGACAGAGACGATCCTGTAGAGCAGCAGGCGCGCAAATTGATTCGAGAACAGATTGAACTTGGTGTCCTGCGAGTCAACCCAAAATACAACGACAGCTTGGCTTGGGTTGGTGATGCAGTCTTGGATGCCTCTCTCGGCTTGCTTGGTGTAGAGAGTGATCTGCGACCAAGAGAACTCGATCAGCTCCGTCAAAAACTGTTTTGCACAAAGCGCATGGGTTGCGATGTTAGTGCCCTCGGCTGGAAACGGATACGAGAGGCCGCGGAACGTCGAGAGCAGAGAGTTGGGGAGCTCACCATGGAGCAGAAAGCAGAGTTGACCCGGATTTATGAGCTGATCTTGAGCAATGCCACAGTTCCCCGTGCGGAAGACCCTGCGCGGGAGCGTTCCTTCTTGTCCGAGATCAGTATGTCTGTCAAGGAAGCTCGCACATCCACCTCCAATATCGCACTTCGCACGAGAGAGTGGCAGGACTATGGTGATGGTGCTTCCTACGCCGGCAAGCGAGACTGCGCCGCAAGCAGCGACGTGACATACATTCCAAAGCTTGCGGTGTGTCATGGTTTTCTTCACGGCACATGCCGGCATGGACCAGTCAGGACTTGCGGCAAAGCCCATCCTTGTAAGTTTTTTCAGCAAGGTGCTTGCAAGCATGGCAGCCACTGCCGCTTTGACCATGTGTCCTGTCCACAGATCGCGTGGTGAGAGGGTCAGGCCGTGTCACAGGGTTCGGGCATTTGGGCTTTTAGGCACCTCCTGAGGGCTCGCCAACGGTTTCTCTGCATCGGAAAGGAGGCTTCGTCTCGCACAAAGCTGTTGGATCAGCCGGGGTCAGCTTCGTCAGTTTCTCAGGGCGCTCGAGAAAGTCTTTGGCCGCCGGAAACTTTCGGCCCGCGAGAGGGGAACCTGGGGCTCTCGCAGCAGGCCCGGATGGAGGCGTGAACTGGGAGAGCTTTGCGGGTGTACGTGCAGCCTATTGCAGCCTACTCAACCACTAATGGTCCATACAAGGGTGTTAGCCTGCTGTCAGTTTCTGTCCCAGTGTGTTTCATCTCTACGCCTTTTGCTCCCTCTGAGCGGCTTGCGCGGACTCTGTACTTCTGACTTTCTACGCGACTGACCAACAGACAGGTTGTGAACAAACGAATTGGTTTCCTTAACTGGCTAATCACCGGTCTCACCGAGTTGCCTTCGTAGACTTAAATGTTTACACAGCGTCTACGTATGGCGTATATGTTCAACAAGTGTTACACAGGTGTATATGCAGAAGCAATGGCTAGTTTTCATGAACATTGAAGCCTTGGTTGATCGATCAGGGCATTAGAATGAAAATGCAGACAGGCTCCTGGGTCATTGGTCTGGTCTAGGTCTCGAAGTGCTGCAAGGTCTTATGATAAGACTAAGACCTTGATTTGGTAGAATGCTTCGGTCTGCTTGTGGTGCCACTCTCCCAGGCTTCGCTCAGCATTCCAAGTCATGCCAATCCCTTGCCCACAGCCCGAATTCCGAATGCCAGCAATGAGACTGAGTTTTCTTCTCGGCCAGAAGCGTGTCCACGGGTAAGCTCCGGGATGCTGTTTTGTGCGAGTCGAAACCTTAACAGCAGCAGCAGGCCGACATGGCGAAGGCTGCGTCGGATCCGAAGATGCCGGGAAGCCCGGGGGAGCAGTCTGGATGACCTAAACGTTTTTTCTGTTGTCGGTGTGGGTGTATGTGTATATGAGCAAACATACTTACATACATATATGCATGCATGCATGCACGCGTAGTACGTATTTGTGTAGACTGCCTCATACAACGCCTTACAACGCTCCTCAGAAGTGACTTGCAATTGCAAGGACTATGGCCAAGCTACTGCATGGGCTGGCGAGCTCAGGAGACAAGGCCGGGCGCAACCCTGGATGGCATACCGTCGGCCTTGTCGTCGGAATAGTGGTGGCAGTAGTAGCAAGTCAGTAAAGGCAGCAGTAGCAGCATCAGGATCAGCAGGAGGAGGAGGAGGCGGAGTGCGAAGTAGGGGTAGGAAGCAGGAGGAGCAGTCACAGTGGCAGTAGCCGTCCGAATAGCAGTTTCAGTAGCAGTAGCGGTGACAGTAGGCAGTAACAGCAGCACAGGAGTAGGAGCAGCAGGCAGTGCAGGAGCAGTAGCAGTAGCAGTAGCGGTAATCGCGAGATCGGTCCTAGCCAAAGCATATCGCCGACGTTGCCTGACCACATCGGGCCACCAGCAACAACGACCACGACGGTTCTGATGATGGAAATGATGATGATGATGATGATGATGCTCCTGCTGATGGCGATGATGATACTGAGCCACGACTCTTCCAGAACCTTGCCGTTGAGGCTGCTGCATCTGCTGGAGATGCGCTCTTGGCCTATGCCGGTGCTCATCCCAGGCCTTCCCGGATCTATTTTGTGCAAGCAGAATGCGTGCAGTTCCCAGTGGAAGGTTGTCCCTGGATGTGGCCGCCGCTGCAGCACTGAAAGAGCTGTTGCGGCCGCCTGGGGCCCCAGACCAACTCAGAAAAGCAGCGGGATCGACGCACGTGAGGGGACCACCTGTGTGCAGCAGCGTAGCAGCGGCAACTGTCGAGGTTGCGATTGCAAATCCGTCCACAATGGGCCGCTCCCTGAGCAAACAGATCAGCATCGGTGCTCAAGGTGAGATCCTGTTCTTCCGGCACCTACGTCGAAAGCTAAAGTAGGGTCGGAGGGCATCCGCCGCGGGGGAACAGATTGAGGTCAGAACAGTCGTGGCTGCAGGTGTCTGCAGTCTAACCTTGTGCCCAGGCCTTGCGGCCTCACCAGGAGGAGGGCTACAGATGGCTCATGGCACGAGCAAGCGCGGGGATGGGCATTTGGCTAAGTGTGAGCACAGGTCACGTGGAGTCGGTGAAGTTGTGAAGACGAGCTTCTCATCCTTCGATGCTCTGGAAGTCCCGAGGTGCAGTCCTGGCTGATGCCATGGGTCTTGGAAAGACGCGCGGGTTGCTTACGTCACGTGGGCCATGCCCTGCGTTTAGAAAGGGACGACCGTGGAGCGAGGTCAGGCTATCGCCTACATTCTCGGAGTGCGCGAAGGCTTGTCCCGGCCTTGGTGCCGTGTCTGCTGCAGGCTGTGCCAACTAGTAACTCGTTACTGTAGCGAGTCTCTGAGAACGCGGACACGCCGAGGCGGAGCCGGGAAGCCCTCGAAGGCGATCGCTTGTGTGCTCGGACTGGGCAGAAGGACTGCTGACTCGTAGAACACGGCCAGGCAAGGCTGCAGACCCTGGCTCCGTTGGGATCACGGACTGCTTCTGCAGCTCTGTGTGTGCGCCTTCTCTGCAAGTCTAATCCTTGAACCGCCGCGAACCTTCCCGGCAGCATTCCTCGGCTCAAAAATGTCCTGAGACCGCAGGGCCTGAAGGGCCCAGGTCTTGAAAAGGCCTCGGGAGAAGCTTTCGTGTTTAGGTCGAGCACTGCAAAACTGTTTTGATTATCATCTTCGGACTTGGGCGGTTGGCTCATAGACGGGAACTCATGGTCCGAACAGGCAGTGGCTCCATTCTTCATGGCGACTGCTTGTAATCTTCTGTCCGAAGGCAGCAGCTCCAGTCTCGTAGTTGCAATCCTTGAACCCCCTGACCGACTCCCCAGCCGGGCAAACCTGAAGTCTCGGTCCGCTACTTTTTTGGATGCATGCTGTCGGAGCTAGGTGACTTAAGTTGCGTTAGGAATGTAGCCGTAATTCACTGCCCAAGTCACATGAGGCTTCTAGGCGCTGCACATATGTTTGAAACGCCAGAACTCGAAGGTGATCCATACCTCGAAGAAGCATCTACATACCAAGAACTTCGAAAGCTTCACAGGATGCCGGCCCTCACTGTCAACCTGCTGAGCGGGAGGGAGGTCGAGGCAATTTCGCCTGCGGGGAAGTTCGGAACTTCGCCCTAAACCATGATTCCACATCCAAGCTGCAGTCGTTGAGAGGGGCTTCGGAGGTCGGGGCGACTTCGGGGCCCCTGCACTTCGAGATATGCCGTCTTTCACTGGGATTTGTTGCAAGCTCTTGTGCTTCATGGCTCCTTTGACAGATTAGAATGCGGGATGTTGGTGTTTCGGATGCAAACTGTCGGCTGCCAACAGCTGCCGTGCGAGGCAAATTTGTCGAACTTCGAAGGCAATGGTGCAGAGCTGCGCGAAGTGGTCGGCTGCGCTTTGCGGGTCACACCGCATCGCCTGAGGCATGATGCTGCATGAGCAACCGAAGTGTTCCGTGCACATTTCCGCACTTTCTTCCGTGAGGCTAGTCACTGCGAGCAACGTAGAGATCGGTGATGTCGATGTGCCGCTGGCCGGCAGTAGAGCCTGTGACACCTTTCCAGTTTGAGCAGGGAGAGACAGGGAGATGGAGAGAGGGAGAGGCAGCGTGTCGCCGAAAAGGTTCCGAGCCGTTTTCCTCGTTCGCGTATTGCCCGATCCGATTGGCATGACCTTCTCGCCCCACGACAAGTGGGTGCGCACTGGCGCGGGGCGAGCGAAAAGGACAAACCGAGCATGGGCGAGCCGCTCCCAACGGCCTCGCTCTGACAGGCGAAAGGTTCGGCGAAAGCAAGATGTAGGTGGGCAGGCCGTAGAGGGCTGCTCGACCGACTATGGGGGCACTGATGGAATGTGGAAAGTCGAGTGCCAAGCGAGGGACAGGATTCTGTTTGGAGCGGAAAGTCGCGGCGAGTGTTCCGTTCGGGATCAGGCATGCAAGGAGGAAGTACGGGAAGTTTCACAAAGGAAGACACGAAAAGGGGCCAGGAAAGTCGAGGGGCATTCAACTCAACTAGATAGGTACGACCTGTGTTTATTTGGCCTTCTCAAAACAGAATGGCCCGAGATCTACCATGTGCTAAGCAACTGGGGACTTCACGATGCATGGTCAATGGTACTCGTCCCTGACACCAGGAGGTGCAGTGCTCAAGACACGGGGAACGCTGGCAAAACTGAGGCAGCAAATTTGCAAAAAGGGGGCCCCGAGCTGGCAGTACCACAGTTTTCACGGTTGAGCAGAAAGTCGAGGTCCGATGGTTTCTGAGGTTCCGAGCTGTTGCTCTGGATCAAGCAAGGCTAGGCAGGTGCAGTGAGGTTGCCGGGCACCCGCGGCATTTTTTCCATGCCCATCGAGGGCAGCTGGCACTGCCAGCCGCTTCGAGTCAGAATGAGAGGGGAACACTCGTGGTCTTGGACCCAACGGGGAAAGAAGCGAGGGGAGGGTGTGTGAGATCTTCGCTGCTACTCGCATGAAGTCCACCCGACATGTGAAGGATATCGGACGAGATCCAGTGCCCGATCACTGCGACGGTCGGAGAGGGCCAGGAGATCGCAGAGTTTTGCCACTTGTCTTTGCGTATGGTACCGCCGATATCCAATGCATGAGAAGCCGTGGGAGCTGAGGCCAAGAAGCCATGCCCAGCTTCACTTCGAGACCTGTCGAAGATGCACTTAGCCTTCCTCCGGGCACAGAAGATCTGTCTGATGGCATTTTACTGGGAAGAGCGATGATGCTTGCTATCAAGAAGGCCCGGAACACGCTGTCTTGTCTTGAACCTTTGCTTCAGGCAGCTCTGTCACCCTGCTGCCTTGGACATCTCATCAGCAGTGTGTGCAACTCCCCACCTGATGTCAAGTCCTCGAGTTAGATATCATCCGCCGGAATCTGTCGTAGCTACATGTTGCCATCCTTTGGCAAGTGTCCGGCAGTTCTGCATGGAGTGCCGTGCTCGAGCTCGGATGAACATGGAATTGCCGGAAGTTCGACTGAGATCAGGTGTGTTGGCGGCTGCAAGAAGCGAGACTCAAAGGAACCATGTTCGAGCTTCTGAGCATGCTGACTTCGCTGTCCCGTTGCAGGAAGAGTCGAGGATATGGCGCAAGTATCTGCGCATTCTGAAGGTGGCCACCTGTGCAGTCGGGTATCTGAGCGGTCTGTACCACTTCCTACTTGAAGCGTTTCGTCAGAGAGCCACCTGAGACCCTGAGGGTTGCACCCCTAGATGCCTGTACCATCCTGTGAGAGAGACCCGGCGGCTGGTACCGTCATATCCAACATGCCGTGAGGGCTCTCTTAGAGCTAGGGATGTTTGCCTGACCTCAACGGCTCGGTGAGGCACACAATGCCAGCAAGTGGAACTTCGATCCCGAGGAGGAATGGGAAGACTTATATTTTGGGGTAAAGGAGGAGCTTAAGCAGGCGATAAAGCCACACTGGACACGCGGCTGCAGATTTTCACGGCGACACTCAGTCCTTTAGCTTGCCCTAAGACCCTACAAAGTCGACTCCTTAGGCCCTAGGCCACCGCATTGCGCATTCCAGCGAAGGCAAGAGGCAAGAGACGGGCTGCAAAAATGCAGGAAGGCGGCCGCTTGGCAGGTCATATGAATCCCTGTAGTAGTCTGCAGTGGTGGGTTTTGGCATGCACTCATGCACTTGAGCTACTGAGCGCTTGGGGTTGGGATCATCAGGTAGCGGGAGAGATCGATACAGGTGATGTTGCACTGTGGATGTCGTGTTTGTCATGTCTTCCGTCGAGTTAGCTGAAGTCCCACAAGTTTGCCGGAGAGTGGAGAGCTGATCTTGGAGACCCACTACAGGACCTCTGGGGTGTGGGAAGAAGGGATGGGCTTCTGCATCGCAATAAGAATGAATGGCACGTCCTTCCCAGGCCAGTGGCTTCGTCGAGCTGGACAAGAGGCTGCAGCAGAAGTTGAAGCTGCAGTTCTTCTGTCGATGGGAGGCGCAGAACCGAAACTGACCGAAACGGCTTCATGGTGATAAGGTGTTTGCCTGTGTGTGAATGTGGAATGTCACACAGGAGCATGAGGAGAATGGCCAGACCAAGCGGCACCGGGACGCTCGACTGCAGGGTTGGCTTCTGGCGTGAGTAGCTTGGCCATTGGATGTTTTCCACAGCGTGTCGCTTGGCTGGCTGCCACGCAACTTCTGAGGTTTATGGAATCCGACAAGCATACTCAGCCGTGGAGTTTGAAAAAGTCTTCGGTTCCTGGTTAGAGCGAGAGAGGCAGTGGGACAAGGCCTCGGAACAGTGCTTCGGCCTCGCGCCCGTAAGCCTCGTAGCCGAAAGGCGGCCTCCACTTGCATTCTGTCATCTTGGAGGGACCGCGGCTGGTCCGCAAGGCAGACATGCAGATGATGGATGGGGTGGCAGCATGGTGACTTGGGCCATAAGGCATCAGCACGGTCATCGAAGTTGAGCGCGAAAGCGACTCCGACCAAATCCTCAAGCTTTTCTCCATTTACTGCAGCTTGCTGACGGCGGCGCAGCCTGGCCTTCCAGAGGGGGTGCCGGATTCAGTGTCTTAGTATTCTGTTCCGCGCTTGGGCGCCTTACCCCGACAAGGCACGCCGGACAAGAAGCGGCTGCGTGGATAAAGCCCTACGCCCGGGCCTCAGTAGGGGTGTGGGCTTTGAGAAGATGTGGGCGGCACCCGAAAGCCTGCTCGAGCTTTTTGTAGAAGAGTACTGATTATGAATGCAGACAGCAGGTGGATTAACCAATCCTCCAGGAATCATTCGATGAGCAGTCGAAGCCGCAACTACATGTATTGTGGAGGTGCTGTAGGTGCTCACAGCAGCAGCACCGGTAGCAGGAGTAGTAGCCGGTGAAAGCAACAATGCGCAAGCAGCAGCAATGCAGTTGTGGAAGAAGTGGCCAGTAGCTTACCACAACTTCCCGTAGCACTGCTACTGCTTCTAATTCTGCTACTATGACTGCTGCTGCCGCTTGCTACGACAACTGGCAACTGCTACAAGCCGCTCAGACGAAGACGACCGTCGAAGCGCTACTGAAAGGCCTCAAAAAGGAGGCGTTCATGCTGAAGCTTGGGTGCAGATATTTCTAGATGTTGCGCCAGAGTGGCTTGGCGATTCGGCTCTGTGCGGCAGAGGGTCAGAGGTCACAGTCATGTGCGACTGTGGATTTCGGATGAAGGGAGACATTCCTGCAAATTCTGCTCGGGTGGCCACACGTCGTTTGCAGCCGAGGAGGGCGGATGCAGGAGCCGAGTGCTCCCGGGTGTCTCCAGTGTTTGGATGTTTGCGGTCTGACTTTGGGGCTTTTCGGTCCACGTTTGAGGGTACAAGGTGTGGAGGGTCCTGAATCTTGCAGCTTTTCCAGTCAGTGTTGTGTCGCGGAGTCCCTTGTGGCCTCGTAGACCCTGCACGAAGCAAACGCATCCTGCAGGACTGGTGCCGCGGAACTGTCCCGAGAGTAACGACCCGGACAATCCGGATTTCATGGCCGAGAAGAGTGACAAGGCGTGGTTCTTGTTGGGCCCAGCGTTCAGGGCATCCATGGGAAGGATGGGGGGGTTCACGTAATGGGGACCTATAAGGGCATAGGGAAAAGAGAGCGCCGAAGCCTTGGCGAGGTGATCATCGAGTCCATGGGGCTGCTCCACTCAACGGCGGCATCTGTGGAAGGGCTGAGGGAACCTCCGTTGCAGAAATTCCAGGGTCTTTCTTCGAACTCATCCTTTTTGAGCTCTTAGCCACCAATCCAAAGCAGTCAAGGAAGGGCTTTGGTCGTTCCTGGGGGATCTTGCAGAAGATCGGTGCGGGAGACTCAGAGCGTTAGGCCAGCCAGGGAGGCTCTGGAAGCGCGCAGGTTGGAGGTTGACATGGCCTGCAGAGAGCGAAAGAGAGATAGAGCTGAATCGAAATACTTCGTGACTGTCGTTGCTTGTCAGGGGTATTCTGTGCTCGCTTGCAACTGGCAGGTGACCCTTTGCGTTTTCTTGGGATGAGACTCCTGACGCAATATCACCCAGCGAACGAAGCGACCCAGCAGCTGTTCCAGAAGTTCACTGAGTTCGACTGGCCTCACGCCGCTCGTGCCTGTCAGTTCTTAAGTTTACAGCTAATTTTACGCACTGTGGAACGCCGTGAGAAATGCTGTGGTAGGAAGACCAAGGTGCGCGAGATGGCTAAGGCCGCTCTGGAGGAGTGTCGCTCCGCCCCCGAGTCCCCTCAGTCCAACGGAAGCTTGGCACCTGAACCGGGAGAGGGCACGCTCAAGGTCCAAGGCCCAGCGCTGGAAGCTGCACGGAACCGGATTGGACTTCTGAGGAGTGGAAGCCGCGACCGACTGCCCATCCCCTCGAAGCTTGTACCTGAGAAGCGGCCTGGCCCCAACTCTTTGATTGAGAATTCTTAGTCTGCAAAGTGTTGGGAATGCCCCTTTTGAGAATCGGGAAGCGATAGGGAGCTTCGTTCACCACGAGGTATGAACTCCAATCCAATCCGGCTGACTATTCCCCGCCTTGGAGGGAGACGGAAGCTTGGCAAGGGCAACGTCTTGGGAAGCTGCTAGTAGCGAAAGGCTTCTCTCATTTTGGAGCCCTAGGAAGCTGCAAGCTCAAGACAAAAGATAAGTCCAAAAATCCAGCTGATCCAGGTCAATCGGGGTTGATTGCGGATGCTCCCCGACAGCCTGTTAACGAGGAAGGTGTGACCGTCTAAATCCTCCCGAGGCGTATGCGCAGAGGTCGCGGGGACGATTACAACCCGGGCAAGCACGTGTTGTTCATCGTGAGGGAGCTCTCAGCAATGTTGAGCAGAACTATGGGGTTGATTTTGGTTTTGGTTTCTCGAACTCCTAGAGATGTTGACCGTGCAAGATTGTCCAGCTATCAATCCGAAATTGGCAGCCCAGGACGATGAAGAGGACGAGGACGAATACGAGGAGGAGGAATGATAGGGCTTCAATCAATGTCATGCGTACATGCACGCACATTGCAGCTGTGTCTGGAAGTAGCTGTGAACTTCGAATCCTTGCTAAGCCTGCCGAAGCTTCATTTCCAGACATCTCAATGCTTGCCATCTCCAAGAGATTGCACGCTTTAGTAGACACGAAGCGGTCCGTGCCAGAACACCTTTGCAGTCAGTGGTGACGGCTACGTGTCTTAGCGTGAAGAGCTGTTGAAGAGCTCCGGCCTGCCACTGACTGCGGTGTTTCCGAACTTCAGATTCGGAGCTTTCAGCTGGAGCCCCTTAAAGGGCTCGCATGCCACGACTTCGAAACTGAAGCTTCGGCGCAGCCCAGCCTGCTAGCAAGCGGAAAACATTGGGCTCGCAGCGAGAGTGGAGTACCCTCCCGAATGCGCGCATGCTCGGCCTACTCTTTAGGGTTTAAGGTTGTTTAAGTGCTTCAGAATTCTTGGCTTTCCAAATCTGGAAGCCCTGCTCACAGGGAGAGTGAGGGCAGTCGAAGCTCTTCAAGTCTCCGTGTCCCTTGTAGCGACCCTTCTTCTGGTAGCAAGGGAAACCCCGCATCAACTTCACAGCCTTTCGAGGTTCCAGAGCTCCCTGGGCCTGCTCGTTTCGAGCGTGCCTTAGCCGCGGCCTGATTTGCTGTTCGGGACTGTTCGCATGATGATCGGGTGCTCGTCACTCATCATCAATGCTACTGTCAAGGCTGGCGTGCAGCAGCGTGCCTCGTATTGCTGAGGTGTTTATGGTTTCTGAGAGATGGGGGAGGGGAGAACAGAAAGCTCTTCCTACCCTGCTCCTGGTCCTCTGGTCTGCGATGGGGGATTTCTCCTGCGCCAACTCTCCTACTTTTTGGCTTATGCGGTCCTTCGACGGCAAGACGTCGCTGCGCCTCCCACTTCGGGAGGCTTCTGGAACTTCGCAAGAGCCCGTAAACCGTAAACCCTTGGCACGCGTTTCTCCGGCGGTTGAAACGTCCAGACGTCGTGTGCAGAGTGGAGGCTTTCGGGACGATTTACCGAAAACATCGGGCTGCAATGCACCCTGCTATTGAGCTACGTTAAAGTTATTCGGAACCTTTATGCTAACGTCTGCATTTGGCATCTCATGCATCAATGCTTTCGACATAAGAAGAACCCCAGATGCCGAAATCCCCAAGGTGCGTACCAACATACGGACATACGACTCTCGAAGGCCTTTTGACTAGCATGCATCGTAAACGTTACATGAATCCTGCTGAAGACAGGTGTCTGTGGACTGACGACATCACATGCATAATACTGGTTGTAGAGGTGTCTTTTCGTTGCCTTGGAAGCCCAAAATCAATGAAGTTCTGATTGGCCCGGAGGTTCTAGCACCGTCCATGCTGATCCGCGGCCGTGGGCTCAGGAGGATGTCCATAATCACAAGGCGCCGGGATTGTCGCTGTCACTGGACCCTGAAGCAGTTGATCTCCGAACACGTTCTGAGACGTTGAGACAGAAGTCTGCAAGTGTCGGCTCACGTAAGGCGAGGACAGCGTTTGGCAGCGGGAGCTTAGAGAGGCGGGGGACATGCAAAACGAGCGACTGCCCGGAAAGGGGTGGTTTAGAGAACCCCCCAATGCTGGGTGCCGTGTTGTGAAGTTTTCGTGTTTTAGGGCAGTAATTGCAGACGGCAGACGTCAGGTGCGCGAATGTTTTGTGTCAGCTATCACGACCTATAGCAAGACTTGCCTGTTGCCTGCAATGCAGCTGTTGCCTAGCCTTGTCCGCTTCAGGTGAGTGCACAGTGGCAGGAACCTCTGCGTGCCAGACCCTTAGTGCACCAACATTGCAATGCGGCAGCATCAACGAGTCAACAGGCAAGAGCAAGCAGCAAGAACGAGCAAGAGCAATAGCAAGCATGAGCGGCCGGCGGAAAAAAACGAAGCTGTCCGTATTCATCTGCATCACAGAGATAAAGATAAAGGTGGGTGAAGGCTCCACGGCTGATGATCAGTTCTAGTACGCTAGACTGTCACTAGAATTTAATTCCTAAGTACTATGTGTATTCATAATCAACATAATCCCAAGCATGGGGGATCATGCCAAGGGAAGACGCGGATGGACATGCCTCGGCAGCAGGTGTGGCAGTGGCACGGCGAGCGCGCATGCGACCTGCGATACGAGGCCGACTGATATGCTGGAAGGATCTGGAAGGCATGTCGTCATGTGGTTGTTGTTGTTGTTGCTGCCGGTTTTGGCAGCTTGGCTAGCCCATTGAATTTGAGACGATCATGAGCATTGTGGCTCAAGCACGAATGCGTGTCTAGATTGTGTTTTCTGACGACCCAAATTTCCAAGACATGGCTTGGCTGCGCACTTTCGCTGCTCCACTCACTGTGGCTCTTGCCGGGCTTCTCGGTGTAGCAAGTGCTGCACGCCACGTCGAACAACACCAAGCGAACGCGCAGGCAGAGGTGGAGGCAGGGGTGGTCCCGCGTCCCATCAGCCGAGCACTGCAGAGGGCTCAAAGGGACGCGGAGAGCAAGCTCGTGGACTACCAAGCGGCTGAAGAGACTGCTAAGGCAAAGAAGGCAAACGCAGAAGGGGCAGCTGCAGAGAAGATGTCCTTGATGGAGAACATGAAGGCAAAGGCCACTGAACAACAGGCTCAGGTGGAGATGAGTCGGAAGGCAATGGTCGCTGCTGAGGAGGCAGCTTCCAAGCATGATGAACATAATGCAGGCTTGGAGAACGCACTGAGCAAGTTCAACGGCCTGAGTCAAGACGTTGAAGGGCTGCAGGAGAACGTGACCATGCTGGAAGAGGCCCTGGCATTGACCCTGGCGCGAATGCAGAAGCACCTTGACGCTGTGAAGGACGAGTTGGATGCAAAGATGAAGGAGAAAACTGCTGCCGAGCAGGATTTGATGGACAAGAAGCAAGTGGTGTTGTCTGCCAACAGCATGAAGGCTTCGACAGCACAGGCGGCAAGTGATGCCGAGCAGGCAGCACAGAAGGCACAGCAGGAGTTGCGAACTCTGCAGGGCAATTTCGACCGGGCCGTCTCGAAGGCCACGAAGTCTGAGGCAGAGTCCAAGGAAGCCGCAGATGCCGCACGCGGTGCCAAGAAGGATCACGAGGACGGCCAGCAGACGGTGGAGCTGATCAAGCAACTCCGACGAGCCGTCGACGAGTTCTACGGTGCAGTTGACGAAGTTGTCTACAGCGAGCATTCCGGTTCGTTTGAAGAGGACCCTCTGTTGAAGCCTGTCCTCAAGAAGTACAACATCATGGCTTATTTTTTCATGAATTTACAGAGCGTCGCACCAGACAAGTACGAGGAGGTGAAGCCTGCCATCAAGGAGATCGAGAGGAACTACGAGGGGGCAATCGCAGAGAAGTGCGATCCAAACGGGAAGCTGATGAACGAGGACTTCGAACCCCTTCCGGAGTTTGACGCGCAGTGCGGCAGTGGCCTCTTCACCAAGGTCGGCATGACGAAGCTGATCATCCCAGAGACGCCTGCCTCTCCTGCTGGAGCTTGACAAGTCGGCTGAGCAATTCGCCTCAGGACTCTGCCTTGCGAAGCCGCAGTGGCTCGTGCAATTCTGGTGTGCCACGGGTATGTCAAGCTTCCCGGGGCCTTCAGGTTGACACACTTCCGAGAAAAGGAGGGTCGTCATGCTGCAAGTTTCTTTCCAGTTTGGGGTTCGGTCCGATGCTGGAAGGCATGTGCCGTTTTGTTGTTGCGACCGGCCGTGGCATGGCTGGACGTCCTGGGGCAGTGAGACGATCATGAGCATTGTGGCTCAAGCACGTATGCGTGTCTAGATTGCGTTTTCTGACGACTCGAATTTTCCAAGACATGGCTTGGCTGCGCACTTTCGCTGCTCCACTCACTGTGGCTCTTGCTGGGCTTCTCGGTGTAGCAAGTGCTGCACGCCACGTCCACCAGCACCGTATCAACGTGCAGGCAGAGGTGGAGGCAGGGGTGGTCCCGCGTCCCATCAGCCGAGCACTGCAGAGGGCTCAAAGGGACGCGGAGAGCAAGCTCGTGGACTACCAAGCAGCTGAAGAGACTGCTAAGGCAAAGAAGGCAAACGCAGAAGGGGCAGCTGCAGAGAAGATGTCCTTGATGGAGAACATGAAGGCAAAGACCACTGAACAACAGGCTCAGGTGCAGATGAGTCGGAAGGCAATGGTCGCTGCTGAGGAGGCAGCTTCCAAGCATGATGAACACAATGCAGGCTTGGAGAACGCACTGAGCAAGTTCAACGGCCTGAGTCAAGACGTTGAAGGGCTGCAGGAGAACGTGACCATGCTGGAAGAGGCCCTGGCATTGACCCTGGCGCGAATGCAGAAGCACCTTGACGCTGTGAAGGACGAGTTGGATGCAAAAATGAAGGAGAAAACTGCTGCCGAGCAGGATTTGATGGACAAGAAGCAAGTGGTGTTGTCTGCCAACAGCATGAAGGCTTCGACAGCACAGGCAGCAAGTGATGCCGAGCAGGCAGCACAGAAGGCACAGCAGGAGTTGCGAACTCTGCAGGGCAATTTCGACCGGGCCGTCTCGAAGGCCACGAAGTCTGAGGCAGAGTCCAAGGAAGCCGCAGATGCCGCACGCGGTGCCAAGAAGGATCACGAGGACGGCCAGAAGACGGTGCAGTTGATCAAGCAACTCCGACGAGCCGTCGACGAGTTTTACAGTGCAGTCGACGAAGTTGTCTACAGCGAGCATTCCGGTTCGTTTGAAGAGGACCCCCTGTTGAAACCTGTCCTCCAGAAGTATAACGTCATGGCTGCCAGCTTCATGAAAGTACAGAGCGTCGCGCCAGACAAGTACGAGGAGGTGAAGCCTGCCATCCAGGAGATCGAGAGGAACTACGAGGGGGCAATTGCAGAGAAGTGCGATCCAAACGGGAAGCTGATGAACGAGGACTTCGAACCCCTTCCAGAGTTTGACGCGCAGTGTGGCAGTGGCCTCTTCACCAAGGTCGGCATGACGAAGATGATCATCCCAGAGACGCCTGCCTCTCCTGCTGGAGCTTGACAAGTCGGCTGAGCAATTCGCCTCAGGACTCTGCCTTGCGAAGCCGCAGTGTCAGCTGAACAATGAACCTTAGGACTCTGCGCTGCGAAGCGTCAGCCGCAGTGTCTTCACTTCTCCCACGTGGGGTGACAAAAGGGTGCTGCTGTGCTGCTAACAGGGTCAGTTCTGAATGCACGGCTCAGACGCACGACACCGACGTTTCAGGTGAACACGGCAGCTTGGAAAGGCGGGGAGATCGCTGTAGCTGTCAAGTCAGAGATCATCTTGGTCCTTGGTGCTCAAGGCCCCATAGTCGAGCTGTACGATGTCGTCGTCACAAGCTACGTGTGGGCCCCAAGTGGCCCTGCTTTGCTACAACACCTGCGACTGCCCCTAATCCATGCTAATTCCATCATTCAGAACTACATACGTATTCCTAGCCAGAATGTATACACTATTTATTGCAAGGCAGGCGCGGTTGCATGCAACATGCTCGCACTGCGTCCCGTAGCCCCAAACCCGAACCCCAGCAACTACTCGAAGCCCTGTAAGCCCCTTTGCGAGTAGTGAGGCCTCCCAAACCCTGTATGTCCTTGGCCCACCAAACGCATTCGAAGGAGACGTTCCTTCTGAACCAGGAGATGTTCACTAGAGAAAGTCGGAGCCTGGGTTATTCAGTTGCGGCTGTCTTTTGGAAGAGGAGTGGTTGAGCCACCATGCAGCTTGGCCAAGCGTCTTTTCCTGGTGACAGGTTGGACTTGCGTCGTTCTGGACGAGGCCTGCGTTCTCTCACATCTCCAAGCTGCCAGCATCTTCCATGAAGGCCCAGTCGATCAAGAATCACGCCACCCAGACCTCTTCGGCCGTCAAGCGTCGAACTCCCGGGAGAGAGATTTGTGCCGAAACTATGTTGTGCGCCGTCACGCGCCGTCATCACCCCCCTGCATCACGCCCTGATGTTGCCTGCATGAGGTCTATGCAAGGCGCCTTTCAGACTTGCCCTCACTGGCACACCCATTGAGCAGCTTTGTGGCAGTGTGAATCCAGTGAAGGAAGGTCTGGTTCAATCGAAATGTCGAGGAATTCACTGGATGATGTCCACTCCATCCTCGAGTTTGTCAGGGCTTCAGCGGGAAGGCTGAATGCGCCTTCCAAAGATTTCCAGAAGGCAGGGACGCCGATTGCCCCCCCCCCCCCCCCCTGCCTAGGTCGAGCCTGACTGCGCGGGATGTTTGCAGGACCCGAAGAATGAGAATAGCCTATAGGCAACGTCATGAGTAGGTCCTAGGTCACACGTAGGGCGACAGCAAGGATTGCCCTAATTGCACCGTGCTGTCAATTGTCAGTCCATATCCCCGAACCCAAGCCTGGGTCTTGGCTACTTCTGATCCTTCAAGATCGAGTCTCGCAACAGCCCAAATTCATCCGAGCAGGACTTCCGGCAGCGCTTTCCAGACACGGAGGAAGGCCGAAACCACTGAGAGGGTAAAGGGTGCTGAACTGCCCTTCGTCCAAGAAGCCCAGGGCATGGACCGAGAACAGGTAGTTATTGCTACTAGCCATTATTTAGCCAGCACCGCGGCAACCGTTAGTTGGAGCCCGCCCTCAGAGAGCAGCGCAGGGCGTGCAAGCCTCCGGAAGCTGTCGCGTGCTCAGGCTCTGAGGGCTAGCGCAAGCCGATCAGCCTTGAAAAATGACACCTGCCTCCAAGAAGAGCCAAGACTCAGGAACACCCGCAGATATGCAATAGATGTACATACATCATTTGTAGATGCATATGTGTACACCCACACACAGACTTAGAACGACTTAGAAGTGTCGGGGACAATCTGTCGTGGCAGACTGCGGACGTCTTTTGCAATACTCCGACGTGGTGTTAGCTGGTCGGGTGAAATTTTGCCAGCAGTAGCAGAAACTAAGAACTGTCCGAGTTGCGAACGAGTTGATTAACAGGCGACGGACTGTGTTTGCCACATTCAACAAGCACAGGGTGTTTGAGCTGACGGGGGCTAAACTCTGCAACGCTACAAGACGAATCGTGCGGGCTGAGCTGCACCGCTATAGAGCCAGCAGCTGCATGTCAAGCCTGGGTGGGGGATGCGAAGGTGAGGAGTAATCTCAGCATTGCCTCTAGTTTCTAGTCCATGGCTTTGAACTTAAAGCGGCTTTCGCCCATGGTTCTCTGACATATCGCTATAGAAGCCGCAGCTGGTTCGCAACGCCGTGAGTCGAAACCCTGAAGCATCACTCCGATTCTCCAAGCCAATAGAAACCTGAACTTAGGCCCGCAGCCCTTTTGCTAGAAGCCAAAGGCTGCAGTTGATCACACTGCGCCGGGACAGCGGCGAGGCCGCCCTATTCTGTTACTACGACTTCCAGTGACGTTGGATTCAGAAGTGGATTTCGTGCTTGCGGTGGGCCCCACATCATCCACGAGAGACATTGACGTGTTCGTGTTCTTCTGCTTGTTTTTGTGTACACTAGGCAGCTTTGGAGCCAACAGTTCAAGGTATTGATTATTTTGTTCTCTTGGGACCATTTCAACCTTCAGAGTGTTCAGTTGATATGTGCAAAAAGGATTTGGTATATGCGACATGTTGTGACCTCGAATCAAGTGTGCGTATTGATCTGCACTGCACTGCAAGCTTCACCTTCGTGCAGAACGCGATGGCAGTAATCACATTGCGATCAGCCCAAAGCCGCTCGTTACACCAAATGCCACTCGAACTTTGCCTGTTTGCGAGCAGGCTCGGCTAATTCTCCCAGCAGGGCTTTTCTCCCACAAGTGTTTTTCCCCCTGCATCTGTCCTTTCAAAGCCTGTTGATTAGAAGAACACCCTAATTATCCTTATCCTTGTTACTTTCACGCGCTCCAAGCTCCTCGCCGCAAGCGTGGATAATCGTCCTGGAGGCTGTTCAGTTGGTCGCAAAGGAGGAAGTGGAGGCCGTGCTCGCCTGGCCGTTTGAGTCGCTCGCACGATGTTGCACGGACGACACTGTAGGTTCCTTTGCAGATGGCTCCGGATCAAGCTGCACTGTACAAGGCTGTGTCGGAATCTGAAGCTTTGCTTCGAGCTTCTCTTCGGGTTTTGCAGTCTACCGAAGGTTCTCCAGGAAGCGGCCTTGCGACAAGAGCTATTCGCTCAGTGCGTTGCTGTTGTGAATGCGGGCCCCCGAGTCCTGTTCGCGAAGTCAGTGCTGCAGCTAGCAAGGATTGCGCCACATCGGTGCCTGCGTGAACTCGAGCTGTCCTGCCGGCCTGGCTTTACGGGCAGTGGCTGCACTGTTACGTTGCTTGCTTGTGTATGCTTGTGTAGATTGTTGTCCATCGGTTCAGAATCTCGTACGGTGTGTTTCATACCTGAATAGCCACAGATGTGCTCACTGGTTCACATCTGCATAGCATTAGAAGTAGAAGGCATTGTTCTCAGTTTGTTTTCGTGCTCGGGCTGCTGGTGGCAGGCTCTGCACGCATCCCTGGTGCTATGCGAAGCGTGGGACTGGAGAGGCGGGTCTTGTCTCCATCCGCGCAACTCCGGGAGGGGGGGAACGAGAGAGGCAGGGAGAGGGAGCTGGTGGGCGGGGACCTAACCAGTCAGTCCCTCAAGCGCAGTCAAAGAGGTAGGAGCACTGTGATGGATGCAGCTCTAGGGCTCTGAACGTCGCCATGCTGCCCTTGACCTGTTTCATCACATTTGTTTGATGCTGCATCGCGGGTACGTGTTATGGTGTCATCTTCGCGCAATCATGTCTGGTCAACACACGCCGGGGCGAAAGTTATGTTCAGCGTATGACTTGTAGAGATCCGAATCCTCATGAGTTTGTGTTGGGTGTGAGGTTGCCCTGACGACCCTTACGCCCAACAGAAAGTAAAGGCGAGCGAGAGAGCGAGCGAGAGACACGAAGGAGCGAGAGACAGAGTCGATCGAAAGAAAGAGGCAGAGACAAAGGAACGGTGGGAAGCATTTCTTTTCGCTGTGCATTTCCTCTGCACGCGAATTCATTGGAGAACCATGCGGACACCGAAAAGGTCTCTCCACTGCCGAATTGCATCGGAGAAGCCCAGACTAGAGGCTGACATTGTTGGCAGGACTTGACCGAGGAAGCATTAAGTCGGCGCCGTGCGCCTTGCCTGCATCACGAGGCTGATGTGAAGCTTCCAGAAAGACAAGTGGAGGTGTTGTAAGGTTCATTCCGAATGGCCCCAAGCCGGTAGCCATCAGCCAAAAACGCGTCAGTAAGGTGTTGAGCAAAGTGGATGTGCTGCGCTCTCAGTTGTTTGGGTTCTTGCGTAGGCCTAAGCAACGAACGTTTCGGTCCAGCCTGCCATTCTGACTGCTTTGCATAAACGGGCGACGCCATCTTTGCAGGACGACTTAGGACCGTCTTGTTGAGGGCATTCTCGGAGGAGTAAGCCCGAGGGAATGGGTGTGTGGTTTAGCACAAGCAGGACGTACGGCCGCAGACGGGGCATTGTTGTGAGTTCCGGCAGCAGCTTAAGCTCAACAAAGACTCGCGTAGATGTCTAAGGCATACCTGAAACTTTAGTCACATCCGAAACCCTGGCTCGAAGACTGCTCAAAGCAGTTTGCGGTACACTGCAACCCGCGACTCGACAGCCCGCTTGCGCCGCTTGGGCTGCAGAGATGGAAGGCAAAATGAGGGACGGACCGTGAAGCTTTCCAACGTTCGAAAGCACGTACAGACCCAAAGCATCAGGGCTCCAAATCGCAAAGCTCTTGAAGCCTATACTGCCTTTTCTGAGGGTTTGCAGCAAGGCCATGTCGTCTTCTACGGCTTTTGCAATGCTCTCCGTGGCAGGCACGTGGGCTGTAAACTGTACTGGACGGGCAGCTTCGGGATTGCGTTCGTGTGCGCCACGGGATGCAAGCTATCGTTCGACCTGTCCGAGACCACTAGGTTCTGAGAGGCCCTTCATGTGTGGCCGGATGTGAGCGGGGTGCTTTCGTGTTCCAGCTCTCTGTGTGGGGAGGCGGCTACTCTGCTTGTGACCTTCCGCTATTTGCAGGTCCCCGGCCTGATCTGGCATCGTCAAGGCCAGGTGACTGTTGTGTCAGAGCAATAGCCCGACTGCAGCACCGAGCCCTTCCATGGTTTGGGTCTTGTGGGTTCTATCGCCTTGCCCGCAGCGGCTGTGCACATTGGCAAAAAAACCTGAAGTGCAAGTGATACCTTGTCTGCAACCCTCTGACAGGATCTTGACTTCTGACTGCACCTGAACTCCGGTTGGTTCAGGGCCCATGCATGGTTTTTGGAGAAAGTAGTTCACGTGTTCGACCGCTCCAAAGCGATCGTAGAGGTTTGAGGGGACCCTGGCCTTTCCAAGCCTGTGTTGTGGGCTTATGATCACATGTAGACAATGATTTAATTTGGAATTGGTGATTGATCTTATGAGAGCTTAGTTCCAAAACTCGGCGTAGAGTCCACTTGACAGAATACAGTCAAGTTGCAACGCATGGCTGGGAATAGTGTGTAGCACACATCTCGTCCGTATGTGCATCTCTGTGCGTGTAGGCATGCATCTGCATGTGTGTATCGATGTGCCTAATTCTGTGTATATCTATATAGTCTATATACAGATGTATGTATGTTTGTATGTATGCATTTTTGTACACGTACTTATTATGTATGCATGTATGCGTGGTGTGGACGGATGTTCGATACAATGCCATTTTAATGGAACGTATGTACTGGTTGCATGCATGGACGTACATGAAAATTTAAATATATGTGTGTATGTACATATATATGTATGGATTTTTTGTATGTTGTGCATGTTACGCGTGCTATGTGTGTTCTACATAATATGTACTGATGCATGAATGTATGTAGGTATGGCTCTGTCCGTCTGTGTGTATTAATGTATGTAAGAACATATGCAATTGTAACAGTGCTAGTGCACAGTAACCTCTCCTGATCCGTCGAGAGTGAGTGACAAAAATGTAAGAACATATATCGTATGAACTACATGCATGTAAGTAGAAAGCGTAAGGACTGTATTGGAAATACGGTTACGTAAGTATGCAACTTAATGTATAATGTAATGTACGGTAATGCATGTAGCGTACGTATGTATGTATGTATGCAGGTAAGTAGGTAGGTAAGGTAGGTAAGGTAGGTAAGGTACGCAGGTGGATAGGCAAGATGTAATTACACCTCGCCTGAGTCTCTCGAGCGCAAGTGCTAAATATGTACGCAGGTCCGATAGAATACTTTACTGCATTATCTTATGCCATGTCACATCTCACTGTACTGTATCTAGTAGACTAATGTATGACATATGGTCACATGATATACATATGCATATATTATGCATGTCTATATGTACTCATACACGTATATACATACATACATATATACATATACATATGCATTTACGTATGTACGTAGGTATGCCTGTATGTATGTATGCATGTATGTATGTAGTTATGTAATAAAGTAACCTCGCCTGCCTGTCGAGTGCGAGTGACAAAAATATTATGTTTGTATGTACGTAGGATTGTGGAGGAGTGGTTGTACACACACACATATACATCTACGTACGACGTCAGGCATACAAGCTACTAAATGCAAGCTAGTCGTTAGTAGATTCGCGGAGCCGCCCGCAGGAAAGCCTTTCCTATTGCATGGCAGCCGTCTGCAGCGAGCCTTCAAGGTCAGGGGGCGATTGTCGGCACTGGGAGATTGGACTTCGGGCACGTCGGGTTTAGAGTGTTCGGGGCTCAAAGTTCTTTTGCTAAGCAGAAGCCTATTTAATCCGCCTCCGGCTTGGGCATGAGACGCAGGTCAGAAAATCCTGCGAGCGTTGGCGTGTTAGCATCGTCATAGTCATGCGCGTGAGAGAACTGTTTGATGGCAAGTCATCAGGTGACCCGAATACCCTTGCACGCAGGTGCGAGTGGCAGCTCTGGAGCGCAGCTGCTTGGCAGTTATTCGCGAGCCCAGGCTGTGAAATCCGTAGAAACAATGGATCTAAACTGGGTTCTGGACGTGTGGATGCCAGATCCTTGCTTGTATTGGCAAGTGGCCAAGGTGCTGCCTGCACTTTTGAGAGCAATGCTAACGGTGGTGTTGATGATACTGCTGCTGTTCAGCTACTTCTGCTGCAGCTGCCATTGTTGCTACTGCCAGTTCCAGCTGGAATGTCCGCTGCTGCAATTACGAGTGAGGGCGACCACCATTCGTGCTAAGAAGCGCTACCACGAGCACGACCTCCTACTACTACTCTTCCTCCTGGGTGACAAAAACTATTCCTCCTGCTACCACTATTGGTCCAGTTTCTTCCCTGTCGAGTTTGCGTTTTCCTACCAGGGTATTCGGTAAAGTTCAGTGTTGCGCCGGTGTGGTGGCGTGGTGCTACTACTACTACTACTACTACTACTACTACTACTACTACTGCTACCGATTTAGATTGACAAATCTAGATGAATAGACCAGGCTCCTGTCATCCTCAGCGGCAATTACCGTGGCGGCACTGGCTATGAGACACATGACGCAGAGGCTCGAAGCAAGATCGCGCCCAGCTATATGAGAGCCTGCGATTTTGGGGGTTGATCGATCCGGATCGTACTGAAACTAACACTTCAAAGTTTCCCCTGACAGGAATCGAAGCAACTCGAAGCCTAGCTGCAGCAGTCTAACGTGGAACTTTGGTTTTCTTTCTGTGCAGTTCCCCTTTACGGACAGAGGTGCAGCAGGGTCAGCCAAGTTGCACGAGCACCTTCAAACTGACCGGCAAACAAGGTCGCGTGTTGCAGTCGCTGCTCAGTGCAAGAAGACGCAGTGCGTGCACCCTGACAAGCCGATGATGTTTGCTTGTGCCAGTCTCAGCGTTTGAAGACTGCCGCATGAGTCATGCAAGCAATGTGACTCTCTTTTGAACCTACTTTCTCGTCTCGTGCCAGTGTCACACCAGCACCCGAAAGACACTACGAACATGGCATCAAAAGATAGAACCCACGGCATCTTCGTCGATGGGAACCACCACCACAACGATCGCGAGCCGTCAAGCCACCAGCGGCACCACAAAACCCGACCACCAACCATCTGTGCCGAATAAATTTGCGCAGAGGTTTGGTTATTTGACACATGGCCTTCAGCCGTGTTGCATTCGCTGAAATGCGAGTCCTCTGTCCAGATGCGCCGTCATTCTTTCCCGCTCGTATCGATGCAGAGCGCAAGCTGACTGTTCTGCCAGCCCCACGCAGTCGAGTTGCACATTCCGCAGCTCTAAGAGCATCGGCTTGAGGCTGGACTCGTGGCACCGTCTCGGTGTGCGGCAGCTAACTCGAACTGATGCTGCTGTCATTCCATGCATGATGATGGATATGTCTGTATGAAAGTCGCATCATGCTTCGATGGAGTTGGCTGCTCGTTGCTAAGGTGCAGACTGCCCTCGTCGCGGTGTTGCCCCGGAGCTTGACGAAGAGCCGCTGGCGGCGGCGGCATTCCTTGGAGAAAGCGTTCCAAGCAACACGTGCTCCAAGAAGACCCAGTGCGTGCACCCCGACAAGCCGATGATGTTTGCTTGCCTGGCTCTTAGTGAATCGACCTTGGTTTCCACGTCTTCAGTATGTCACTACGCCGCCGGATGACCGAGGTCTTATCTCACGAGCAGGGGTGGCACACATTGCGTGTAGAAGTGTTTCTGAGTGTTTGCGTTTGCTGAGGTGCCGACTGCCCTCGTCGCGGTGTTGCCCCGGAGCTTGACGAAGAGCCGCTGGCGGCGGCGGCATTCCTTGGAGAAAGCATCCCGTGCAACACGTGCTCCAAGAAGACTCAGTGTGTGCACCCCGACAAGCCAATGATGTTTGCCTGCGCCGCTCTTAGTCAACGTCATTCGACGGATATCGACGGTTGTCTCAATGTATGCTCATCGATGCAGACAGTCTGCGTAAATGGGTTTGTCCCATTGCATGCAAGAAAATTCTAGTCCAGAGTCCATGCCGCACAGGTAGATGTCTCTGGACAGTTTGGTGCTAAGGTGCAGACTGCCCTCGTCGCGGTGTTGCCCCGGAGCTTGGCGAAGAGCCGCTGGCGGCGGCGGCATTCCTTGGAGAAAGCGTTCCAAGCAACACGTGCTCCAAGAAGACCCAGTGTGTGCATCCCGACAAGCCGATGATGTTTGCTTGCCTGGCTCTTAGTGAATCGACCTTGGTTTCCACGTCTTCAGTATGTCACTACGCCGCCGGATGACCGAGGTCTTATCTCACGAGCAGGGGTGGCACACATTGCGTGTAGAAGTGTTTCTGAGTGTTTGCGTTTGCTGAGGTGCCGACTGCCCTCGTCGCGGTGTTGCCCCGGAGCTTGACGAAGAGCCGCTGGCGGCGGCGGCATTCCTTGGAGAAAGCATCCCGTGCAACACGTGCTCCAAGAAGACTCAGTGTGTGCACCCCGACAAGCCAATGATGTTTGCCTGCGCCGCTCTTAGTCAACGTCATTCGACGGATATCGACGGTTGTCTCAATGTATGCTCATCGATGCAGACAGTCTGCGTAAATGGGTTTGTCCCATTGCATGCAAGAAAATTCTAGTCCAGAGTCCATGCCGCACAGGTAGATGTCTCTGGACAGTTTGGTGCTAAGGTGCAGACTGCCCTCGTCGCGGTGTTGCCCCGGAGCTTGACGAAGAGCCGCTGGCGGCGGCGGCATTCCTTGGAGAAAGCGTTCCAAGCAACACGTGCTCCAAGAAGACCCAGTGTGTGCATCCCGACAAGCCCATGATGTTTGCTTGCCTGGCTCTTAGTGAATCGACCTTGGTTTCCACGTCTTCAGTATGTCACTACGCCGCCGGATGACCGAGGTCTTATTTCAAGATACCCACGACTGCTAAAATCTATTATGTTCAAGAAGGCATTGTCAAACGTTTCGGCATTGCTAAACGTTGCGTGTAGAAGTGTTTCTGAGTGTTTGCATTTGCTGAGGTGCAGACTGCCCTCGTCGCGGTGTTGCCCCGGAACTTGACGAAGAGCCGCTGGCTGCGGCAGCATTCCTTGGAGAAAACATCACATGCAACACGTGCTCCAGCAAAACCAAGCGCACGCAGTCTGTCGGGGAAGAGCGGCTGCAAGACTGATGCCGGTTGCACTTTTAGCACAGGCGTTAAAAGGCACAGGAGTTTTCATGCGATCCTGCACCGGATGGGCTCCCTGCAACTGTTTGTCTTGTGCTCAACTTCTAAACAGAAGCATGAGCTTTGACTTCTTGAAGCATGCTGACAGAACAACACATCCTACAATCACCGTTCTACTCCGGACCTTCAGAAGTCAACAAGCTGGCAGATTCTGCAAGCAATTTTCTTGCCATCCGCTGCACGCACTAATTCGGCGAGCTGCATCGGGGCCGATGTGGGTGGTACCCCGGTTTGAGGCAGAGGTTGCAGAACAGGAGTTCGCAGCCTGACACTGGGGGACACCCGCGGCGACTGTATTACCCTGATCAGCTGCGCATGTGTTTGAATCTACCGCCGGCTGTCAGACAACAGTGCCTCGACTAGACTATATACGGGTTGCTTCGCAGCTTGTCGCACGATATGGTGTTTTTTTTTCTGACTGCCCCTTTGGCTTTTGCATCTAGTATGATTCTGGATTTTGCCTTGCTGGCGTGACCACCTGCAGACAGAAGGATCGAGTTTCCAGGGTCGTTCGAGCAGAAATCCATGCTGTTTGATGCAGGTCCAGTGCTTTATGGCCCTACTGTAAAGGCCAGGTGTAAGCCACACTGGGCGCCACCTGCCGGTGTGCATCCGTTGATGTAGCTTGCACTCCAAGTGGTACAGGACTGGGTACAGTGCCGACGACCACCAGAGACATCACAGAAACCTGCCGTGTTTCAAATCTAGACGTGCAGAAAAAGAAGCCGAAGAGGGATTGGATGCGGATCTTCTTGCTTTCGGGGGCAGACATGGGATAAACTGAAGACTTTGAGACGCCTTGCAGAAGGCCCTGTGCTCCGGGAGGAAATCGTACTTGTCAAGACTAGCGCAGATCTCTGAAGGCCAGAACGCTTCAATGGCCAGGACTGGGAACCTGGGAACGGAAGACGGGTCGTCCGCCATGTCACGGTCACATGTGCCTACACGGAAAGCCTGGGGCGAGGCAATGGAAGCATTCAAGCCTACTGAAGCCTTAACTATGCCTTAAGGAACATCAAGCGATGCAGCCGCAGGCTCAGGACCAAGACATCAACGACAGCGGAAAGCTCCGCCCTCAAACACAACTTGGGAGTTTGCTAAGATTGCTAGGCACTGGATCCATATAGTGAGGAGCCAGGTCTTTGGGTTTATTCACATGTGATTTCGTCCAGTTTTCATCATGCCGTCCGCGAGTTTGTCGGCTATGGCACGATACAAGTCGGTTCTAACGAGCCTGGAAGTGACACCAGTGTCGGTGTCATAGAGTCGCAGGTATCATCGGTTCGACAAGTTCTCTAGTCTTTGGCTCAGGCTGGTAGAGCTGTTCAACCTCTTGTCCGGAACTTGGCGCTTCCAAGCTGCGACGGAAGTGATTGCTGACCGCAGGTGGTTCCTCATCCTCTTGGCATGCTCAGTAGTCAACCTCACCTTTGCGGCGCTTGCTGTGAGCAACTCGCGCTAAGAGTCAGGCGTGGCATAGTCGCGCGGAGAGAGAAGGTGTGGATCTTGGAGCGTCTGCTGGTTGTAGTGCTGGCGGAAGGTGCGAGCAGCTTGGTGCCTGCAGCCTGAGGTACTCGTTTTCTTCTGTCGCACAGCAGCTAGCTCAGACCGGGGCGGTGTGGAGGGTCAGAAGCCAGTGTTTCGTGTTTCTGAGGAACCTTCAGGGCCGTTGAGGGCGTTAGGCAGCATCGAAACTCACCGATCTTGACCCATCCTAAAACTCTCGTCCGCTCGTGACGCGGCCAAACCAAGCACGAGAAAAGTGGCCTGAAAGCATGGAGTTCCAAATGCTGCCACAGTTTAACAGGATGATAGTTTGCCTCTACCTTCCGAGAGCGAGTGGATTGACGGCAGATTTCCAAGGTCACAAGTAAGCTTCTCGCAGCTCTCATGGAGCGTGAGTGAGGATCTCGGTGCCGGAGGGGGTGGGCTTGGTTACCATAACCCCACCGGTATGCAAGGCAGGAATCGCATACAGGCGCCAAGCTGATTGTTGCTTAGGACAGATGCATTCGGGCTTTCTTTTATCAACTGTTTCCCGAAAGAAGCACAGTTCAGGTTCGGCGTGCGGCCTGGAATCTTGCAGGGGGTGCTGGCCTCGTCGAAACGCTCGTTGCGCATCCAGGGGTGCTGAGGGTCTAGTCACTAGCCTGGAGTCTAGATTGAAAGCAGGCCGAAGATAGTCTCACCAGCTTGATACAAGTATTCGTATCTTGTGAGCAATAGGTGCTGATACATAAGTCCGATCCTCTGCACAAGCAGCACTACTACGAGCTCGAGTTCCCAGTAGAGCGACAACAACAGCTAAGGTCACACCCTTGCTGTTGCTGCTGAGAAAGCAAGCAAGTAAGCAAGTTCAACAACCAACCCACCCCGTCACCCATCCAGCAAACCCACCGGCCAGCCGACTGGCTGCTAGCGGCCAGTCACCAACAAGCTCATGAATTTGAAAAAGCATCCAACTGCGTCATTGGCTAGCTAAATAATTACCAAGAATAACAACGAGAGCAATAACAGCAGTGACAGCAACAATCTCAACAGCAGCCACAGCAATGCAACCACAGGAACCACAGCAGCAGCAGCAGCAGAAGCGGCCCTGCCCATCCATCATTTGGGTCTGCTGATCACTTGACACACCATCAAGGACACGCCGCACAACGAGCGCGAGCGGATCGTGCGAGAGTTCAAGGCAACGCCAATCCCAGGAGAACCGCAGTCCCAGGCGCCCGGCATTGCCACCCAAAGAAGTTGCAGCTTCCTGGCAAAAGTCTCTCAGCAGGTGCTGCTGCTCTCGGTGTGGGTGGGGGCCGTGGGTCCGTAGCCCAGTTGACCCTGCTACAATGCTACAAGACCCGCAATGGTCGTGGTCGTGGGGATTTGGGACGGAGGCCTGAACTTGCCAGAAGCACGCTGGGTCGAAGGCTCAGGAGGTTCCGCTGGTAACCGATCTGCTGCCCTTGACGCGTCTGGAGTTCTGATAAACTCGTGGGAAGCTTTGAAGCAGCTGGTGTACGACGCCAATGGGCCTCAGGTCTCGCCGAGTCTCGTTATGTCTTCCTGAAACTTTCACTTCTCTGGAAGATGAACTGAGGTAGTGCACGTTGAGCGCGTGTGGAATCCGGCGCTTGAGCGCCAGGCTCGATGAAGCCACAATCCCTACGCAATCATTCAAGATGCTGTCGCATGCCGTGATCTGAACAGAAGGAAGTGCTAACAGTAGCTGCTGCGAAGGGCAGAATTTCAAGAAGCATAGCTTTGCGTTTTCAGCGGCTACAGTGGCAATCGGTGTTGTCGTCCATGGTTGCCACATGCCTCCGTAGTGTGCACCATCTCTTTCGAGACATCAGTGGAAACAGTACTGTGCTGTGGACGATCCCATAGTGGTATCTGGTTTCAAGAAGCCACGGTTTATCCGGATAGCGTGAGCATGATGGCCCCAACGCACAGAAAGGAACAAAAGACATGACGCGGAGCATGTTCGCAACATGTGGGCGGCATTAACAGTACCCGAAAGCAATCATTACGACCATGATGGGCAGCACAAACCACGACAACAGTCATCAGGAATACCAGTGCAAAGTCCAGAAATCAAACGTCCTGATGGATGATCGTAATCCTCGCGACCCTTTCTGTGGCTGCAGGCTACCAGCCGCGCACACCGGTTGACCTCCCGCAAGCCAGTGAAGGCGTATTGCCTTTTCATGCAGGCGGGAGAGGGCGGGCGTAGTTCGCAGTTGAAAGGTTTGGAGAGGGTTGCTGTAAAGAGGGATGCCTTGACAAGCCTCACTCAGCGAAAGCTTTGGGAAGTGCCTGCAAAGACACAACACCCCATTCCTGAGGAGCCCTTCCACCTTCGGTTCCATGTTAGACTTCCAAAGCAATGCGAGAGGGAAAAAATTGTTGGCAGCGGTCCCGAACTGTAGCAATTGATTGATTCTAGCCAACTCAGTTACTTGCCTAAGTTAACACACTTTCATCAATAGCGGCCCTGCGAGGAGTTTGTTTTCCCGGAACCCTTGAACACCGTTTTCAGTTGTTGTTCGAGCCAGGCAAGGGATCCCTTCTCAAGCATCCAGACAAAAGCCTCTCAGAAGCTAGACCTAGGACCTAGGGCAACTCTCACATGAGGACACGTTGGAAGAGCGCAAAGCTTCGGTGCTGTCCTCTAAGCCCAGATCCCAGTTTCTCGCTTAGAGTTGGCGAAGCCTGGCAGGCAGCCGAGGCAATGTGTTTGGACTAAGCAACTTTGAGGTTCTTCCGCTTGGGTGAGTGCTGCGTTCTTTCTGTCATCCGGAAGTCGCCAAATCTCCACTCCAGTCGAGATCCCACTTCTCACATCACCGGATTTGTAAACAGACCTTGATACACTGCATCGTGGATCTGCATGTGGGGGGATGATCTGTTGTATGTGCATAGGTGTTGTCCTAGTCTGTGTTGACCACGGTTGACCCAAAAGACAAGATGGTAAAGCATTGGGCAGCCCTATGAGACGAAGTCTACTTACACGATTCCAACGCGTGCGCAAGCAGAGACCATGCTTATAATGAACCACACGGAGGTATCGCCTGTCTACAAATGTGATGGAAGCTTTGGACTTGGAGCAGGACGAGGTGGGGGAAGAAGGCGCGGTGTGCACTTCTGCATTTGGTGTGAGCTGGGTGTGAGCCCGTCTTTGGCTTGGGCCTTAAGCCTTAGGGCTGAGTGGCGTATCCGGTTTCGCATTGCAGGCAACAGCGACGAGCTTGGCAAGGTGGGCTCTCTCTGGACAAGCAGGAAACCGTGATGCCCAACACAGTAGCATGTTTACTCGTGATAGGCACATGGAGAGGAGCTGCGCGCGCACGACGCTCAAGCACTCTCAGCCTCAGTTCTTTCTCTTTCTCTGGCCGCAGAATCTCAATATCTCGTGGCTAGACCGGAATCTGGGTGGCGCATGCCTGCGGGATGATGAGGCTGCTTGGCGGAAGTTCTAGCAGTCCCGAGACCCCCTTGGCCTGGCACTGAGACCCAGACATGTGAAAGTGTTGCGGCCTCCGACTGCACCTTGCAGGAGGTTAGATTGCATGCCCGTGGAAGAGCCAATGCCTTTTCAGGAGCAGAGCTGGCAGAATAGCCCGAGCCCTATATCGATGTCGGCATCTTTTGACATGCGTTGATGTCTCCTTGGAGATGTTGCCATAAGTTGCCACGCCACGGAAGCGCAGGCCCAGAGGACGAGGCAGCTCTGGCCGAGGCGTTCCCAGAGCACCGATGGAGGGTTCGGCTGGCCAATCTTTTCATGTCAGGCAGACCCAGAGGAAAGCAAAGAGCCGTCCAGCGACGTGGGACGCTCAGCAGCTCTGCGTGTTGCTGATGCTAGTGAATGTCATGGGGTCAGTTGCGGCGACCTTTTAAGTAGCTTCATACTGCCGGCTTCAGCACTTGTGTCAGGAAGAGGACGACGACCCAGGGAAGCCAAAAGGCGTTGGGCATGTTGCTTGATGCGTGTGGCCTTCTAGTAAGGTGCCGTTCGGTTCTGCCTTGCTTACAGCGCGGTGGAAGTCCTGGCAACAAGGGACCAGATGATCACATCTGCAAGCCATGACGCTGTGCCTCACCATTCAATCTCGTCATCGATGCGGTTTGGCACGGCCAGTTCTCGAGCACTTGTGGTCCTTGTGGTGTATTGGCTTTGTCCATTCGTTAAGAGAGTCTCAGACACTCTGGTTGGCCAGGAGACCGGTGCCCACTTTATCCGGCACTTGCCAGGCTCCGCTTGGAGTTGCTCCAAAATGCTTGCATCCTGCGTTGCCCCCACTCTGTAGGGAAATGATCTCCAGGGATAGAAAGGCCGCAAATCGCATGGTGGTCAAACGCAGAGGCTGCGCCCCCTACGCTTCAAGAGGAAGATGTGGGTTGGCAAGCCGATGGCTCAGAGGCCTCGCAGGCGGCCCCCCCTTTGGGTTCCACTCAGAACTGGGTGTTTTTTCCTTCTTAACATGATCCCGTTGATGATAGTCTGATAGTCGATGAGCAGGGTGGTTCCTGCTATGAGAAGTTCTTGACTCTGGGGCCTGGGCGGGCTGCTGAGGTATGGAAATCCAGAGGATGAAGAGTTGTGGGACCCCGGGGTCCGTGCGCAGCTAGGCTTCCCATGTTCGCTGATGCACAGCGCTGTGGGAGCTTGGAGAAGACACCGACAGGACTGGTACACCGTGAAGGGGCACCGGGAGGCCGCCCTCTTGCGGAGAAGTGTGGATGGACAACACAACGGCCTCGTAGTCTTTGCCGTCGGGAATTTAAAGTGAGGTGGTTTTTGCCCGGGCGGAGGGCCTCAGGCGGAACTCGTCCGTGCTTGCTGTTTGTCCACCTGTTCACTTGGTAGGTTCCGCAGGCGGCAAGTGGCGACTCAGCCATCGTTCATAGTCTGACATAGACCCTGTTTCAGCTCCACTGAAAGCTTCTGTGCAGGTTTTGAAAACTCGCCTCGATAGAAAAAGTAAATTTGTGATGCTTATCAACCTCATCGAGTACGAAGGGTATTGACTTCGACATGCAGAGGCTGCAGTGTGAAAGCTGCTGCAACAGCAACCACCAGAGACAGCGCAGCAGAAACTTTAAGCCCCAATGACTGTGTTGCAGGTGCACGAGCGAGCCCCAGCTTGCAGCACTGCAGGGAGGGAGAAGCTGAGCTTGGCCCTCTGAGCTGCTTCCGGTCATAACCTTTAGGGCTAGGGTATGATAGCTGAGGGGCTGGGTAGGGAATTTTGAACCCCTTGCAGATATAACCCTACAATGGCCATACCCTACCGTGATTAAAAGGTTACACTTCTTGCACTAGGGCATTAGGGTAAACTCAGGCCCTATTTCAGGAAGTTTTAGGGTTCTCAGATTCTTCTTCGACGGCTCTTGGGGTTCAGGATTTTGGGTGGTTGGGAAATGTGGTCTTTTGGGACATTGAGTTGTTTGGTGATTGCAGGGCTGTTAGGAGTTTTGGAATTCTAAGGTTGAGGTTTGGGGTTAAAACATGGAAATGGGCAAAACATGAGGACAATCCGTTTCAGCGGCGTTTGTACGGGATATTTTCCCTTCTTTGTCATACGTTATCTTCTGAGTTTCTTAAGGTAGCTGAAATAAATGTGATGCTGAGCAGGGGAAGTTCGGAGGACGACTAATGACTAATTGTTGCTGCATGTTTTTTTGGAACAGCAGTCTATTTTGCAGTACCAGACGAATTGTCCAGTCCAAAGCAAAACTTCTTCCGTCGTGCCCGGTTCGCTTGCTGCTTGAACCACCAAACCCAGGACGAAAGGGTCATTCGATTGTCCCTTTCAGCAGCCGACCAAGCCGCATCCGACACGTGCGACGCCAAGAGTGCCTGCAGAACATCGTGCAATGCCGGGAGCTGGCTGCAAGTCTTTGCCTGCACTCACGGCAGGGCCAGTCCTTTAAAGCGTATCTGCAATGCAGGCAAGGTCAAGTGTAGGTTGCTGTCATGCAATTTCTACCGGCTGCTCTATCGATCTGCCGGCAAGTTTGTGGGTCCGCGAACTATCAAACCAAGACTATTGCTATTGCCAATACAAAACAAAAGACTGGCAGCTGCAAAGGTACCCGGAAACATCGCTGTCAGGCTTCAACCACAAGCCGGGGCGACAATCACTTCAGTGCTACTGCATAGAGGTGATGCAAACGTAAGTAGCCTCACTTGACAAGCGGGCTCTACTGTGGCAACACTGGCCATGCAAGCATTGGGAGTGGCTTCGCGCAGGAAAACCTTGCAATTCCAAGATCAAATTGGTTCGGTGCAATATCCGTGGAATCGGAGCATGCAAATGAATACGTACATGCCTTTGTACCTAGATGTGGACTGGACAGATAACGTTACTTACTTACTTACACTCACACACACAAACACTCAGTTTTCTTGCCTATCAAGAAACTCATTCGTCCAGCTCGTGCCTGCGAGCCGGTTCCAAGCAGCACATAAGACCTTGCAAAATAGTCAAGATGACGTGGATTGTCCGAGAGTGAGGGTACATATCCTGAGCCCTAATCCGGTTTTGACCTTGCTAGGTCGGCGAGCGTGGGGATCGAATTGTCACTGTGGCCCTGGCAGAGGGGGTGCAGAGTTCTCAGCTGTGTAAGGAGTTCTGTTTTCAATTCTTGGGATGCTGTTGCTCATTTGCCCTCCATCTTCGCCCTACAGTTCGTGAGTTCTCGAGACAGATTGTCAGACTTTGATGAGCCGACACATCACTTGCTGGACATGCGAGCAGGAAGAGGAGGAGGCGGAGGAGGCGGAGGAGGAGGGAGAAGGAGGAGCCGCCGGAGCAGGCGCAGCAGGCGGAGGAGGCGGAGGAGGCGGAGGAGGAGCAGCTGAATCACAAGTAGGAGGCTGCAGCAAATTTTGCTGGCTGCGATGCGCTAAGGACCTGCCGGCTCTTCATCCCAAGCGAGTCTCAGCAGATGTTTTCCGAGGTGCACATGTATCTTGTGGAATCTTGTGGCCCTTGTTTAACATTCCCTCTCATGCTGCGAGGACGAGCAGGGAATATTCGCCCAGCCGGCCAAAAGCGGCGATGCGGCCTTTCCCGTTGTGAGCCTAGGTGCAAGGATTTGAAGTTGCACATGCGTGTTGCGGTTTCCTGGCTTACAGTTCAACAGTACACTGTTCCAACTTGCGGCCAGGTTGTCGGTATTCAACTGAGGTGCTCACGCCATCCTCCGGACGTTCTGCCATTGATGAGGAAGTGGGGCTGTGCAGCCGCCATGTCTTTCCAATGTGCATTGCGAGCGACCGCGGGCATCAAGGGTTTCAACAAAGCAGAATCTTTCGATTACATGTGTCAAGCAGTGGCTTTGCGATGGAAGCCCTCACGTCCGGCCTGGGGCCGTCCATGCCAGGCTTGACATCACTCCCGGCATGGTCGACGAGACCTCGCAGCCGCTGAAGTTCCTTCAGATTGTTGCCGTCGGTCCCCGAGAGATGAGAGGAGCCTTACGCTTACGACTTACGCAGCTTACACTACGGATGCCTAGGCGGGTCCAGGGTTGGAGGGTTGCCCCTTGGTGGGCTGACCGGGCCGAGGTCAAGCCCTCCGAGGTGGAGAAGCTCCTTGGATGAGAGCAGACATTTTGATATCTTTCGTATTCTTATGCTGGCGGTAGTGAGGGCGGCGTGGAGGTGGTCGTGGCAGAGGTCGTTCTGTTCTGCCCTGGTCCTTTTAGCACAAGTTGTTGCTTTTGCTATCCTTTGCTGTTCGAAGTCTGTCTTACTATTCTGCGCTCTGACATCTGACACTGTTGTCATTTGTAGTTTTGCAGAGCCCCGATTCCATCTCCTGTGAGTGACACCAAGTTATCGAACGAGCTCTCCATTCTTCGCTTCGCTCTCAGAAGCTTTTGCGGTTGGAGAGTTGGTGCCACGATCGTCTCAGTTCCGCACGGTGATTATGCAGAAACTTCAAGAGAAGAAGCCTCGAGGTTGTCATGGAGTTGCCGACCGAGTGCACGGACCGCAGCTCAGCCGGTGGTGTAGGACGAACCAAGGCTTTCCAACACAGGCACCCTTCTGCTGCCTCATATTGAAATGCCACGGGAGTCCATGGGGGGAACATGCCGCAGTTGCGTAAGTAGCTTTCTGCTTTTGGGTGCCCAGGTGAATCATCCCTGCTACGGCAAACAACGGCCGGAGGCAGATTCAAAGTTTGGAGCTCGTGTGTCGGGGTCGTTGTGGAATCCCCAGCCTCATCCTGATCCTCGTCTTCCCTGGTCTACTGCAATGTAGAAGCCGAAGTTTGTACACACCCCCATTTCGAAGGACTTGGGCATCGGCTGTGCGAGGCACTGGCTGGTCAGGCACGTTGCTAGACTCTGCAAGACCGTCAGATGTGTGATCCTGAGCTTCGGCTCTGTCAGATTGGCGGCTGCGCTGCGGATGACTTACGTGCAGAACCTACACTAGGCATTGCTCAGAAGCTCCAGCATGTGGTGTTGTGACCGATGAGGCTTTCTTCCTGGATGATACCGTGAGGTCTTGGCGCGGAGTGACTTTGGCCTGGCATCCCGGTGCAGAGAAGACCTTTCTTTCGGAGAAACGATGTGCCATGCTTGCGATATGTCTCACGAGGTCGAGGACACCCAGAGCCTCTTCGGGGTACCATCCGACAGCACCAAAGCTTCAGCCCAAGAGACTCCAGTCGCGCATTTGCATGAGCAGCCCTTACCCCGAGGCGCGATTCACCCCAGTTCCTCTTTCCAGGGCTTGGGCCTCAGAAGATCAGAAGCGAGCATCGGTGGTCTCGGAATTCACAAACCTCAGGGGACGTATTTCTGTGGACATGCTGGGATTGAAAGCCAGGGTTTTGGCCACCTCGCTGTTCAGATTGACTGACCGGTTCGGTCTTGAAGCAGGGGGTAAAAGGCCGGAACCCTCCTAAACCATGGTTCATTCAATACAGCACCTGGGCATGCCTCCATGCTTGCGGTACTCGGGATGAAGTCGCAAGGTTATGTCCTACCTCGCGGAGCCCAAGTTCCTCAAAGAGGCCTGACAGGGACCTTCTCGGTCCTGATTGGAACTTATTTGGGTGCTGCCTTTAAAGTAGTACAGATTGGGGCCGGAGCCGCCCGCAGGCCGCCTTTAATCGTAGGGGGGTTATTAATCCTAGGTCAACATTATTCTGAGCCACTGAGTGGTGTCATGTACTGTCGCTCACGAAGCAAAGTGGAATGCAATGGTGAATCCGGAGTCACACCCTGCCCTTGCGTCCGAAACCTGTAGTGTATCCTTTGCGGCACCTGCCCTAGAAGTCCTAAACCGACGGGCACACAAGATTAGTATGGCCCTTGCGCAGAGAAGCGTGCCGAGTCGGAACAGCGAACTCGGAAGGACACAGAAGCCCAGTTTCAAACCGACCGCCCCAAACAAACCGTCCGAGTGCGAACATTGTGGAGCGTGAATCGAGACCTCGGGGAGGTCTCTGGTGCAGCTTTAGACGCAGCAGCGGCAATAGTAGGACATTCAACAAGGTGTTCAGCAACGTAAACAAAACGGAAAGGGAATCCGCAACAAAAGAGCCAGATCGATCTCGACGTCCCTGCACAGGACATGCCGGAATTCGCATCCTTCGGCTTCGCTAGGCTGGGAAGAGCATGGTAAACTCAAGGGCTGGGCTTGCAGTGTTTCATGCAGAATTGAAGGAGTCGCAGTATCGGTTCTCGGAGCTTCAGGGCGGTGATGTGATCTTGGCTCTCAGGGTTCTGCAGAGGTTCAAAGCTGCCACTTATTGTGGATTACCGCTGCTACTGGTACTGTTGGAAACCGTCATGTTGCAGCAGCAGCAGCATTCATGCCACAAGACGGAACATACCAGTGCAGCAACACTGGCAGTGACAACCCCATAGTGTTAGCAGCGACAACAGGCGCAATGCATGCTCAGGATCAGCATGGGAATCGAGCCCAGATAGCGGTAGTACGGCAGAATGGCTTGACAACTGTTTCATTGTCAATATTCTTCCCAGGCCTCTCTTGTGAAGCATTAAGATGGTAGCGGTAGCATGCTGTTGTGATATGTTGACGTTTCCGAGGATGGCTCCAGAGTTCCTCACCGTCCGCAAGGCCTTTTGCCCTCAGCTCAATCTCCGAGGTCACTGTATAATATGTGTATATAATACATTTATATTTATATTTATGTATATATATATATATATATGTATGTGTGTGCACATGTCCACACAATTACACACACACGTATCACACACACATATATGTATATATATATATATATATATAGACACACACACACACACACATCTCAGAGTTGTTCCTGCTGCTTTGAGCACTAAGGCCGCACTCACGTTTACTCCGGATACCTCCTCAACATTTCGAAAGCACAGCACCGAGTCCTTGGTGAGACGAAGTTGTGATCCGGGCTGTGAGCACGGCCGCTGGCTTGCTTCCGAGATAGAGAGAGAGCGCCTGAACTTCAAGCACAGCGCTCGGCCAGTATGGGCAGACTTTGTGGTGCAATCTGACTATATAGTTCGGTGAGAGCTGAGGCAGGAACAGTTCATTTGGGAGGCATGACACGCGCACGCGCAGACTCTTCTTCGTTGGCCAACCCTTGAAGCTCCAAATGGAAAGAAATTGCAGGACTTGGTCTTCAATTTAGACTGCCACGACGTGGTGAGGTGCAACCGCTTCGTACGCCCCTCGAATCGGAAAAAAGCAATCTGAATCTCCGACAGAAGCATGGCGCCGAGTTGAGGCCATGGTCAAAGTTCCCTTCAGCAGCGGTGGCTGCTCGGCGCAGCTTGCTCGCAGCGACAAGGCCACCTTCGTTCGGGTCGGGCGCTCGACAGTCCACTGTAGAGAATCGAGAATGCAGCCCGAGCTGAGCATGCCGGAGCCCAGCTTTCGGTCATTCTGCAACCTCAAGACTCTCAAGGCTCAAAGAGTTTTACACGGGTGGACAGACATCCTTGCCTTGACTAACTTACGCACACCCCCGGCCCGACAAGGAGCACAATCCTCTTGCATTGCTCGCCAGCCGAACACGAGCCATGGCACCTCCACCTTCACAGACGGAATCCAAGTTGGACGCCGATGCCTTCCCACCTTTCCGCGACCTGCTTCAAGCATGCGAGGACAAAGACTCGTGCGAGCGGTTCCAACAGGTCGTGCTAAAGTCACAGCTGAGGAACCTGCACTATCAAGCCATGTCAGTATGTGCATACATTCCAGAGCATGCTCAGAGCACATACGAAAACTGTAGGAACAGACAGGAAACCATGCAACACTGTTGATCATACGCACTTCATATTTGTCGTGCCAGCTACTGGTACATGCTTTTTCTCAGCTTGGCTGCCCACCTGCTCGAATTTTCAGCTTCAGGCATCAGATTTGTCCGAGCCTGCGCCCTCAACTCCCTGTGCAGGACTATGCCAACCTCAGCGGATGCCGCTTTCAAGCTTATGCTTTCGACGGCTCGAGCCGCGGGTGCACAGTAAACTCAGTAAAGTTGATGTACACAAACCACACGTGTTCGGTACGTGAGCCCCCCCCCCCACGTATCCCTGCGCAAAACTAACACAAACGAACTGCGCTGCAAGTCAAGCAGCAATTAGCAGTTCGGGGGCCGACACGGATGTGCTGATACTTTTGTCGACTGTAAAGATCAGAGTCTCGAAGTTGTGGAAGCTGGCTTTAGGACCTTAGAACGTCACTGTTTCGGGGGCTGCTCGCAAAGAGAGACGGGGTGTGAAGGGCATGGTCAATTACTAGTTGCACGGTGAGTGGAGGACGGCCAGACCACCAAGGCCACGGACGCAATATCAAAGTTCTGTTTGAAATGTCCGCATGTGGGCCAGGTTCGCCGTCGTAAAAAGACTTGCCGGCCTGGGCACGAAGGCAGTGTAAAATGTTTGTTTAGATGTTTGTTCGCATGTTTATTCATCGTCAACGTAATTCACCGTACGAATAACACCCGCAAGTACAACTGTACGCATATACTATGGCAGCCTTTATACACAAACACGCACACACACACACACACATATATATATATATATATGTGTATATATATACACATGTGTATATATATATATATATATATATATATGTAGAGGGTCACATGTGCGCAACATGTTATCGGAAAACATGCGTGTGCATCTGTCCGGACATCTTAGAGCTAAGGTTCGTGCTTTTGACAGGGTTGAGAGCTTAAGCTGCAGGCTTTTCTCACATGCTGAAGCAGCCAATCTTCATGAACCGGGTGGGCTGGAAGCGAGTCGAGATCATGTATGTTTTCACAAGCAGATCACAATTATTTCCGTCGTGTCACCTGCATCAATTCCCCCGTCAGGTCATATAACCTATGTTATTAAGACTGCAGTCAATGGAGTGATGCCGATGAAGCCGCCGAAAGCCTAATCCAGGTAGGGTCGAAAGTGCAAACAAAAAACAACAAGAGGATCCGACACTAGGCTATCCAGCAGTGCCAGTCACACTGCTCGCCTGGTGGAGCCAAATCGTGATAGCCACGACACCTCGCCACCAGTGCCTAGGAATATGGCTGGCAGAGTGGCCGATGCCAAGCTCCCAGAGTGGAAGGCCACGTGTTGAGCTGTTCTTGATACCGATATCATTGTTGGTCGCCTCGTCGTTATTGGTGTTGCATGTAATGGTGTCTCTAGATTTAGAGGGTTGTAAGATTTTGCGCGCGGAACGGGTGACGAGGGTGGCCTGAGCTCATCATTCGAGGCCGAAAGCTTTGCAAGCATTGCAGAAAAGGTTTGGACTTGCAGCGTCTTGGGCTTCGGCTTGCCGGTTGGCCGTCAACGCCTCTTTGCTTCAGGACGCTGTCCAGCAGGCATCGTTGAAGGTCCGGGAGTTCACGAAGCGGCTGCAAGCCCAAGAGGCAGGGGGTCGCACGAGAAATCAAAAGCAAGCACATGCCTGAATGACCGGAATGGGTAAATGAGCAGAAGAGTGCATCCTATTCGATAATTCTGTTTTTTTGCGAGAGAGGGAGAGAAAGGGAGAGAGAGAGAGAGAGAGAGAGAGAGCTGGGGACCCGAGCCCCACCTCCCAAACGCCTTGCAAGCAAGCAAGCAAGAGAGAATAAGCTTCTTGACGTGCTATGTTCGATTCTCACTCCCCTTCGCCCAATCAATGAATTGGGGTGGGCTTTGAAGCCCGGGGGCTGTGACAGTCCCCAAGCCCAGGAGATAGACATTTAGATAGAGAGAGAGAAAAGCCCTGGCAAAGAAAAAGCCCCATTTGTGCGGAGACTGCAACCGTTGCTGCAAATGACATATCGATCATGATCACGCTTTCCCAATGGTAGACAGATCACCAGGCCAGTCACGAGTCACGGTGTTGGTCGGGGAGAATTCAGTGGCTCATGCCCCAGAGCAAAAGCAAAGAGTTCGGCGGATGTTCATCGGGTGCAGTTCGGGGCGGCGTCTTCCTTTCGAACAGTCGACCTAAGCGGACTCGCTAACCCGTCTGACTCTAAGCCGACCCTGAACAATTGGCGTTCCTCCAATTGGGGCTTAGGCCCTGAGAAAGAACGAAATGAGAGAGCGAGCTGTTTCTTCTTCGGCCATTCGTTACAGAACAGGCATCTTTTACAGGGGTGGATAGTGCCAGGCGTCTTTGCTGGAGTGCATCGATGTTGCCTACCGCTTGGTCCTGGCGGAGGGCGTCCGCTCCGGAATCATCGCAACTTGCCAGGAGCTGTCGCTGTGGCCACCACCTCCGAATCCACAAGTGGAAGCCGACGATTCCTGGCTGTTTATTATGTGTGAAAGATAGAGGAGCTCATCCATCGAAGCTGTAGTGATCCGAGTGGGACAAACTGGCACCAGTTGATCCGCCCCGATGTTTTCCCAGGACTGCTGCTTCCAGGATACGTCTGCCCCGCTGCCTGTCATCGCGCAGAGGGCCTTCAACGACGAGAAGCGACGTGACAGCCACGAAAGTTTCCGATTGCTGTACAAGAAGGCTACTTGCAGCAAGGGTTTGCACAGTGCGCGCTGTGTTGGCTTTGAGACTTTGATGGACCGCTTCGCTTGCACAAGAGGCCACGACGGCTTCTTTTCTAGTGGACTTCGCCTCAGAGGCAGAGGGCCCCCGCAAGTTCCCGCGTGCACGTGCAGATTGTGCGTGGCCCAGTGCTGCTGTGCTTGAGCAGAGCCCCTTGCAGTCGCCGTGATAGGCAGGGCAAGCGCTCCCAGACCTGAAGCATTATCGAACGATGCTGGACGAGTTCATGCAGCGAGTGGAGGAGTGGACAGCACACAGCAGCCGTCACCTTGCCTGGACATGGTGCGGGTCGTTTATTTGCCGTCTTATTGGGGGGAGCTGTTTGATCATGTTTTGCTTACGGGCCAAGCGAGTGAACTCGAATCTAGAGGCCGTGCCTGCTACTGTACCAATCCTCCCACTCCTACAGTCTTCGTCGCTGTCATTCACGAAACCAGGATGTGAGATTCACCACTTCAGCCATTCCTTATGCAGCATCAGCAAGTATCACTTGTCGGTATCGGTATCGCGTCAGTAGGGGAGGGCTCGAAACAAATCCAGCCTGTCAGTCTGATTCGGGCAAGAATCGCAGTTGGTCAGGTGTCCAGGTTCCATCAGTGGGTCTCACATTTCTGGCAGCGTTGGCGGCCAAATCAAGTTGCTTTCGAAAACACTGTTGGTCCACTGCAAGCGAAATGGTCTACTACCTCCCATTTGGAGGTGCCACTTCGGGTCGTTTGAGTCGTGAAGCCAGGTCTGACAGCAGTTGTGTGCGCTGAGTCATTCGCTGTCATCAAAACTCAGAACGTCTAGTTTTTTGCGGGTCTAGTTTTTTGCGGTATTTGCGCGGAGCAAGAGGGATCGTTGCCCCGACTGGTGCGAAGATGAGCATGCGGCTGTTCCTTTTATCGGCATCAACCCCGAAGCGGGCGCAGCACCTTGAAGCCAAGGCTTTCATCTGTGCCCACTCTCAAGAGCTGGGAACGCTTTGGTCATCGGGCTCAGCCAGGGTGGGATGGCTGCCGAAACGGCGAAGGAGCTTGTGGCACGCCGTTGGTCCAAGAACTGGGAAACGAATGTCGGCACCGAGGCTTAGCCGCAGACAGGCGTGTTCTGGTCCAATGTTGCTCCAGGGTTCAGGGTTGTGGTCCGGTGCTCAGGCTGTAAACGTTGCTGCCGCTGCCCTCGCAGTCGGGGCAAGCATGGCGGCCTTGCGCCGGGCCTCGCGGCCGAGGTAGAAAAGTTGAGGAGGCTCCCTGGTGCGGCAAAGCCGCAATTCGAGTTGGCACAGATCGTGGCGCTCAGCATACAGACGGCCCAAGTGAGCAAGCCAGCGAACAATCTCAGTTGTTGTACAGGAAGTTGCCATTTTGGCAAACACGGGCCAATTTCGCTGGTCATGGCCTGCCCATCATGGCTTTGGGCAACGGTCCCGATCTTCTTACTACTCCGACTATTCCCAATGAATTAGATGGGCCCGTAACATGCACCAAGCGGCCATTGGGTAGGCCACGCAGCTTTCAGGATGAAGTGCTTTCTCAGCAAGACTTCCAGATGCCAGTGCAATCGCAATCCCAAGTAAGTCTAGTCTAGAAAAGGGTGGCAGCAAGTGTAAGTTGGGCCAGTGGGCCAGTGGGCTACCAGCATCTGCTCCATGCATTATCGTCATCTGTCCTCTATCTCGGTTTTCAGAAATCACGAACCACAGGAGGGGGAGGGGGTGGGGGTATGCTAGCACCATGAGCTCGCTGAACTTGATCCTGAATTGCTACGCCAATTGCATCGAAGCTCAGCTTGCCTTCAGGGTACTGAGGGCAGGATCGAACAGGAGGAAAAGAAGGGTCTGCCTAGCTTGTACAAACTGGTAACTGGTGGTCGCAGAACGAAGACAGAGAATCGAGGCGGGCTATCTTGGCAAGCTGTCCGGGGAGGACATCGTGGCGGAGACCCTTGGCCAGGCGAACTCTTCTTCTGGAGATGTTGGCGGTGCTTGGGGTGCAGCTCTGTGGCCAGGTGCCAGAGAAGACAGGCCTGTGAAGTTGCGCTGCAAGCTTGGTCCTTTGCATGCCCCGAGCCGCGAGGGAAAGGCAAGCGCGGCAGGAAGAAGGTCGTGCGGGGTCCCAGCCGGTGCTACAAAAAACTGCTAGCGGCTGCTAGAGTCTAGAGCAGGCTATGATCACGGCCGAGGTGAAGGGACCTCCCGAGGCTCAGGAGCCGGAGAGGCCAGTGCCTTCAGACCCCTTCATCCTGGAGGAGGACTGTGGTGCGCAGCGACAGCCCTATTCCAATGCGGCGCTGTGCTACGAACCTTGACGGAGGATCCTGCCTTGAAGCCAGAAGGCGCCGAGTGTGTTCAGTACCCGCTTGGCCAGCGTCCGCGCACCCCATGGCACACCTTCAGCAGCAGACTTTCGAGTGAGACGAACCAATGCAGTGTCCTATTTCCCCAGTCGACCTCGGAGTCGAACAGGACCCCTGGCTGGCCCCTCAGGAAAGGAAGGAAAAAGCAGGTGCAGGATGCCATGGATCCTGTGTTCCGGCGACTTCCGGTCCATCTGATATTTGCTCTCAGTCCTCCATGCTCCGTCTTATTTAAAGCAAGACACCGCTTCGAATACGGTGGAAGTTACCACCATCGAGGAGGCACTGCCCATAGGCCCATAGGCCATAGGCGAACAACGCGAGCCTTCGCACTTCGCACTGTGTCCCAGCACTGTTTCGAAGCTGCAGGCCGAATTGTACATCCCGCCTAAGCTCCAGAAAGACCCAGCAAATTCAATTCTGAGCAGCTGAACTCCGTGACTACGCCCTGCACCTGCCATGCCTAGCGCTTTGGCCCAGTCTTTGCAGGTGCTGTCGTGGATGAGTCGGGAAGCCTAGTGAGCCTTGGCTTGCAGATTGCATAAGGCGGTCGCAAGCAGAGCAAAAACATGAGTTCTTCTAGAGTCGAGATCCGAGGAACTCCTACTACAAACGATTTATTCAGGCATTCAAAGATGCCGAGAAGGCCTGCAGAGGTGAGCAGAGGTTTTTGACATGCGGACTTCGACGGCCGAAGTCAGGCCAGAGCAGATGTTGCAGCGCCGGAATCCCAGGTGGACTGGAGATTGAGCGTGATCCGATCCCTGTCTCCGCCAGGCCAACAGGAATCAAGCGACCCGGAGTGCCTCAGCTGGCTTTCGGACAGACTAGGGAGGCCAGCTCTGTTGCCGGTCGAGCTTTGCCCCGCCGCAGGTGCGGCGCGGGGAGGAGATTCCCGCGGCTGTGATGGCCGGAAGACACGTTTGGGTTGACGACGACCTCTCGATGTGCCTTTGTGACGCTCACCAGATTCAATAGTTGGAGACCTTGAAGCGAAAACTGAAAAGAAGTGGAACCCTCTGGCCCGTTTCAATTACACTCTGCTGTCGCCTGTCGCGTGGCAGTTCTGGGATGATTCGCTGAGACCGAACGCGAATGTTCAGCGAGGCACGACCTGCATTGGGTGCTTTGGATTGCCACTAAGGTCGTGGCGTTCTGGTGTGCTCCAATGCTTGAAATTCTTGGGGGCACTTCTGGTTTTTGTGTTTGTTGTTGTTAGTGTTTTTGTTGGTGGTTGTTGCTCTGCTCTTGCTGCTGGTGCTGGTGCTGCTGGTCGTGGTGGTGGTGGTGGTGGTCTTTAGGCTGATGTTGACTTTTTGGCATGCTGATGGTTGTGGTGGTGCTCTGACGCTGCCGTTGATGATGATGATCCTTCAGACGAGACACTCCCCGGAGCAACGGGCTTGACAGAATTGAAATTCAGGGCTGTGCTGGCTAAGGTTCAGTTTTGGCTCGGAATCGGAACCGCCAGGGCTGCGTAGCGGGCTAGCTGGCAAATGGGGCGAATGCGCTGGGTGGCGCCAGCACTGTGGCCGACCTTGGCAGCCGCTGCTTCTGTCGTTGGTTCTGGAACCATATCGTTGGCGGCTCAGACAGATTGCGCCTTTTCCGAGAACATGTTGGCAAACTTTTCCATGTCGTGTGCTCAGATGTAGGACCGACTATTTCTGCCACTGAAGGACTGCAGAGTTCTATGGCTTGACGTCGCCTAACTCAGAAGGCGCGGCTCTGAGAGGTGCTGCCACGGAGCAGGGAGAGAGCACCTCAGTGAGTGAGAGAGCCGGCAGTCAATTACTGCCGAGGTGCCGAGTTCAAGTTTGAAGAGCTCAAGGGAGCCCGGGCTATCCTCATCACCAACGTGGCAAGCGAGTGAGGAGCAACTGCAGCCAACTATGCTGACTTCAAAAAAATCCAGAAAGACCTGCAGGCCTGTAGCCGGTATCTTTACAGACATGAGTCCTGAGGTTGTCAAGTCCTCGCTACCAGATGCATTGATGTTTTTCAAGCAACTTCGGGTCTTGTGAGCTCTGTGCAGCCGTCCTCCTTGGTGGCGTGCCTTCACATGTGTGAGTTTCCTTCAGAGCAGTTGTGTCTGACAGCCGAGTCGGGTTGCCGTCTCAGTCGGTCCGTCGCCTGGTGCGGGCCAGTCTCTGCCTTTCCCTACTAGCCCATGGAGTATCCAGTCATTGCTTCAAGTTTTCTACAGGGCGTCCACGTCGTGGCCTTTCCGTGCCGCTCGGCCCAAAAAATCTGCATTCACCTCTGTTGCGACATGGCGCAAGCCCCATACGAAACTTGTCATGCTGATCACCCGGACCCAAAATTAATTCGGCCCCCTCCAACATACATGTCTCAAGACCTTCGCGCAACACTGAAACTGTGAAGGCCACAAAACGCCCACACCCACCAAGGCAATCAGTTTGGCGAGCAGGAGCCAGGCAGCAACGCCGACATCCGAAAGTTTGCGGAGGCCAGGCAGGGCCTCACACCTCTAGTCTCTCTGTACTTTGCTGCATCTTGCTGTCCCGGCAAAACACCCAGGACCGGGGCCTGAAAGTGAATGCTCCCGGCTCCCAGTTCCACCTCTTGGCCAAGGCAGGGCGTCTTGAGTAGGCTTTTCGGAATGTGTTAGGGCCTTCCGAGCGCGGAACGATGCTGATCCCTAGTTTGTTGGCGTTAGCTTGTCCCGGCGTATCGCGGGCTTCGGACCTATCGAGGCTGTTTGTGCTCCATGCTGTGGAGAACCCAACCTGCAAACTAGCAGAAAGGTTTCATGCTGAATGACTTTGAAGCGGTGCCCAATCTGCAGCCAAAACTTACACCCAGCAATGAACTTCATAGAAGGAACTCGAGGGAGGTGAGCCACACTTGTGTTTGCCGACCGCCCTGAGGCAGATGTCAATGGACCTGAGAAATCTGCGGTATGGAGCAAGCTACTGGAAGTGACGAGTTCCAGTCACAAGGCGGCGGGCTTTCAGACAGTGTGAATTGGGTTGATGTCTGACTGTCCCTTAAAGTTAGACAGAGTTAGACACGTCATTCAGACAGAAACTCTGCCGCTACGGACAAGGCGACGCGATGGAACTTTGCGACCAAGTTCGTCGTGAGATGCGCCGAAGATGCTGGTAAGTGCCATGGGCCCAGCCAACACCGGCAGCGCCTTTCATGCCTGCCGAATTGTATTGTGCATCTCCTCAGATGGTAGCCAAGGCTCTGCTGTCCGTGTGGATGGCTTCGGTACCATGGAGACTTTGCGACAGCGAGCTCCGGAACTGTGGCCATCTCAGATTCTGCGCACAGCGGAGTGGCTTTTGACATCGATTCTAATTGCCAGGTTCCCAAAGCAAGGGGAGCTGTAGCTTGCAGCTGCGCGGCCTATGCGCTTTTGTACAGATTCTCATTCGGAGTCTCAACGGGCGCAAGGGCGACAGCACGGAGGCAACCGCGGTTGAGGAAGGAAGTAGCATTTGACCCTTGGCTCTTGCAGCAGCAGCTCAACAGCCTTGTGGCTTGATGGAGGAATGAAGAGAGGGCTGGCTGTGCATTACTATTTCTGTTCATGACCGGCGATCAAAATGAACCCAAGAGTATGTGCCGTCCCAGACCGGGTGGGAGGTCGGAGGACACGCTCAGATGATGTGCATGAGCAGGCCACCCTTTCTGAGATCTCCATCAGCCTTCCGGCTGCGCTGTCGCTGCAGCGATCGTAGTCAATTTGCTCCGTGTAAGTCTTGTTTTAGCTGAGTCAAGTGTAAAGTGGCAAACCTATGCAATGTTGTCGCGTTGTGTTTCACTTCTTGCAGCGACCACCGCTGCATCGCGGAGACCAGTCATCGTTTGAAACAGTTGTCTGACGTTTAACACAGTTGTCTGACATTTGCACCTGAGCTACCTGCCTTTCTGCGTGTCGTGCAGGTGCGACACACCTGAAAGACGGGCAGCAGTGGGGCGCTGGTGCCTTGGCTGAAGAAGGCGACGGCAGAAGGCTGAGTGGTTTCGGTTTCATCGAGGTGTGCGCACCGCAGCCTTTTCAAGGTGTTTGATGCGTCGGTGTCGTTGCTTCAATGCTCCTCTACTCGTTCTGTTTGTATTTTCTAGTTTTCTCATCACAGCCCACCGATTCGCCGATCGGCTTCGTCAGTAATGATACGCGATTGTGATCATGAGTCGTGTCTAGCTGCTTCCAGCTTCCGAGCACGGCACGTTTTCGCTTTTGCCTTGTAGCGGCTGCTTGTTCAGTCGCCTCTGGGAGCCGAGGCTACATCGCAAAACCTTACGGCCCGGTTCGGTCCTGAGCAAAAGCATCAGGCATTGCACTGCACTGCTGGGGCTGTAAAGGTTTCAAGTGAGGCGGTGACATGACGAATGTGATGTGGGGGGGCATGGCATGGCATGGGGTTCTTACGCTTTTTTCCAGCCCCATAGGACCGCACCTTTATCTTGGCGACGGCGCCTCATCGAACCCGCCGGAATTCCGAGGTGAAAAAGAGTAAATGGCCGGGGGCTTGTTCAACAGATGGCGCATGGAAGCTGCAGCAGAATCGGAGTTTAGATGAGGTAGCTTGCAGCCAGGATTGTCTACACCTCAGCGCATTTGCAGCTCAGGTTCAACGTGAAGACCTGGGGTTGCTGGAGGATGGCCTTCGTCTTGGCAAGGCTACAGTACCAGGCAAGGTCGGAAGGGTGGGCGGTCACACGCTGAGCTTTATGAAAACTATCAGGGTTTTCTGTACAATGTGATACAGTGGTTGTGGGTCCTGCCTGCTGCAGGTTTGGCAGCTGAAGCACCCGGACGTGCCTGAACCAAAGGGCCGTGGCCCAGGCACCTCGACGTTACGGCTCTTGTGATGATCCTAACGTCTGCAATGTAAGCGCCCGAGCCTTTTGTGAAGCCGGAAGCCTGACAGGCCAGACGTGTGCCTAAGTTCCTGAATCGTTCTGCCACCGAAGTGTGAACTGCGAGGAAAGAAGTCTGATACGCCGAAAGAGAGCAAAAGCTCGAAGAAATCGTCTGTCGAGGCCGCCGGTTGCCGGCACAAAGTTAAGGGTCGCTTATGTTGGCCTGTCTTGGAGGTTCGTCTCCAGACGACAAACCGTCTTGACAGAACTTTGACGTGTGCAGGCAAAGTCTTCTGCAGCTGGAAAGGAAAATCAGGATCCAGGCCCGGAGATCTTCCAGACTGCTGGGATTTGCGGATACAGGATAAGTGGAAGTTTCATGACATCAGAAATGTGGGGCATTGGCATTGAATGCTATCCTCCCTCTCGGGGAAGAAGCGGGCAAGGATGGGAGTAGCAGTCGCCATATTCGTGTTTGTGGTGGTAGTTTCTCGCCTGACACACCAGTCGTCATGCACCAAAACTGCGTGGTATTCTCGGCTTACCACGACCCCATGTCTGTGTTTGGGCATCTGGGGTCGGACCAAATCGTGTTCGAAATATTTTCTGAATCAGAAGTGAACACTACAAACCCTGAGCCGGGAGGGTCGAGCTGTCAACTCGGGACAGCAGTCACTAACGGACATGGTCGCATCCGAAGTGATATGATCAACCGAGCAGATGCGGTTGGTGTCGGGCTGCGGCGGAGGAGCATCCAGGCTACGACCCGTTGTGTGTCTCGCTGGGTTCACAAGTGAGTGACGACATGGAGGCTCAGAAAAACTGGCAGACTATGGCTGGAACTTTCACTGAGCTGAAGGCTGAAGGGTTGGAGGAATTGTGGAAGCAGCCGGGCTTCATCCTACGATTCTACGGTGGCGACTGAAAGGTGGTCTCAGAGGGTGCCGAAGCAAAGTGGCTTGCGAGGGTCGTCTGACAAGTCTGATGCTTTCCACGCAGTGGACGTCGGATTCCCAATGGGCGGACGGATAAAGGCGTTGACGAAGAAGCGGAACCTTAAGCGCCTCACTACTGCAATCTCAAAGTATCGGGCTACTCTTACTCGCTTTTTTTTTTTTGGGGGGGGGGGGGGGGGGGGGGGGGTTGGCCCTTTCGACTTCCGAAATGCGGGGTCACTAGTAGCTACTGTAGTATCATTACATATTCGAAGACAGACTTGCGGAATTGGCCGAGGCAGACCAAGCTTGATATAGGAATTCAACGACATCCACAGTGCTAACATGTGCTGATCATAACCCGTTGCATCTCGCCATGTAAAAGCCGAGTTCCCCTGCCACGTAACACCCTGCTGTATACATGTATGCATATATACACATATGTATATGTATGTATTTGTCTATGTATGTATGCATGTATGCGTACGTACGTTTTCATAGAGCGAGTGATTCGGTTCGCTTTTGATCTCAAAAAATTGATCTTTTGGATTGCTGACTGCGTCGTGTAGGTTTGCATAGGTTGTGGAGACAAGATGCTTGTGCTGAATGTTGGTGTTGCAGGCGCCGCATTTCTTCGCGTGCGTAGAAGCGGCACTGCCCAGCCGAAGTCATACTACGAACGCCAATGAAGCATTTCGGCTGTTGCAGACTTGGCGTTTTGGTCGAAGAAGCGCACTGCGCTGTAGAACCGGCAGTATTCCACGTAATTAAGTCTTACGTCTTACGGGGAGGGCAGAAACCAGCATCTCCATGAAGGCCTTGCCATGCTTTTGCCGGCACGAACAAGTCTCGGCACCTGTCTCATAATATTCTCTAATATGTACCGCACAGGTGTGGAACTCGCTTCCTAGGTCCTAGGGCTCCTGTGCCAAGACAATAGCACAAGGACGTCTGCTGAAGAATGTATTATGAAGACATACTAGGATGAATGCGACAGCATGCTACAGCATGCTAGTGTAGACTACGCACCGAGCTTAACGGTGACAGATCTCGGGAAATGCAGTTTCCGATTTTCCACACCTCCCATCCGAACGGCCAATTACCAGTTCAAAAGAAGGAGCCCCAAAGAAGCCCGGGCGGCCGAAGAGGAGCAAAGAGCAGAGGCCTTAGCCCTCAGCGACTGTGGATTATCACAGGGTTTACTTGGAGACACCAAAGACCAAGGGAGCAGCAGGACCCGTCAACGCTGCACAAATTCTTCGTGCCGTGCTCAGTTTGCATCAGTTGTCTTAGAAAGCCTTGTGCTGTTAATGCGAAGCACAATTCTCTTGCCTTTTTAGGCTGTAACGGCTGCGTTTTTGAATTCACTGGCCGTTTGCATGAAGGGTGCTTGGATGTTGGCGCAGGTCAGACAAGCACATGCGTGCGTGCACATACACCTACACCTACACTCGCATCACCACGACGAACGTTTTCGCACCGTGATGTCTCAAATCACTGCATCGTAGTTGTAGTCTTGTCATGATCATCGACAGAATGCTCGCACAGCACCGTAGGTTTTGCTTGCCCGACTTTGGCATTGTCAAACATTCCTTACAAGATTTTGACATGTTTGATCGCCAGCGGGCCTCATGAAAGCTGGCACAGTGTGGAGGTCACCACTTCATTTTCATGTGCTACACAGAGGCAGCTGTGGTTTAAACAAAAATGGGCACACCGGGAGCTTCCGATCTGGCGATGTACGACTACATGATGTTGATCCGATCAGTTCTCATAAACTGTTGGTTGATCTGCGAATTGAACTGAAGCCGAAGCCAAGGCTGCGCAGTCAGACAAGGCTGCAGCTCCCGAACAGGCTAAGGCCATTCCGCAAGCTACAGACGTGTCACTCTTCGGGAAAGTCCTGGATACATGAAAGCCCTGTCAAGGTTGAGAGCCAAGGAAAGCAGTCCAGAGCCCATTAGTTTCTACTTGCAGTTGTTGGGAGCATTTGGCTCTGCAGATGCGCATCCTGCAGAGACTGCTGAGGAAGGACTTGCTGGCTTGGATGGGTATCCGTCAGACGCTCAATGTGCTTGTGGACCCAAGATGGCCATGATGTGTTCTAACACCGCAATATACGGACCTGCACATTCATTGTCACGATGGATGCTGATGAGAGCGTCGTGACAATGTGGACGATGATGAGGATGATGCGATGATGATCGTGACGCTCATGGTGACGGTGATGATGCTTATGATGATGAAGAAGATGACGATGATATGTGTTAATGGTGATGGTGGTGACTATGATGACGATGACGATCATGATCATCATTATGATGGCTATCGTGGTGACGACGAACAGCATCATCATGATTGCAATCTGGCATATGTCGTCATCATCATGTTCAACAGACTCTCTAGGCCATCCGGTCCATGAAGTCATCATTGTGGAAATAGCAGATGTAAGGATGAAGGATGGCGACTTGTTGAGTCGCAGCTGGTGACGGGGGAAGTGCGGGGGTTTTGTAAACCGAACAGCTTAGGGTATGTGCTGGCATGCGAACCATTTCGCCGGGAGTACCCGCAACTCCCTAAACGGACATTCTTACATGCGAAACTCCTACACACGAAACTCAACAAACCAGGTGCATGCTGGAAGGAGTGAGCTACGTTCTTCTGCTTTGGGGTCTTGTTCGCTACAAGGTGAGTAGGAACTGTGCCGCAGCTCTGGCAAATTGACAACCTTGTTCTAGCCCCGAGCTGAGGTCAGAGCGACTCTCCTCCCGCGAAGCGGGTGCGAGTTGATGCAGCTCAGAGGCAGAGGGCGGAGCAAATGATTGCGAGTTGCTTTTGGAAACGAAGGGGAGCCTGTTGACCGCAAAAGGGGTGAAGGGCGGGAGTCTAGAGGATAACTCTGTTCGGTTTTAGGATCGAAGTCCGCTAGACTTGAGTGCAGTAGGAAAAAAGAGTCGAAGTAGCTCTGTTGGACCAGTTGGCAGTTTGGCTTTTCGCAAGAAGGCCAGCGTCACTGTTGGGCTGGTTGGGTCTGATAATGGCCGTTCCTTTCAGCAACGCAAGACTAAGAGGTGTCGGCTTCAGGGCTGGGGCACCTTCAGTGGAACATAGGCACGCCGCCACACTGGAATGCGTGTCCCGGCTGAAAGCCGCTGACTTTTGAGAAGCAGGTAGCCACAAAAGGATTTTCCTGCAAAGCAACCTACGGGTTGGTTTCACTGAGAGATGGCTTGGCCTCATCGTCAAGGCCGACTTACGACACTGCTTCTGGCTACACTGTCGCTGGTCTGGGCAGATCCCGAGCAGCAGGCATTGACCATCGATGCATCTTGGAAGCAAGGGCAGGAAAATGATCCGTGCCGGTGGACCTCACGTCCACTTCAGCTGCAGCACTTGCCTTGCATTTTCCCGTGTGTCGCATGACTTCGCCAAGGATGCCTGCAACAGCGGCGAGTCGGAAGGCCCCGTCACCTGCACTTCGACCAGAGCCCCCGAGGGGACGCCCTTGAGAGTTAGGCCCCATCTTCTTGATCAAATAATCATATTGCCATCATGGTGGGCCGGGTTTGACCTGAACGGCGGTCTCGTTATAGTGCCTGGCCTGGAACCTCGATGGCTGCTAGGCAGTTGCGACCTCACCCTGACGCAGCATCTCGACTCAAATTGACGTGTGAGTTACACGAACCCCTACCCTATACACTTGGTTCGCGGTTCGCTTCAGTTGTTGCAGACGCCGCGAGGGTACCCTGCGCACGGTCCAGGCTCCGAGCAAGAGCAATCACACTTGACTGGGGAGTTGTTACTTGTAGGGGTCTCCATCTCTTTTGCGGAAGTTTACCTATCGATCCGCCTCGTACAGATAGCCTATCCATCCACATGCAACAGCATGCATGTACCACAGTTCCACAGTGTTACATGGAAGAGAAAGTGAAAGGAGCATATCACCAGCATGCGCGATCCGTATGATTTGCTTCCAAAAACACCTGTGCTGAATTGAGGCTGCGGGGATTACCCAGGAGAGCCAGCGAAGACAACAGCTCTGAGGCAGTTGCGCAAAGTAGAGTCGTGCTGGTTTGTCAGTGTTATTCTTGTCCGTGGTTTTGTTTGCTTGCAGCAGAATCGAGTAGCTTTTTGTTACGTTACCGTCATTGTTGTCGAAGGCCCGTGGAGATCAACAACGGCTTGAGGAACAGAATGTTTCCCGGGTTTCCGTACCCAGTGCAAAGCTGCACTTCACAAAACGAACCAAGCATGAACAGTACCCAAGTCCCTGTCGTTCCTCGATTCCTCCATGACTGATGCTAATGCAAGGCTTTTCCACTTTGCGATCCCGGTCAGCGACCTTGTAGAATTGTAGAATCTCGCTCAACCAGATTCTCCCACGGCATCGGTCGCAAGTCCAGACCCGCAAGCACGAACTGCCAATAGAAAAAGTAAGAGTGTAATTGTGGGTATGACCAGACTGTCACTGTCACGATCCAGAAAATCATCATGATACTCTAGATCGTTTTCATCGTCTCTATGACATCGCCACTGTAAATATAATCAGTAGTCTACCGATTTCAGCTCGTTACTGTAGTGAACCATGCAAATATCTGGAATTAACATGCTTCAGAGAAACGTACTATTTTTAGAGCCCATTACGACCCTTAAGACTTTGCGACTCCCCCTTAAATCACCTCCACCCGAAATGAATCTCTTGTGCTGCTCCCTCGATGCAGGTCATGGCTGAGGTCTCCTCAGGTGCTCGCAGCATGCTATTGTCTTGCTCTGCATTTGTTGTCGCCTTGCTGTTTCAGATTGCATAGGATTTTGGAAATGCGGATTCTCGAGCATATCCGGATTTTATCTTTGGGGAGTTGGGGCCTGACATTATTTGACTTGCCCACGGCCAGGGCGGTCTCAGGTGTCCAGGCGATTGCGGCTTCATGGCAGCAGACTGTGATTGCAATGTGGACGTGACATGTCAGATCTTAAGGCTTACGAACCGGACTCAAGAGTGCAGCAACCTTTCTGAGGATAGTGAACGGCTGCAACAGCCAGCCGCCGCTCGTCCGAAGTTATGAGTGTTTGTCCACATGGCCTTGAATCCGAAGCTGCAGACTGGCAAGAAGAACTAGTGACGAGGGACTGGTGACAGCAAGCTCATGTTTTCAAGTTGCTGCTCTCCTTGCATGCTCACAGTGCCCGCGTCAATCAGGATGTGGATCGCCCATATAGCAGGGGCTTCAATGGGCCCTGACCCGCAGAATGCAACTTGCATGCGTCTAGAGTCTTATCAGGTTACCCTGCCAGCAAGGCGAGGATGTGTATGTAAGCAATGAGAAAGAGATGTCACCAGAGGGTTCTGATGGGTTCTGTTTAACGATTTCCTGCCTCCACACGTTGATGCGTGCACTCGTGCACTTGCGTGAAACGAGATCATCCGCAATGCCAGCATCGTGTTGTGTGTGTGTGTGTGTGTGTATAATTCAAGCATTTCAGGGCTGGGGCCGGCAAGGGCTCGCCCAGTCAGCCAGTTGTGATCTCTCAGTGAAGCTGCGAGGTCAGGATAAATCCCGGAAGCTTCTACGACTTCGAAACTCCCAGTCATCTCTCCGCGATGCGATACTGGCCGAAGAAACTTGCTGGCACCATCGCAGATTGCACACGGAGTTGTGTCAGCACATGAGAGAGTGGATATAGCGCAATGGTGCAATGCTGCAATCCGAGAATGGGTTGCGATGAGTCTGGCCACAACTGCCACTTGGCAGCATGAAATCGCTTCGGACGCGACCATGAGGCCGACGCTGGAGCCAGCATTAAGCTCTTGCCACGACTCGCCCTACTGTATGCCAGACTGGGCCCTCCCTGCGCAAGGCTTGGAAGTGTCTGGAAGTTCGACGCGGAACCTCTCAACCCTGGCAATTCCTTTCGGGGTTTCTCCGAGGTAAAATTGGAAGCAGTGGTGGTCCGGGACAAAGCTGCCAGTGGAATCCGGCGACGGGCCAGGCAGAGAAACCTCCTCATGACGGGCACATCGGTTCAGGATTTCATGCCAACTTGGCCATTGAATGTTATGCTTCTGTCTCGATGTTTCTATACCACTGCACGAGCATTCGCATTGCCCTGTTTCTTGCAATGCAGCCCTTGTGTTGCGTCGAAGAATGCAATCAGATTGATGCAAGCTGTTGCACTTGTATAGACCGCCATGCGAGCTAGCTTGCTGTGGAGCATGAGACACCCGTACCTTTGAAAATCCAAAAGGAGGACTACAGCAGATGCCATCCGCCCGTGGACACCAAGTTCGAAGCGCCTCCTGGCTCATTGAGCACGGGCTGAGCACGGAAGCACCTTAGGGCCTTAGGGTTGACGCTCTGAGCGGCCATGGCGTTGCGAAGGACATCAGCTTTCGGGAGGGTGTCGCCTGGCAACCGAGGAGCTACGGTGAGAACGGCGCACCCTGCAATCCCAAGACGCCGGGAGGTGTCGAAATGTCCCTTGTCTTGGTGAGGCCAATGGTAGGCGAAGCAGGCTTGTCCTTGCACGTGTAGCTATAATGAGGTATGAAGTGTGGAGCCAATACTAGGCCTATAATAACATCAGAATGCCAGTAGAGACTGCGCCAGACCCCAGCAAAGACAACGTCGTTGCAAGCATCATCAGCAACAGTCGGTTTCATCACTCGCAGTCAGCACGCACAGAGGTCTCCCTGACGGAGCTGTGCGACTCCAAACCGTTTCCCGTTTCATGTCCATGTACGGCTCCGGCTGCAGGTGTCTTTCTGAGACTTCTGCTAGAGCTGAAACTTCTCGACAGGAAGGGTTGCGACTACGTGGATCTCAGCTTGGTCGACGGATGGACGCTGCCTGTAAAGTTTGAGGCCAGCGGCGACTGTAGCCAGGCTGCAGCTTCTCGCAGAACCCGCTAAGAGCTGATTGCGCAGGCCCACCCCCTAGCTAGACGGCAGATCATGAGCACCCCACCCCATACCCTCTGTCTGAAACGTTCTTCATAACATCAATTCCAACTGGTTGCTTCCAAAACTGGCCCGCCTCGGTTCGTCGAGTCGAAAAACGTTTCAGCCGAAGCCGCCGAGGCCGAACGAACAAGGACGAGAAGGTGGAGGCAGGCGGACTTGGATGGAACTTCCCTTGAAGGCCTTTGGAAATGAGTGAATCGAGAAGTGCGAATAATCCATGCTTAAATACCCGAGGCTATCTATCATGTCGCGTTTCTGATCGGGTGCTGCCCAACCTAGAGTGGAGCACCTAAGGGTTGAGCCACTGTGTCAGGGCCTCCCAACAGTCATGATCGCAGCCCAATGCCGCTGTGACTTGCGATGTGGCTCCCAAGAAAAATCGCCAACAGGGATTCAAATCAAAGTTACCAGAAAAGGTTCTGGACTGTGCGGCCTTGTCGCTGGCTGCCTGCCCCACCGCCGAGCACCTAACAGCAGCTGGTCACCGGGCTGAACGCTTGCGGGGCTTCTGGGAATACTATTGGTAATTTTTCCGACTGCTACATTACAGTTACAGCACTCGACCTATCTCGAACTATTCACCCTGTGCCCCAGAGGCAATGGACGCGCACTGACTGCAACAGTCCAGACATTTGCGGCATGTTCCTAAACGTTCTGGACAGTCCAAAGCTTGTATGGGGTAACACCTCGGTACAAATTCGCACAGTGCGTGCAGCAACGCAGTGTAGCGCACACACGCATGGACGGTTGTTGTCCGTTTTTGTACGGGGACAGGTAAGAGCTGAAATCTATGAACGACCCGGAACAGGGACAAACACGTACATGGTGGAAGTACGGTGCTGTATTCGTGTTTACTAGTTTATGCATAAAGGTATTTGTTTACTTAGTTTACTTTAGTACTTGTAGTATCTGAAGGCTCCTGCATCAGGATTTGCTCGGTAACGAAGTTGTCCACCAGACTGCTTCGCGGTCTGGTGTATTCTACTGATTCATGTCAACATCTGTCAACCGACCGTTGTGTAGGACCGGTTCGCGGGAGTCTGCGCGGGGGCTGCAGACTTGGGCAGGCGTGACTGCAGACCTTCGGGCGATCAACCCGGTCACCCATCAAGAGCCTGGGAGATCATAGTAAAGAGTCGGTTGTTGTGGTTGCTATTTCTATGCTTCGCACTGCACCACCCCGCTGGCACGAGTCAGCCCACGAGGAAACGCGGAGATTGAGTTTTACATAGTAATGTACCAGGATGGCATGCTGAACAGATATTTTGCCACAGCATCTGTGTAAGATTGGTCTCAAGGTGTCAGGCTGCTACAGCCCATGTGCCAAGCTCCTGGACACCAAGTGGAGCAACAAGGCGGGATAACCAAGCGCCCATTTGCATCATACTAGTTTTTCTCCTGCTTTTGCCGTCATTGCTGAATAAGAGCTGAATGCATGTCTATCTGGTCTGAACTAGCTGAACTGAAAGAGCAGGGCCCCAGACGAAACTACGATGAAGCCTTGAACTCAGAACCTCGCTGCGTCTGCGGCCCAGCTTGTCAGGAGCTTGCCCAGGGTCGGCAGCCAGAGTCTGCTGAGGCCTTGGGAAAAGGATGGTTCTCGAACGATAGCGGTCCGGTTCTGGGACATAACCAACCAGGGTCTAAGAGTGGCGTGCGTGTTTCCCTTTACCTCTGGAGAAGCTCCGTAACATGGCTCCATGGATTATCTGAATCTAACTGCTCGCTATTGGAGGATTCGGTTTGCGTTCTGGAGCTGTTAGGAGAGTTGGAGTCTAGTGGCAGGATCGATAGCTTACGTTCCTTCATCATGTTATGCTTCCCCACTTCAGGACCCACTTGAGTGGCCTTGGTAGACCACAAAATATGTTCCGAGCCACACAACCTAAAATCTTGTAGACCATGCGCGGCATGCTTCGCTTTGGCGCCCAAGGGCTCCGCAGTGAAGCATCTGATTTTTTTTGGAAAAGCCTTGCAAACCCGGACCACACCTGCTACAGCGAAGAGCCAGCCCAAGAGGTCTCGCCTTACTGCTGCCCGACACCGCCACAGACCCCAGAGTCGTGCCGGGCCGGGCCGAAACGCAGCCAAAGTTTAGCATGTCTGTGCTCGTGGGTCGGAGCTAGGTAGTTTATGGAAGAAACTCGAAAGGTGTCCCAGGGTATGCAATAGGCGTGTGAGGCGCCATTGTGCTCAGACAGTGGACTGCGGCACATCGGAAATACTCTGTTTTCCTGTCATGCACCAATGTGTACGGGACGCTCACCAAGAGGCCCTGCTAAAGACCCGAGTAGAAAGCTTGGCCGCGATTGTCTGCCTCGATACACAAGGATCACGCACACCGACTTCCTGAAGACGGTGCACCAGAAGTGTCCGGGAGCCACCTGCCCTTAGTTCATGCAAGGCTTCGGGTCAGGTTCGCCATATGTCCGTGCGTCTATCCACCATCTCTCCGCTCGTCTGTCCATCTATCCATGCATACTTATGCAGACGTACAGATGTATACGTGCGTGCACACGTTACACACATGTACGTACACACACATACACACATGCATAGGCACGCACATGCATACACATGGGAAGGCAGTTGCCACCTACGTGTACCCATACACCCGTGCATTCATGCATACATGCATACACACACACACACACGGGGGCAGATCAGACACGTTGGCCATTCGCTGTTATTGCAAACCCTCAAAGGTACAGGCTGGAACGCAACCCGTTTGGACCATGAGATATGTCGCTTTGAGAGGCCAAGTTGCGAGATTCGAAACCCAAGAAGCACCTGGAGATTTTCTTCGCCCAGGTCTACGGCTACGCCTACGACGATGGCACGGGCCTAATGCGATGCAGTTCCGCTACCCACTACACTGCAGCTCGGCACAATTCGCTTTTTTTGGTGGCAAGACAAGTTCATCTTGAGTCGTATAAGAGAGTTCTGTTAGCATCATGCCAATTATGCGAGGCCGTCAAGGGCTCAATTGTAGCGTTTTCTGAGTGCACCCAGAGATGCCACGCCTTGAAGCCAAAACTTGCATTTCGAGAATCGCCTACCTGTTGGGCCTTGTAGGTTCGAGATTGATCGGTGTGTACCTCCCAAAGAACAAGGGATAAAACGGGCGAAGTGAAGCTTGGATAATAATTACACCAAGAAGCAGGGAGAATCGGCGACTTGGACGAGACCGATGCCATGCACCTATGTAGCGGCATCGCTTGGACTTGGATATTCGACCGTTGGCTGAGATGCGCTTTGAAAGGTAATCTGAATGCTACCCTTACAGACTTTAGAGTGTCCTTTGATCGTGTCCTGTATCACTTTGTCGAAGCAAGAGTCCCGAGTACTATGGTGAGGCACTTGGCTGAGATCCGTAATTAAGCCGCTAGTAAGCTTCCCGAAGCTCTCTGGGCGACGAGTCCTTGCTAGGTAGCCTTTACTTGGAGGGTTGCCCAGGTCACCTTCTTTTGTCCCGCCACGCTGCCGGCTTGACCTGCAGCGACATGACTTTGCAAGCGCCCGTGCGACGAGCTCGGAAAATGAAAACTGAACAAAGCTTTCTACTACATGCTCACACCGTGTTCACTGCCCTTCACTGCCATTGTTGTTGTGATCGTCGTATTTGACCATCACTACTGCCACGGTGGTTGTCTCAAGCAGCCACTGCCATGGAAAGCTGTGAACAGGGTACACGATGCAGTGCCGATTTTGGGCTTTCCCTTGCTTAGCTCGGGTTCCCGTAATCCGCTAGTGTGACAGTGAAGTGGAAGCTTGGATTGACTGCAGATTGCATTATCGGCAGCGTTTGGTTAGATTTGATCCTGTGGATGCTCTTGCCATGGAACACAGCCTGGGAAGTCTGAGTGTTGGGGCTAGCTGTTTGTTTACAGCTTCAGGTTCACCAATGGGCTGAAAGGGGCTGTAGCATGGTACATGTTTCAACTGCGTAGTTTCTTTCCGCTGCTCGCTTCGCCTCGAAGAATGTCCTAAACGCGACACGATCGCAGACATTAGTTAGTAATTCGTAGAGGAATGAGGGCCTATGAGGGTAATAGCCAATCGCCTCCTAGCTGGGTGTTCTGTTGGAGGCTTCTGCCGCAAGACACCCGCAGCCCACACAGACAAGTACGCAGCTGCGCGCTTCGCAGCTCCTTCTAGTCGAGGCAAGAATCACTGAATCAGCTTTAAAGCGCATTGCTAGGGAGATGCGTGCTGGAGCGGCGCCCATGGCTGGAAGGGATCCTCCGGGGGACGTGTCTACTTTTGAGATCGAGTGCAAGAGCCTCGTCTGAAGTCTGGCTATGCTAGACCCAGGCAGTTGTCGGCATGCATGCAAGCATGCATCTATGTATGATGGCCACGGGCGGCACAGTTTGATGCCGTCAGCAAGATGACACCACTCAGTCGCTACTGGTAGATGTTACCCCTCTGCATGCCTCGAGCGATCTTTCTTGCAGGAACACTTTCCTTCACATCAGCGAACGGCCTTCCCGCGATGCTCGTGCCGGTCAAGCAGTCAGTCGCAGCTGCAGCTGGACGCCTTCCTCGAATGGGAGTAGCCCGGAGAAGTCCTCGGAGTCGTCTGTGTCCAGCAGCTGGCCGAAGTTAGCATTCGTACCTTTATTTGTCGTTGCCACTGATCAAGATACTGTGATGGTGCTGGTGGTGGTCGTGGCGTTAGATGGCAGGTCAGCGGTGGTGGAAGCAGTCATGTTGATGATTCTACGACTACGTTTTTCGTGATGGATATGGGTAAGTCTTTGGTGGCGGAACATCACGCGAACCAGATAGTCCAGAGACATGTTTGGGCTAAGCGGCTAAGGCACGTTGCACTAGACCGACCCTAAGTCTATCATCTTAAGTGCGGCAGCCCTGACACGGCACCAGTAGGAGTGTGAGGGACAGAGGGAGAGAGAGAGAGAGAGAGAGAGAGAGAGAGTTCTATCAAGAGCCTGCGGGTCACGACGTGACCCCTCAGCCCGGCAGAAAGAAAGAACGAGAGATAGAACAGGGGGTGTTTTCACGATGAACTTTCACATCCTCCCAGCCAAAGCCTCAGTATCTGGGGAGCCCTTGTGGCCGGGGGACCTAACTCGTCCCCGATGCCCTGCGGAGGAAGAGCGATACCCAATAGGCAAGACCCCTTTTTGCCAAATCTGTTGATTGCATGTCGTGTCACTGTGATGGAGCAGGGCTGGATGGCGTAATTCTGTGGAAAACAATCGCTCTCCTGTCCAGCCAACAAGATGCTCGGGGTATGCCTGCGAGAAGAAGAGACAACAGGACATTTTGGCTCAGGCCCGTGAGAGATTCAAGTTTTGCAGTGGATGCAAGCAATTCCGGGTCCCTCTCTGTGTGGGCCTGGTTGGCCCTGGCTCGCCGCTTTCTTTCATGTGGTGCAGTGCCCCTCCTCGTGCCTGCAGAGTCGAACGAAGCGACCGGGGCACTGACACATTTCGGGGATGCCCCACTAACTAGTTGGTCGCTACAGCCAGTTAAGCTGTGGTCGCACAGCGTCAATGTGGGGTTGGATGCAGTCCAGGGGCAGAGGCCCTGACAGGACTCCGACGGACATTCGCATAGCACGTGAGTGTAGGGGAGGGTGCCCACCTAACCCAAGATGTATTGCCGTGTCGAGACGTAGAGCCAAGCAATCAAACAAGAAATCGAACAAGCCAGCAAATGAAAGTGGTGACAGGCGGGCTTGTTTGAACTCGCTCCTTTTTCCCTTATGCCCGAGAGAATTAGAAGACTAATGGTGCAGAGTTAAGGGATCCTGCTTTGTACTGACTTAGACTTGTACGCTGGATGGTCTCACAGGCTTCAATTGGTATGGACGATGTTGCGAGGTTAGGTTGCGGGTGAAGCTCAGGCCTGATTCGGCACTTCATCCCGAACTTGGAGGAGACGCCACCACCTTCACACCAACTCTTCCACCATGTCGCAAGCTCCAGCAGTCAGACGTCCCGGTCCAGCGATCCCAGCCACGGCCTTGCGGAGCCAGAGGACGCGATCCGAGCAGAGGCAAGGCCGAGACGGTCCAAGAAGTGAAGCTCGGAGGTGTTCCATACGTAGATACAAAAATAATCCGTACAGCTGCTCGATAAATACATATACATGTGTATATGTGTGTGTATACGCAGTATGTATTAAACATACAACATGTATGTATATATGTATATCTCTCTCTCTGTCCATATGTATGTCTACGTGTGTGTGTACACATGCATACACAATTTCACATACGTTTGTTTACACTGTTTCAACTCTGGTCGTACATCTCGCAACAGGCTCATATACATGTAAGTATGTTTGATTGACACATACACATACATAAACATGTATATATACAATATATATATATATATATATATATATTATGTGTACACATATGCGTGTGTGCATACAGACACATCTAGATGTACAGACGTGTGTGCGTGTTCGCCCGCGGGAATATGTGCGTGGCTCTGTGTGTCCGCACGTACTCCTGTCTGTTTGTGCGAGTGCGGACATGTGCAAATCTCACACGTGGACAAACACACACACACACACACACACACACACACACACACACACAGAGACACACACACACACACACACACACCCACACACACACACCCACACACGCACACACGCACACACGCACACACGCACACACGCACACACGCAGACACGCAGACACGCCCACACACGCACACATGCACGCACCTACACACGCGCGCACAATCTCCAAACTTGCATTCTTCAAGCAGGTGGCTGGCATGATGGACTTCCCTTCTGCAGGTTCGCGACTACACTTCGAGGGTAAATGCTACTTGGCATGTTTGGATAGCGGCCTTGCTGGCAGTAGCCACTTGCGTTTTGCTTGCATGTTAGGCAGCACGGATATTGCCAGGGGATTGACTGACTGGTCGCGCGGTTGTTAGTGCAATGCTTGCTTTCTCGTGCCGATGTGAACTCGAATTACTCACTCAAGTACCGAAGAAGCTGTGCAATGCTGTGTTCCGCGACCGAGGCCAACCTTGTCGCTTCATCGACCATCCGGATGGCTGTCGAAACGGTTATGAGTGCAACTTCTGCCACTTTCGGGATCACGATGCATCCAGCGCCAAGACCCACCGGCCCTCCAAAGGAGTCCGATCAGGGTACAAGCGGAGCGTCAACCAGGTCATCCATTCCGACATGTCGGAGGAGCAGAAGCTTGAGGCATACAAGAAGCTGGCCGAAAGGAGTCCTTACATGCGTTGCTTGCTGCGAGCCGTGGTTCCCAACATCGACGACCTGCTAGAAGAGCAGGGCCATGTTGAAGCAGCGAGCTCGAAAGCCGCCGACCAACCTCGTGCACCTGGCTTGCAACCGGCAGCCCAGATGCCTCGCACACCTGGGCAGCAAGGCGCCACTGGTTCAAAGCTTTCCTTGTGATTCAACGTCTTGAAGGCGACCAGACCAAAAGATCGAACAATAATTTTTGAGTCTCGGGCTGGGGTGCGATTGCGCAGGTAGTAAGGGCAGCTTGGCCGCGGGTTTCTGCAGTGTCTACAGCCTCCGGGCTCAATCAATATCATTGAGATCCCATCCCAGCCAGTAGGAAAAGCAGCACTTGCCAAAATAGCCCTAGCGCGGGTGAGCATATTCTTGCAATCACGTGTTACTGCGTCAAATCATGTCAAGTCCTTTCCATAAGATTTTACGATGTGCGGTTCCAAAGAAGGCCGTGTACTAGTACTATTCTTTGACGTTGGCCTCTTGAGTCTTCTGCTTGCTCAGACCGACTCACACGTGCAAGTCTTTTTGCATGCCCAAATGCTTTTAAAAATGATCCTTCTGGAATATGGTGTCTGCGGAATACATGAGAATCTCAGCAGCCCATGGCCAGCAACGATTGTGTCGGGCATTCCGTATCATTCTAATGCCATCACTTGTTCCGATCTTTGATTCCGTACAAGTTCGTGGATGCGCACCGGATTCCGGGCAGGTCCGTCGAGGGCTGTATGACCTCGAAGTTTTCGTAGCTGCAACCTCCTGCCCCGACACGCGGGTGAGCTCCGTGAAGGTCTGCCATGCCGTACAAGGTATGCCGGCCAAATCCCGCATGCCGATCAAGGTAGTTGTTGTCTTTCCAGCAGCGCTTCTGTAAGTGTCGGTGGATTTGTGCAAGCCTGCTTAGGCCCCCTGCTACTGTGACACTGTGGGGGAAATCCATGGACATCCCAACAACCCAGTAGTGTTCATACTTTCCTCGGGCCGTCGCGAGTCTACGACCTTGTTCATGATGTGACGTGACAAGCAGCGCTTCCGATCCTGAAAACCTCGAGCCGCTATACTTGGCAGTAAAAAGCCTGCTCGCGGGGTTCGAGCTGCAACATGTCATTCCGACACCTTGAAGGATGAGGGCCTTACACACCTTGTGCAGGATTCCACTAGCCCCTAAGAGCTACCAGTCAGGCCTTACCATTCTGATGTGTTCATTGAACGTGGCTGAGGGTGGCCTCGGTGCACTAGGCAAAGAAGGTGGGGGTGGCAGTGTGGCTATACACCCGACACTGGTTCGGGGTGCGAAGGCTTGGGGAGAAGATCAGGGCCTATCTCTTGCAGGCGGGTCTAGTAGTGTCAAGATCCGCATACAGTGACATATTCTGGCATAGCCCCCTCTTGACCAGTGCCAGAATTGCTTGTTAGGGCATTCTGCGCTGAAGTTCAAGCAGTAAACTTCTTGTTCCATAGTCTTGGCAGCCTCTGGCTGACGGCCCGAGCTGCACAGGCACCCCACAACGCCATGACGGGCATGCTGAGTGCTGCAAGCGTAAGTCCTTACTTTCGGGGTTCAATGTGATGCAGAAACGTACAGTAGTTTCGAAGATGCATGGGTTCGAAGCAAGTGCGCAGCACTCGAAATCGAAAACTGTGGTTGCCGATGAGAGTACGCCTCTGGATTTGTAAACAAAGCAAACGACTCTTCATCACACAAGATTCAGGAAGTTTTCAATGTGGGTTTGAGACATGCTGAGCCTTCATCCGGGCTGCAGCGGTGTCCACTTTGTGCAGCGAGCCTTAGCAGAGATGGCAAGGCAGACGCCAGCGGAGGGTACGGGAGGGCAGCTATGGCTAAGGCTCCTGCGCTTTAGGGGTCAGGGGGTTCCTGCCGCTGCCGCAGTCCACCCGACATCGGCAGTGTGGCAAAAAGTCAGAGCCCTCATTGCATGTGTGGCCGCCCTGTGAGATTCTATCAGATGTCAAAGTCGTCACACGGAAATGCGAGTTGCATTGTAGACGCAAATGCAATCTAAGCCGTATAGAATCGTACAGATGTATGTAATTACGTACGTATATTTACATAAATAAATAACGATATATATATATATATATATGTATATATATATATATGTTTACATGCGTGGCCGCTGAAATTCCCGCGCAAGCAAGCTGAGCTCACCCGTCGCCCAGCGTCAGCCCTTTTGCCTCATGCCAGCTGGAATGAGCTCACTCCATGTAACATACGGGCAGGCTTACGGTTACGCTCAGATTGCACTATGGGTAGGTATAGAATCCCAATCAGTTTAGGACATCGAGGAGACTCCTCGTAAACACGCCTTCGACGAAACTGCCGAATCGCTGACGCCTCCTCGCCGCAACGCCGCAAGCTCAACGCCTTCAGAGCTGTGCGTCCTCGAGGACGGCCCGCGCAAGTATCCTATTGTAGGGGGAAGTTGCTGGATGCTAGCATGGGTCGTCGCCGGTTGCATTATGGGTTAGTTGTCGTTGCTTGGATCAATGATTACCCGTAGCGCTCGCTCTTCAAGTACCTCCTGTACAAAAACGGGCGACACTGAAATCAACAGAAGCCAATCCAAGGCCCAAGGCTGGCAAAGACTGCCATCATGCCGGGGGCAATGTCACCTGCCGGTATCCTGCTGATGGAGGAGACCTTAGAAAGTCAGGGTTTTGTTGAAGGCTGATCGGAAAGCAGGCACCCGGTAGTCTCTTGATTTGGTGGGGATGTAAGAAGCTGTCGGATTTGGAGCTCTACTGTAGCTGGTAGCTTGGGGCAGAATTAATCCAGGACACCCTCAACAAGATGATTTATAAGGACGGCTCCTTGGAAGCAATTTGTCCTGCATCCAGCGCCAAGGTTTGTCTTTTTCTTTGATCGTCGTCATCCGTAATTTGGTGCTGACGGTAATGTCCATCTGTCAAAGCTCTGGCCATCATGAAGAAGCGATGACCAGACATACTGGACACATGCCGCAAAGCCAGCCCGCTCTGCATGTGTTGCATGATGCCTTTCTACCTGTCATAGTTGTAGTTCACCTGTGCCAGACCGAAAATGGAAAACTGGAGTTGCGTTGTCATGGCAAAAGAAGAGGGCATCAGAATATCGCCGGTGACCGCATGTGTTGAGGTTCAAAAGGTCTGCGTCGAGACAAGGAGAGGGGACTGCTGCCGCGCGGCTCACACTCGTGGCCGCCCCAGGAACCTTCCCAGATGCCATGTGCCAACTTCACAGACAATGACTTCGTGAAAATGCCAAGGTGCTTTGGGGACTTCCCTCCTGATCTGCTTCCAGAAAGGACGCCGCGACTAATCACAACTTCAAACGGTGTCTGTGACCTTTGCCTGCATGAAGTGACAGCCCAGAACGCAGGCCTCTCAGACGATGCCAGAGTGCTCCGCGGGTCTGGGACCCAGGTTCAAGTACGTGCACAGTCCTGCCACCAGAGCGAAAGCCGACAACTGGAGGGGTGGGGGAGGGGTGGGGAGGGAACTGAACCAAGACGACAGTCCTTTACATCGTGGTGGGCCATGCCGAAATGTGCCGAAAATGGAGCCTCAATACGAGTTTCGCTGTGTCTCCAAGGTGCGGCCACCGCCAAGCTTCGAGACCACCCAGGCCTCGGAGCTCCTGAAAGTCGCCCATATGAATAAATGAACAAATAAGTATATATATATATATATAATACAGTATATATATATATAATATGTAATATATGTATATACACACTCATTATGTTATGTGTGTATATATATATAGCCTAGTATTCGTGTGAAGAGTGGTGAAGACCAGGCTCTTGAGGCTAGAGGCGGCTGCATGTAGGACATGCCTTCGAGCAGCCAAAAAGAAAGCAGCTCAGGGCGCTTGAGATTCCCTTGTAGCGCAGATAGGTCAGGCAGCCGGCTACCCCAATTGTGAGTTCGCGTCCCTGAAATTACTGAACTACACCGCTGCCGAGGCAAATCGTGCCGGTCCAAATTTGCCAGCAGACACTGATGAAGTCATACACCATCTCTTGACACAGAAGCACCGCGGGCAAGTTGACTTGCCACAAGAGCCACAAGCAGGCCAGAAGGTAAGCGGCTTACTTTTCTAAGACAGTCTTCCTGCTCTCTAAGGGTGGCACAGCAGAAACCTTCCGACACAATTGCGCTCGGCCTTCGGTCTCTCAGTGGGAGTCCACACCCGAGCAGGTCGCGCAGCAAAGACCGGACGTTACGGCCTGGGAGCTCGGACAAAAAGTTCCTATGAACACATTCTTAGCCTTGCATGACATTGACATCACATCTCAACTTGGGGCATGAGCACGGGAGAAAGGTGGTGATGCATGTTATGTGAAGGTACGATGAAGAAGCCACTAGTCCGCGAAGCCAACACCCCGGCTTCGAGTTTGGGCTGATCACCTCAGCCCCAAGAAGCCCAAATGAAGCACTTGACAGCGAAGCTTAACAAGCCTTCCGGAAAGAAAACCCTATTCTTTGGATGCTACTGCCCATGGTCAGATCTGAGCAGAACCCTAGCCTGGTATTGCCGAGTGTGAGCGTCAAAAGACCCTAAAACCATAAAACCTGTTTTGTAACTGTAGGAGGGAAAAAAGCTTGTCTGTGAAGTTCCCAAGGCCCTCTTGGCTTTAGGAGTGCAAGATCAGGCCCGGCCAAAGTCGGCGGGAGCTCTGGCCAAGCTGCTCAGAGGGCTACGGCTTGCAGTCTGTGGCCTCGTAATTCGGTGGCTTTCAGGGCGTGTGTCTCTCTGTGTGTGTGTGTGTGTGTGTGCACGCGTGTGTGTGGGGGGGGGGGGCTTGGCCGATGTCTTGTCGTTACCGAAGAGGAGTCATCTGGGAAGAACACCTGGCCAGTCTCCAGCTTGAATTTTTGAGGTGATTGATATGATATGTGCTGATATCAGCATGTCAGCATGATTGAACAGATAATCGGTTGCACCGACGAAGCACATTCAGAACATCTCAACAAGTCGAGCGGGGACTCAGAGAGGAAGGGGGCTTTACCCGTCCTAGAATGTACCCAAAGCCGTTCCATAATTATCAAGGCCCTTTACTGTGCCAGACCAGGCTGTCTTTGCCAAGCCTTAAAGCAGCACTGTAGTGGGTTGTCCTTTCTCAGATCGTCCGTCCATGCGAGAGGTTTAGCAAATGGGCCCCAGATGTATCTCGCCTGCTTCGGCCCAACCTCGGAAGCGATGCCTGGCAGGGCGTGACTGGATCGCGCGCCAAGCTTCAGCAGCCCGGCTTTTCAGAGCATGCGGATGTCGTCTACAGTCAGAGACACACAGGCAGGCAGGCATACAAATAGCAGAGCGGACTTGACAATGACACCAGTGCGCGAGGCCGCGAGGTGAGGGCGCGAGGCCGCGAGCGAGGTGAGGGCGCGAGGCCGCGAGGTGAGGACGCGAGGCCGCGAGGCTGCGAGGTGAGGGCGCGAGGCCGCGAGGTGAGGGCGCGAGGCCGCGAGTGAGGGCGCGAGGCCGCGAGGTACGGGCGCGAGGTCGCGAGCGAGGGCGAGGTGAGGGCGCGAGGCCGCGAGGTGAGGGCGCAAGGTCCAGGCGTGAGGCCGCGAGGTGAGGGCCATCCATGTGCCAAACATGATGACGTCCAGATCGGACTCCAGCCATTCCCGCAGAGCATCCATGTGCCAACCATAACGTCCAGATCAGACTCCACCCATTCCCGCAGAGCATCCATGTGCAAACCATGATAACGTCCGATCCGCCGATCAGACTCCATCCATTCCCGCAGAGCATCCATGCGCCCCATCCATTCCCGCAGAGCACCCATGCGCCAACCCTGATAACGTCCAGGTCAGACCCCATCCATTCCCGCAGAGCATCCATGCGCCAACCATGGTAACTTCCAGAGCAGACTCCATCCATTCCCGCAGAGCATCCATGTGCCAACCATGATGACGTCCAGATCAGACTCCATCCATTCACGCAGAGCATCCATGTGCCAACCATGATTCAATGATCACGTCCAGATCGGACTCCGTCCATTCCCGCAGAGCATCCATGCGTGCCAACCATGATGACGTCCAGATCGGACTCCATCCATTCCCGCAGAGCATCCATGTGTCAACCATGATTCAATGATCACGTCCAGATCGGACTCCGTCCATTCCCGCAGAGCATCCATGCGTGCCAACCATGATGACGTCCAGATCGGACTCCATCCATTCCCGCAGAGCATCCATGCGTGCCAACCATGATGACGTCCAGATCGGACTCCATCCATTCCCGCAGAGCATCCATGTGTGCCAACCATGATAACGTCCAGATCAGACTCCATTCATTCCCGCAGAGCATCCATGCGTGCCAACCATGATAACGTCCAGATCAGTCCCCATCCATTCCCGCAGAGCATCCATGTGCCAACCATGATAACGTCCAGATCCGACTCCGTCCATTCTCGCAGAGCATCCATGTGCCAACCATGATAACGTCCAGATCAGACTCCATTCATTCCCGCAGAGCGTGCATGTGCCATGATGGAGTCCGAGCGCAGCGTGAGAACAAAGAGCTAACTTCGCAAACCTACCGAAAGTCCTGAAGAGCCAAAACCATGCCGTAAATTACGCTACTTTTGGGTCTTGGGAGTGTGCCAAAACGCAGGGCGGCAGGTCAGCCGGTTTACCTTGTTTTTTTCTGATTCTGTTTCTTAATTTCTTGTTGCTGTTTTCTGTCTTCGGCACGACGCGAGGTCGGAGGACGTCAGGCCGCGAGGCCGCGAGGTCAGGGCGCGAAGTCAGGCAGTGAGGGCGCGAGGACGCGAGGTCGCAAGGTCAGGTCAGGCCGTGAGGCCGCGAGGTCGCGAGGTCAGGGCGCGAGGCCGCAAGGTGGTGAGGCCGTGAGGGCGTGAGGCCGCGAGGTGAGGGCACGAGGCCGCGAGGTCGCAAGGCCAGGGCGTGAGGCCGCGAGGTCAGGGCGTGAGGCCGCGAGGTCGCGAGGTGAGGCCGTGAGGGCGCGAGGCCGCGAGGTCAGGGCGTGAGGCCGCGAGGTGAGTCAGGGCGCGAGGCCGCGAGGTCAGCGAGGTCAAGGCGCGAGGCCGTGAGGCCGCGAGGCCGCGAGGTGAGGGCGTGAGGCCGCGAGGTCGCGAGGTGAGGCCGCGAGGTGAGGCCGCGAGGTTGCCCAATCGCGGACACCCATTGTCAGGTCTGATCTCACAAATAGAGACACAGACAGACAGACAGACAGACACAGACACAGACACAGACAGACAGACAGACAGACACAGAGACAGACCGACAGAGTGACAGATGGACGATATGCAAGAAACGTATGATATGTGTATATGTATGTACATATGTATATATATATATATATATATATGTCTGCATACATACGTATATGTGTGTATAACTCTACATATATGCATGTGCGTGTGTTGTGTGTTTAGCATATGTTTCCTCACGCACAGAGAGGAAAGCGCACACCAGTGTACAAACCACAAAGAAACAAAGGCACAGGCACTTAAAGCCACAATGACGCGATGGCGCCAAGACACAAAGAGACGAAGACAGAAAGACGTAAGAGACACACACACACACACACACACACATGCGCGGCGCAAGACAGACCGAGAGGATCCGAGAGGCAGAGCGAGCGAGATGCATAGCTGAATCCAGGCGTCTGAATATGCAGGTACATCAAGTGCAACCTCAGTATGAACACAAGTAGCTAGTTTATTATTTAGCTACATCATAAGCACGCTTGGATGCAGTACATGGAGGCCACGAATGTGAAGATGAACCGCTGAAGAATCGAATTTCATCGCAGCTCGCAAGGCTTCCGGCCACACGTGGCATGCGGAGGCCCTGTTCTGCCACGACTCTGCCACTGCCTCGGGGCCGGACCACGGTAGTCTATTGCGAGGTGTATACATATAACATAAATCACATGTCTGAAAGTATGTACCTATTATCTATACGTAATGTCTGCATATGCATACACGTCTATGTAATTACCGACACAGTGTTTCACTGCATGCTGTCGCATCTCATAGTAATATCAGTGTCAAGTTCACAGGTTGAGTTCTGCCAGTCTCAAGCTGACAGATGACGAGCCATCAGCACAGCATGGAATAACTGGAGCATCCTGTCAGACTAGAAGTTAGGGTTTTGGATTTGACGATTGGAAGAGGTTTTGGGGTATGTGTATTATAAGATGAAATGAACCCGACGGAAGAACATTGCCAAGTTTGAGAGTCTATCCCGGTGCTTGCCGCCTCGCGCTTCTTTCGGTTCAGCCAACCGGTGGCTTGGTCAGTCGGTGCCCCCCATTCTCAGTGCTTCCTGCAATGGGGGCTAGTCGCCTAGATGGCGTTTTCTGGATCCTGGGCCTGCTATGGGCATTTCGTGTTTCGGCAGAGTCGCAGGAAAAGCACGAGATGACGGAGGACCGGGTGCCAAAGCTGAGACACAAGCACTTCGAGCTTCACTCTTGAAGCCAGGCTGCTGAGAAAGCCGGTGCGGTGTGCCTGGATGGCACTCCTCCGGTCTACTATCTCAGAAGAGGCGGATGCGTACTTGCAGCACAGCAATGCAGAAGTTCAGATGGAGGTAGCACAGATTAACACAGCATGGCGCAAGCACAATGCTGCACGGGTACGGCCAATGCCATTTCTAGGTTCGTCCTAGCCAGGCGGGAGGCAAAATACCATTTCTACAGAAGCAAGATATGCAACAGAGCATGTAGTAGGATGGTCACACTCAGAGCAGCACAAGAGCGCGCTGAATGGAATCAGATACAGTACTCAGCACTCCTTTCTGTTTGACACAGGGTCGCTTCGGACGATGCAGCAGCAAACAAGTCGTGGTATGTTTGGTAGAATGCCATATCGATCATTCATTCAAGAAAATCTATTCCAGGAAGCCTAAGCATCGGCGAGCCAAGGCCAGAGCGGCATATGCGCATGTGTCCCGCCCCTGAAGAGGTTCCGGTTCCGGCATGAACAAATGGAGTCTCAGCCAGCAATGAGGAGATCCTATAATGGCGGGGTGAAAGCCGACCGCATGGCAGGATTTGGAACTTGAGCTGGGATCCCTCTAGCTAGAAGAGCTCCGATCTTGTCTTGAGCGAGTGTACACAAGCCACTGCAAAATCTGCGGCAGTCAGTTTCCCCAGCGCAGAGCCTGTTTTTACGACGTCCCTCGAAGAGTGCCGGGCGAACGACCAGGTACTTGCACCATCAGGGAGGCGGCTGGTGCGAGTCCTTGGACGACTGTGTAGCCCGTTCGAAGACAGATGCTCGAAAGCACCTCCGGATGATTCAATCCCTGCAACCCCGTGCCCATGAACTGAAGGTTGCATGGTCTGGTCACAGCAGAGATGTTCCGTAGAATTGAGAGTGCGGGAGCTGTGTCCTTCAGGACCTGGGGTCGTCTTCCAAGTATCCTGCCACCGCTTCGATGACAGGCACTACAAGCGGATCGCTGTACAAAGTTACAGTACGGTACGGTATGTCCTAGCTGTCAGCCGGCTTTGTTTCGAATGGGTTCGGTCTAGCAAACTTACTGTTGAGACGGCTCATGTTGTGGGTATGCTTTACTTGGCTATACATGTTCTGCTGCTTAGAATGATCGAGGCCTGTGTTGTTGGCGTGCAGGAGTGACGACAGCAGTGCAGATGTTGCTCTGAATGCTGCTGTTCTTGTTCTGACTACCCATCTCTTTCTGCCATCCCCTCTACATACAGCCGCTGTGCAGATCATCGGGGTTATCCGGAGGACTAGTCCGGTTAACAGTGCCAGGTAGCGACGAAACATCGGACTCCCTAACGGTCAGTTCCGTTGTTTGGCACCACGAAGCTGTAGACCTGTCAACATCCCTGTTAGAGGAGTCCCGGGGCAACGCTATAGTGGGCAAACCATCCCATCCAGTGATCCGCACATTTTTGGTTGGTTGGCTTCGGATCTTCAGCGTTGAGTCCTTTTGTAACGGTCTCGGAATTCCGAGCGTCAAAGTGCGTTTTGGCGAGTATGCGGCTGAGCTGTTTTTATCGTTCCTCATTCTTAAGCACCGTTTGGAGTGGCACTTCTATCTCATACGAAGTGGCCTCAGTGTAAACATGTCCTTGACCATTGCCGATTATTGCTGGCAGCAGTCATGGTACCTATTGTATTGTGGACAATGGTGCCAGATGGGTATTTCTCGACTGATGCAGCGGTCAATCCGTTGATGTCTGGGCCTTACGGCTGAGGGGTCTTGAGATTCGGTGCCTTCTGATGGGAGGCGGTCCCAAGCTCAGCTGCTCAGGTACAACTGGAATCATGTTCTTCTGATGTATTGCTGCCTCCTTAGTTGGTGTTTCTGGGCAACCCCGAACTTGACTGGAATATTCCCGCGGCCGAGGTGACGGCGCCAGCTTTAGCGGGAACAACGCCACAGCTGCCTGCTGAATGTCAGCTTCTAGGGCTTCTTGCTTCGGATCCGCAAACGAGACATCAGCAGTTGGGCCACGCAATCTAGTCTCTCAGTTCGGGTTGGCAGCCCCGAAATAGCTCCGTGATGAAGAAATCGTTTACAGTCTCACAGAGGTTGCGGTGCACAACGGCACCAAGCTGCACTTCCGGGGGCAGCGCATTCGAGAAGCCATCGAGAAGGAGCGGCTTTAATTTTGCTTTCATCGTCTGTCCGAAGTAGGTTCTGCATAGACGAAGCTTCAGGATCTTCTCCAAAATCAGGGCCTCGCCAACGCCAGCGACCTGATCGTGTCTGGTTGCAGTGCTGGTGGTCTGGCGACGTTTCTGCACACCGACCAATGGTGCGAGTCGCTGCTCAGCTCATTCTGATTGCAGCACCCATTCCAGACCCGTAAGAATCAACATCAGCGATAGCGGACAGCAGCCACCAGGCCGTAGCAAAATCTCATCAAAGTAAGCAGCAGATGGATATGTCAACAATGGACGGTTGCTTGGCTGACGCTGAGTCAGAGTCAGAGTGCACGGGCCCAGGCTCCATGCAGTGCGGCCTTTGGCGAAATGCGTCGGAATGCCGGACAGTGGCTTCTTTCTCAACTACCAGGACGACATGTGGTTCCCTTTCCCTTTGAGGGAACGGCTTGTCAAGACGTCACAAACTGCAAAATCACATTTTAGCACACATTCAAGCATAATCTCCAAGTTGCGACAGTGTGAAACAGGTAAGGTTTGAGTCAATATTATGTACAATATATGTACACTTGTTCATACCAATTCCATACTATAAACTGTCAACTACATACAGTGTGTTGTGTCCTGTACTCTATATCCCTGTTAGATACCATGTACTACATACTAATATGCGTCTCAATGCCGGAACGGCTTGGTCCTCCGATGAGACTTATGTTTCCGTTGAGACCCAGTGGTCCGCCACATTGATGTAACAATTCATTGAAAGCCCGAAACCCCTGAGCCGTTTGTCGAAAGGACCCTGAAGTTCGCTGCTCTCCAGACAGCTCAGCCCCTGGCCTCCTCACCGAAACCATCAACGGAAACTACCACTGCGGCTTGTGGTGGAGCCTTGGTGTTGAACAGGTAGGTTTAGGGTTTTGGACGCCAAACAGCACAGTCGGCGCCTCGGTTCCTGGCATATGCATAGTCCAGGTGTAAAAGGATGGTTTAGCGTTTTTTGGGTGCAAAGCGAGAAGGCCCGGCTTTTGAGGAGTGAGTGTTCGCTGGCACACAATCCAAGCCCATGTTGGAACGGGTCGCAAGAGGCCTGCCCACAAGTCGTGCATTCCAGTGCCCATGAGACTGTCAGGACCTTCCACATTCAGAATGCCAGCTCTGGCATCAACCAGCGCTGCCTCGCACAGCATGCGAACGAGGAGCGCAGCACCAAGCAGCAGCGATCTGCGCAGGGGCCCAAACAGTAGAGTTTTGGGGTTTCGGCCCAGAGAGAATGCCCTTGTTGCGTTTGGCCTGGCCGAAGTCATCATGGAAATCGGGCCATGTTGAACTTCTGCAACTCACCTTGCAGGAATGGAGATGTATGTTTGCGGAGTATGCGGCAGAGTTCATTCACTCACCAGTCTTTGCACTGCAGTCGATGTATGCTCTTCTCCCGCACCTGGCAGCGCTTTTTTCTTGCGGTGGCAATCGAATGTTGCGACTCGTCATGATGAGGATTCCTGGCAGACAGCCCATGTGCAAGGGACTGGCGGCGCTGCCAAAACCCAAGTCCTTGGCAAGAACATCACCGAGCGAACCTTGGACCATTACACATGCGTTTTTTTGCCCATGTATGCTTCAGTCTTTCAACTTCCCCACATCCCTCAAAGTGAGGTCTGATGAAGAACTTGCTTGCCAAGAACCCTCGCTCCGGTGCTTTCCTGGACAGCTGCTGGCATCATTGTGGATCCTGGAATTCCATCCGCATCGACGGCGACCTGGTGTCCACGGCTCTCGAGATACTTGGCACAAGAAATTCAAGAAGCTATTATGCAAATTGCGATAAAGCCCTGCCGAAGCCCGACCAGCGGTGTGCCAGCTTCCGAGGAAATGGTACCACGGCCTCGGGAGGGCTGGGAACAAGCGCTTGTGGAACCAGAACAGAACCTTCCCATGCGAGGAGTGTACCTGGGCCTGCAAGAGCACAACGCAGTATCATAATGCACTGGCTCAGGGACGATTGGTGCAGAATCACGTGCGGCAAGCCTCAACACACACAGTGTGCAAACTCCCATGAGTCCGCCGCGCGGGTTCTTTTCTTTGGGTCAAGCCCGAGTGGGTTGGCCCCGTAGAAAAAGGTACTTCCGGCTCTTTCGGAGGAGGTTGGTCAGATCCGGGAGTGAGGGTAAGGGTTCGGGTGTACGGCAGACTTATTCAGTTGGGTGGGTGGGTCCGCGAGGCTTCCGGTCTGGAAACAGCCGCTGGCCCACTAACTGACAGGGGTTCGCACGTCGGGGAAGACTGGTCAGCCAGAAACAGCTGGCCTACAGACCCGGGGCTTTCCACGCCCCACCTGTCAGCGTGCTAGTGAGGTTCAGCCCTCAGTTGCCGGTAGAAACCCACTGTATTCGCTGATTCGGTAATCTAGAATCTGGATGGAATTTCTGCATTCGGGAAGTGAGGAGCAATGACGCTGTGTGTTTTGGGTTTGCGGTGAGGCTGCCAGCCAGATGAAGCTACACTCTTTGTCGTCTGAGGCCAGCGGCAGCTTGTGATTGTGACCTCGCTTTCATTGATGATGTTCCCGTTATAAGCCTTCGCCATGCGTGTGAGAAACCCTGGTGCTTGCCATTATGTACTGTACTCTGAAGGCTCCATCGCCAGATATCGCAAGGGTGCTTTTGCTGACTTGACCACATGCAAGTGCCCCTGAAGGATGACACACCTCCAAGGCCTCGTCCGGCAAGCTGGCTCCGTCTTCAAGTGCTCCTACCAACGAGTACGGGCATGTTTAGCCTCTTCAGTGACGTCAGTGCGGTGTCGATAGGGCAACGCCCGGCGAAGCAGACGGCAGCAATAAAAAGGACCGCCTCTCTTGTTCAAGGCTCGTGGAGCACTCTCTGTCTTTGTTGCTTTCTCTGTACGTATGTATATATGTATATGCTTACATTTATGGTTCTAGTTGATATTTATATGCGTATGGCATATTTACCTATCTAGCTGTGTGTGCATATATTTGTATATGAATAATGTGTATATTTATATATATATATATATGTACATATGTTACATATGTATATACATACATGTGTGTGTTCCACCATATGTTCCAAGCTTCCACATGCAAGCATACAGTACATCCACAGGTACTTACCTCGGTGTGTGTGTGTGTGTGCGTTTGATTTTGGCAAAACTTCAGGCGATCAGTCGACCCTGGGCCTCCACGTGCTGGTGCCACCAGGACATTGCACGTGAGAGTTTAGAGTCTGTGGGATTTATGGACTGGGGTTTAGGTCTCGTAAGTCTTATCTCAGGGTTGGGGCTTCGCGAGACCACATATGCCCAGGAATCATAACACCAAGGTTGTTTATACCGCAAAGACTAGGATCCTAGTCCTAGGATGGCTTTTTGCCAGGGATGCCTTAGTTAGGTTAGGCCAGAAGACGGGCAGCACTGCTCGGTGTGCCTTGAGCTGATCCAGGCGGAAGCCCATCAAGCCGTCAATGCCCGTGACCAAGCTATGTCCGAGCTCTGATCTTGCCCAGCCCTGGGGTTTCGAAACCCTTGAAGGCCTTGTCAAGGCAAACTCTGTGTCAATTCAATTCGAGGTTGCGTGTTTTCTACGAGCGGGGTGCTCGGACTGCATGCGGGCCCAAGCCATCAAACATTCGAGCTGTTCCGAGAACCTCTGTGCTTTGTCAGGAGAGGGGATCTGCCAGTTCAGATCTTCCATGGCTCCATAGGCTGGTTGATACTGCTCAATCTGGTAGGTCTTCACGCCCGTGTGCCCTTGATTGCGGTTTTGTGGGGACGGTCTGCAGGCCGACTGCTGTGGAAGGTGGATGTCTGGCACCTATTCAAGCACACTTCAACTCGGTGTCCTGCATGTTCGCTACCCTCGGGTGGAGTGTATGAAACGGAGGTTGAAAAACTCGACTACCACCACTACCTGCCGATATTCTTCGATGGGCTGCGCGAGAAAGAGGATCCCTTCAGGCCCCTGACACTCGCACTGGACGATTCGACGATGTGCACAAGCAGAACCGGGAGACTGAACTAGACTAAATACAGATTGACTCCAGCCCTATACATGTCGTGGGATATGTTTGTTGTTGCTCGCATTTAAGCAAGGTGAAAGAGAGAGAAAGAGAGAGAGAGAGAGAGAGAGAGAGAGAGAGAGAGAGAGACCAGACGATCTCTACCTGCTTCACCTTCCACGGGGAACAACCCCTTGCTCACGACCCCAAAGCCCCTCTTCCACAAACAAGGAAGGTATGGGGGGGCCTCGGCCCGGGTCCTCGGACCTTACCCCAGTTGCGAGCGAGCGAGCGAGCGAGAGAGAGAGAGAGAGAGAGAGAGAGAAAGAGAGAGAGAGTCAGACAGTGGGGGGTTGGGCCGGCCAATGGCCTGAGGGTCGCCTAACGACCCCTAAGCCCTGCGACCGAGAGAAGTCAGACATGCGGCCGGGGGGCCTCGCACGCTCCCCAAGCCCTGCGGAAGAAGAGAGTCAGACAGACAGAGTGTATCACGCATGGATGGGGCCTGCGCTTGACGCTATGTTACGACAGAAACTGCTGTGCCTCTGCTGTCGACTGCCGACGAGGAGAGGATCCACCCCTCTCAGACACCTGAAGACATGACTTAAGCAACTCTGAGGGGCGCCTAGCGTGCGGGCCTGGTTGAGACCAGACTCATGCCCCAGCGAAGGAAGAGGAAGAATAACAACAAGAAGAGAGAGCAGAGAGGCTTTCAGCAAAGAAAGGAAAGAGCGAGAAAGCGAACGTTGCAGGCGTGGGGAAGCTCTGCAGTATTTCAGACCCTAGATTCCAAGACTTTGCGTACTTGCTGACTACGAAGCCTTTCGTCCTTTGATCGTGGAATCCCACAGAGTGCCAGGATGAACGCCAGAGGGTTTCGGCCACATGACCACAGCGGCTCTGGCAAACAAGCAAGCACGAGAGGGAGCGACACAGAGATAGACTTCTATCTCATGCCCAGCCATACTATACAGATGAGCTGAACACATACACAAGTAGGTCGCATGCCGTCCGTCTCGAGCAGAAGGTTGATGCGCAGCGCATCTCCTTGCACGGTCGTTCTTCAGGTTCATGGCCGTCACTGGAGCCTATGACATGCTCGAGAAGGCCTCCGAACTTCGGGGCCGTAGGCATGAAGGAGATGTCATAAGAGAGGCATAGCCTTGATGACATCAGGAGTAAGAATGCTCCTGGTGTAGAATTGGCGATTGGACGCGCTTGCGTGAACATGAGGATCAATTGTGAATCATGCTGTTGACTTGTGGCTGTGATATTCAAGAAATGGCTGTTGAGAAACGTTAGGGATCTGGGGCTTAGGCTGCGGAGGCCCCACCTTCAAATCGGAACGGTTTTGCTGCACATGGCAGGGAGGTGATCGTATCCTTCCGGCAGCGTGCCTCAGAATGAGGGGGGGAGCTTCCGAGGCGAGGCGGGTCTTGACTACCAGAACGATGATTGGACTGAGCACAGCAATTCTGTTCTTCGAGCCCGCTTCGAATTCGATGAGAGATTTGATTTGGTTATTGCACATCTTCACAAGCTCAGGTGGTGCCTCAGCTCGTCATCCCTCTCAAAAGTGCGCTCAATACACGCACAGACCTCGACCCTGTGACAGCTGTATGTTTCTCATTCCTGCTCTGTGCCTGTTGATTCGTGCAGCGGAATGATTTGCTCGTCTTTGCGGGTTGTTCAGACCATGTGGTCATGCACATGTACCGAGGTGACACCCAAATCATGTGCACAACCATGAAGCTCATGCAGAAGCTGGTTCTGAGTGGCGATGCTTGGCTGAGTCGGTCTGCCGTGCAGTCTGAGAACATGTCTCAGGCATTCCGTCAAACCATTCAGCAGCAGCTTGGGTTTCGCCCTGGCATGTGCAAGCCGTAAGGACATGATTGGAGAGGCGCACAAGTGGCGTGTGCTTGTGAATATCGCGATATGCTCGATAGCCATCGGGAGGCATTGGTGCCCTACTACCGGCAGTTGCTGCATCCTAGCTCATTCATTCAGCTAGTCGAATGGCAAGATGGACCATACGAGCTGGCTAAGGCCCGTGTTCTCGCTCTTCAAGGGCAAGAACATTCCGACGAAGGAGCACGGAAAAGACTTGTCGTGCAGACGTGGACACGGCTGACAAGTGCGGCCGAGCACATGCTGCTTGCTAGGCTAGAAACGGTGGTGTGTCGGCCAGGACATGGGAGACTACATGGATTACAGCCAGCGCAAGAATCTGAACCTAGGAGATCTGATCTCAGAACCTTGGCTGAAGCTGTCCGGGGCTTGCGGGGCTTGGAGTGCATGTTCAAAGCTGCAGATGAGCAATGGGTGGCAAGCGCCGCAGGGGGTGACGGGTGCGGCATGTCCTTCAGCTGTCATAAGCGAGTTGGCCCACGACGCTCTTCCGGTATACTTCCGCAGCAAGAATACCAGGAGTCGCCCGGAGTCCTCCCACAACCGAGGAAACCCTTCAGATCTTGGAGGAGCATGGAGGCGGATTGGGAGAATTAGCTGAAACGAAGCTTCCGTGTGTAGTCGCCATCGGTTTGGACTTCAGGTGCTGAGTTAAACCATTGACGTTGTGATTCGAAGGTGAAGATGCCTTCATCAACATCAAGTACATGGTTCCCACTTACGAGAGTGCCGTTCTTTGTGGAGCTGCTTGGCTTGTCTCAAAGCTTGGAAAAACATCGAAAGACTGAGCCTCAACGCAAACCTGCCACCTCCACCCTCGCAAGATGACCCAGGGGTTTCTGGGCTGTGCTCCGAGGCATAGCTGGAGCCCTCCACTTGTACACTACTCAGGACTCAGGTGGCATGCTCGCTTGCCGTACAGCTTGCCAAACGGTGATTGTGATTTTTCTCAGTTCGGATATAGAAGAGTAAAGGGGTCGGATTGTGTAGCTTGAGATTGAAGCTGCAGCTGTTGTTTGGGGTTTCGGGACGCCTTGCTCACTGCCTCTACCGACAAGAGCGTCTGTACAGTGAAAATGAGTTTCCGATTCCTGAGAAAGTTGTCACAGACATACTGGCTCAAGGCTGTCGTGTGGTCGGGGCTTTCCGGGTCGAGCGGATGAGAGGCGAGCGATGGCAAGTACTGGGTGGAGCTGACACCGGGGGTGTTCTCGTGCGAAGTGGGCGCAGCCTCACCTCCGAACAACTCGCAGAGCTGCCCTCAAAGATCTTCTTCTGTCGAGCTGCCTAGTTGTGCGGTTCGCCGGTTCGACCTTCTCCTGGCCACCCGCCAAGGATCGCTTGTCCTATGGCGCGCTGATTCTGGAGCTGGAGCTTGTTGGAGATCGGCTGTGCTACGAGAAGCTGACGGGTCCCTGATCTCTTTTTACTATGAGCATATTGATGTGAGTGTTTCGATGTCTCATTAATAGTCTAATGTTCTTACCACTCTCGCAGCTGCTTGTTGGAGCGGTTTATCGAGGCCACGGCCCCAAGAAAGGCTGGATCAGTACGAAGCTGCCACTTGCGATGTTCGGGAACGTTGTGGTGTTCAGGGCGTGGCATTGTGTATTGTGTGTTGTGTATGGTGAACGGGCTACGGCCCACCCCGCAGCACAGGAAAGACAAGAAGCTGGCAATCCGTGCTCAAGATGCCAAGATATCACAACAGGGAGAAGTCGAAGGTGAGGTGCGGATTTGGGCACTGTCAGACATACACACGGACAAGGCGGAGAACCTGAAATGGATAGAGGGACTGTCACCAGCTGAGCAGCTGGACAGGATATGGCTAGCTACACTTTTTTTGAAGGGGCCGGTTTCTGCAAGTGAGGTCCCGTCCTTGCAGCTGCTGTACCTGTGGCACCTGGAACTTCGTGTAGCAAGACCGAACGCCGAGGTTTCGCAATGATATCTTGATTTTGGCGGGCGACGTTGCGAACACGTTCGAAGCATTGAAGCATTCTGTGCTTCTTCTGAGGGAGAGGTTTGGGCGCGTCTTCTTCTGTCCCGGAAGCTCGGCAGCATCAGGTTTTGCCTTTGCGAGATGCGACTAGCAGCACTAGCAGTGCTGTTGGCGTTAGTGTGGCAGACGAGGTAATCATGACCTTTGGATGCAGGGTTGGAAGAATGGCGATTCCATGGACAAGCTACATGCGATTATCGATTTCTGCAAGTTGCACGACGTGGTGGCTTGGCTGAAACCGCTCACACCAGGAGCTTTTTGTTACTCTGCCAGACCTCTCAACTCTCCCCGATCATGCAGGGTCAGCAGGGGTTTGAGCCTCCTGGTGTCTTCTTTCGTGGCGGGATTGAAGGCACTTTAGGGATGACGAAGGGTGTTTGGGCCGGAGACTGTTCGGTTCTTGCTGAGAAGGGGTGGGTAGGAGGAAGCGGCTAGTGACTAATTAGAGAGCAGAGTTGTTCTGATTTACTAGTAAGGTCGTGGTTGAATCACCTCGGCACGACCGCCCCGTTTGAGACAGTACCGTGTGCAGCCAGGAGACCTCGCCCGGGATTGTGGATACAGGTGCTTGGATTGCAAATTGAGGCCACAACTGGCACATACTGTGTGTATGTGTGTGCTTGTGGAGGAGCAAAACGGGTCCTCGTCGTGCCTTTGCTGTCTTGGCACCACCCTCAGTGGGATACCGAGCCCGAGCTGCTCGAGTGGTCCAATGTGCCGACAGCTGGAAAGACAGTTGCAGACGCTTGGTACAAGGGTACGGGGAAAATTTCAGAATCTAGGAAGGATGGAAACACAAGCATGGAATGACTGGAGGACTACTGGGCTACGAAATGGCCGCAGCCTTTAAATACGGAGGACGGCTCCGTTGCTCGGGCAATGGACGAGTTGAACGACAAATCCGCAGGCCAAGACATGCTTGTGGGCTTGTAGCTTTGGTTGAGGGCAGTGACAGGGGGTTCTCGGGCCTGAAACTGAGAGCCGTAGAGGCTATGCGGATGCACTGGCCCGGAAAGACGAGTTTGACGCCGTCATCTCGTTTTCACATTTTGTGCCGCGGTTGGAGCTGGAGCCTGAGTCGAAGTTCCGGCTGTCGTAATGCGTGGCCAACTGAGTCGCGCTGTAAGTCTTTCATTTATTGAATCAGCTGTTGTGGGTCACTCTAGCGTGGTGTGTGTTTGTGTGTGCGTCCACGTGCTTAGTTCGGTGTATACATATACAGATACACAATATCACTTTGTGGTGGCGTGATGTGGCGTGATTAGATATCGTACGTTGTGTAGCGATGTCGGAATGTAGTTAGCAGGCCGTGTTACGTGATGACTCTAGTGATGCTCAGGCTTGTCCCGGAGAAGAGATACTTGATTCCCGCCTGCCTCTCCAAAGCTGTGGGCTCTTCGTACCTTCAAGAACGTGTGACAAGACTGAAGCCTCATGTTCATGTTTTCGGACATACCCACTTCGGCTATGACATGGAAATCGACGGGATCCGCTATTTGCAGGCGGCGTTGGCCACTCCACAGGAACGGGCGTTCGGCGGCTCCATCGTTTCCCTGGGACGTTTCCCTGTCATCGAGGCCAAGCCATGTAAGGTCTGGGATTCAGATCAGGGCTGGCCGGAGATATATCGGAGCTCATGGTGTGAATATTATCGCAGGTATGGGCGTCAAGCGCACGTTACCTCGATTGTCCCGTCGGTGTGCTGCAACTTCTACAGCCCCACAGCCGCGAGCAAGTCAGGATGGATTGCTGGGCGCATGCCGATATGGCTATTTGGGCCATTGCAGCATAGGCTCTACGAGGTTGGCCATATGCGGTACCGGCAGGTCACATACGTGGCTGAAGGGTCATAGCGAAATCGGCATACAGCTGTAATCTCACCCTGAGCTTGGCAGCGCAGCGTGGTTTCAGCAAGTCCGTGAGCATCGCCCTGCAGGCAGAAATGGTTCTCCACGAAGTGCGCGACAGCACTGGCAAGGATGCACATGCTGCACGCGGGTCCGTCGCTTCGACGGCGCCACTGAGTGCTAGGGGCGAACCGAGCTTAGTGTCTGCAGGCGACGCAGTTCGTGGCTCGGCTTGAGCTCCATGCAAGGCATTCCGCAGTTCCGACACGTCACCCAAAGCAAAAGCCATCGAAGAAATCTGTATCAACCCGCAACCCCTCAGCTTGTTCCGCACCTCGGCATGCTCAGCTTCGTCATGTTGAGCGTGGGTCAAATCAGGTCTGCACGCTGAAGGCGAGCACGTCTTTGTGAACATCCGCAGTGATGCGGGCACACCAGGCCGGCCATTCGGATAAGGAGTCCAAGTCGAGTCCCAGGTATGGGATTCGAGGACTTCGGGTTGGGGCTTCGTGGCTTATAGTAGAGGGTTGGGTCGTGCAAAACTTTTACCTGACGCGACAGGCCTTGTGCATGTCCCGGATTCCATTGTCTTGCCGCATCCGCGGGCGACCGAAAGCCTCGCTTCGTTGCCGGATGATGAGCTGTCACCTGGTCGCAGGTTCACAACCCTGATAAGCCCCGACAGCTGCTAAACCGCAAGCCCGAATCCTTGAACCTGAACCACAGCAGTACTTGACTTTGTCAAACTCTGCCCCTTGCGAATCCTTTCTTGCAGCATTTCGGGAAGCGGGTTGTGAAGTCGTAGGTGGTAGATGTACAGACGAGAGCATTCTCTGAGGTTGCTGCTTTGCGAGAGTTTAAATGCCGCTTGGAGTCAATGGAGACCTGTACTATACTTCGTACTCCGGTGCGGGAGTAAAGGTGCATAAGTTCTACTGGTCTGCAGAACAACTTTCTCGGAAGGGAAATGTGCCATGTTTGAGCGGTACTACGTTTTCTTATTCTCGTAGGGGGGGTGGCGAGGAAGTTCCCGAAAGACCGGCCCAGCAAAGGCACGCTGCGGAAACATGATCGTTTACGGCTGCCGGCACGACTTGAAATCAGCCTGGGATTCGGCGATGCTGCTTGCCGGTTACTTTCGCATCTGGCCTACGGCAATGCAGCTCGCCTTGTAGGTGAGACATGGAATTCAGATGACACGTAGTGCTATCTTAGGGGTTCGCTGGAGAGAGTTTGGGGACACTTATGTTATTTCAGCGTTGGTCGGGGTTGTTGAACCTGAGAGGTGGCAAGGGTAGCGCAGTACTGTGATTCTTCCCAAACCTGCTCGCCTTGCTTGACTTTGAAACCCCAAGATGGCTACGGCTCAACATGGATTTTGGTAGGGCCAGCAGCAAACCAACTTTCTGATATGATGCAAGGTTGCCTTGTCTCAAACACAAAGAAAGAAAGTTCAGCTGCAGCGTGTCAGCATGTGCCTGCAGAGCGAAAGCCGAGAGTACCCTGGCTCTGCCGGATCGACTGCAACTGTTCGTTCGTTCTCTTGCAGAGCAACGGAATCACGGAATGCCTTTTATTAAAGAGCTTACTGAGCTCACCTCATCCGACTCCTCACTTGGTTCGCCAAGCTGTCAGAGTCTAAGGACTATTCTTGATGGAGGACTAGAAGCCTGGACAGAGAAGGGCGGGGTGCTCGAGCCTGTGTAGTGGCCTGGTGCTGCTTGGGCGGTCTTCGAGGGCTTTGCCATGGCCAAGAACTTCAGCTCTGAACTATCCGTGGATATCAGAGTGATGACAAGGATGCCAGCCGATGCCGGGGGACGCGAGGTAGCACACTGAGCTTGCCAATCATTGGTTTCAGCAAAGTCCTGAGCAACCCCGCTGCACGCTCAATTGGTTCTCGACGAAGTGTGCGACAGCACTGGCCAGGATGCACGTGCGTCGGGCGACGCCGACACTTCAACGATGCCACTGAGTGCTAGGGGTGAGCCGAGTTTCGTGTCTTCAGGCGACGCGAGTCGTGCCCCGGCTTGAGCTCCATGAAGGGCATTCCACAGTACCAAAGTAAAAGCCGTCTAAGAGCGCCGTGTCAACCCTCAACCCCTCCACTTTTGGGACACCTCGGCAATCCTTAGCTTCGTCATGATGATTCATTATGTGCCTTTGTCACATCAGGCACGTCTTTGTGAACATCCGCACTCATGCGGGCACACCAGGCCGGCCATTCGGATAAGGAGTCCGTTTCCGTGGCTGATACGCCTAGTAGGGTCGGGTCGTGCAGCTTTTCCACCTGACACGGAAGGCCTTGTGCACGTCGCGGAGTCGATTGTCTTGCCGCATGCCCTGCCAACAGTGAGCTGTCGCCCCGGGCCCTTGCACTGGTCAGCCTCTCACAAGCAAAAAATCCTAGCCTGCACTTGCACTACAACCTCCGTTTTCATCGGGCTGTTCAATGCGACAAAGATGTCAGCCCCTCATTACGGGCTCGTACGTGCTGGCGAAGTAGGCGGGAAAAAACTCCCACAGCATCCCACAGCCCCAATGTTGCAAAGCTCTCCTACTTGCGAAGCTACTCTTCCAGCATTGCTGGGGAGCAGTTCTCAATTCTCAGTCATCGGAGCATATACGTGTCAGGTTGTGGACGTGTGATGGACAAAGGGTAGTACGGACAAAAGCATCCCTTGAGGTTGCTCGAATGTCAACTGACTGCGAATGAGAAGGAAAAGCTCATTGAGCAATCCCTGGCATGATCCGTGACTCGATGATACTAGTACCTAATCCTGCTTGCCTTCATCATTGCCCTGTCATTGCCCATTGCGGGTCGAATCAGTAGTGCCGAAAAGGTGGCTGAAGCGGCTGCCCTGGGGTGCCATATGAAATACGAGATTGCAGTTGAAGCGTTCGAAACACGGACTCGCTGCTTATCTGCGTCAGGGAGACGTGGAGCAACACAACCGCGCACTTCCTCGTGAGACCCAAGAAAGGGTAGGGAATCTCCGGCCCGCAGAAACTGTTGCACGATTTGTCGATGCCACCCGGAGCTGATGGTGATCTTCTGCTACGTAGTCGTCCGAGACTGCTATTGGTGTTGTGCTCCGGCTCGGCATTAATGTACAATTCCAAACAAGTCTAACGAACATGTTTTGTGGCAAAGACTTCGATCCAGCTATGATCCCTGTATGTTAATATCCCGTAGACTGACGCAAGGATCTCAAGGTCGTTGCCTGTTGTGGGCAATGTGCGACGCTAAAGGCCTTTTCAAATACCACGCCACGTCCAGTCAAACATGAAAAGCAGAGGCGAGCACGCACACTGCTCCTGCAAAAAGTAGGTAGGATGGCACTGTGCATTCCACTGACCGGCAACTGCGCCGGATCAGCATGGAGGGCAGGCGTACCAAACCCGGAAAACCTGGGGTGTTGTCTCACAGGCTGTGCGGCTGCGAATTCGTCAAAGCAAGGCTTCGCGTTTTCAAAGGAAAGATTATCCCATTATTCTTCAAAATTTTCTTGAAGATTTGGAATACTTAGAATACGACTGATATACGAGCATTCTGTGAGCAACCGAAATTGTGTAGCGCTGCTTTCGTTTCTATCTACGTTAGTAGTGAGGGTAGGATCGGGTCTAATCACGACAATTCTTTGATATCTCAACAACGTAGAGCCTCCCAAACCCTGATAACTCTTTATGCGCATGCCCGAATTATCGGAGGTACTGGTACGAAAGGCTCTTCGAGTGTAGGAAAGGCTCTTCGAGTATAGGAAGTATTGCAAGAATCGAATACCAATGGTTTGTCGTTTCTTGCGCGCTTACGTTAATATAAGTAGTAGTAATAGCAAGAATGATATTAATATTATTGAAATATCTATTGAAATATCACGAATAAATACGATATCATTTGTTTGAAAATATTATATGCAATATAAGATATATTGAGAG